TAGCAAAGATTTTTCGAATTGATTATTTTTTCTTCTTTTTTCTTCTTTTTTCATGATTTTTATTTTTGAATATGTATAAATAAATGGAAAGCAAATGACATCTCTCTCCTCCTTTTTGCTGATTTTTATCTAAAAGGTTTACCTTTTACGCCATGCCTAAATTTTACTGTAAACTATTTGTAAAATACAGTAAAAATACAGTAGATACTATAAAATATATATTTTTAATTTTATGGTAAATTAAATCAGTTAAGTTGTATTACTATAGTCTACATTGTATCTTTCTTATACAGACAAAAACACAACCAAACACATGTGTAAATGTAAAAGTCATGTGAAGAACAAATGCTCATTACAGCTTCACAGCAAGCCAAGAAAAATACTAATATATAAGAGACGTCCTGTATCATTCACACAGCTACTAAACACCATTATTGTCACATACATGAAACTAAAGTAGAGCAATACACATCATTTATCAACATTGGATGTGATATAAAACTTTATACAACAGTTCTATCTGGTTCTCGAATCTGATTTGATATTCTGCATTATCAGAACTTGTACAGCCTCTTGTACATCAGTTTTAATCCGCCCACATAGAGTGACAGCAGATCAATAAACTCACTAGTTTGACAAATATTGCAACTGTTAGACAACATAATGTACTTTTGATGCTTTTTAGTTGAGAATGTAGTTGTTTAGATCGCAACCATGCAGTTTATGTATAAGGGTAGTGCCTACTTTAAATATTTATGGTATCCATCTGCCTGACATTGAATAGAGCAAAGATGGTTGACATTGTCCATACACAAGATGGTGACAGAGACTGCATAATAGGGATGTAACGGTATCAGAATTTCACGGTACGGTAATACCTCGGTATGAATGTCACGGTACGGTATTTATTGAATCATTTACAGGGAAAAAAAAAAACTTTTGAAAATACTCCAAAAAAGTGCCAAAAGTGTCAATGACATACAAATTAGCCATCTATCTGTTAGCTTTGAAACAGGAACTTCAATTTTAATAACAAAAAATTATTAAACCATGTAAAAAAATAAAGTTTCAATTTAGTATTGTTGAAAACTCATCACATTTAACATTTAATCACTCACTTAGATAGAGATGGGTTTAAAGGAAAATTATCATATAACTATAATCTGGTAAAAGCTGGTATCTCTGGGTATTTACAATGTCCCCTGCAACAGAAAAAAACCCTCTCATTTGGGACTGAGGTTTCTGGGACAAGAGAGATATGACTTGGCCCATGTTGACAGCAGTGGGGTAACGTTGTGCATTGTCTTTCCCCCACTTGAGAAGACAAACCATGAGTGAGATAGAGATCTCTTTGCGGTACATGTCAATGTCTGCATCAATCTGAACAGTGTGCTGTGTTTCTGCAGTCCCCATGACTGATTATTAGTCGTATTCCCCAACTTGCAGGCACGTGCACACATAGGGCTCAACCTGTGCAGTGCACATGCCCTTTTTAGTCTTGGATAGAAAATGCCCTTCCAAAACGATCAAAAGTGTCCCCGCGACGCGACACAACCTCCGTCCAGTCCAGCCCTTCAGTAGGCGCGCGACAACACCTCTCTTGAGTATGCGCGCTCAACCCCCCCCCGGCGCTTTACAATACGCGCGCCACAACACAGCTGATCAGAACGCGCGCGACAGCACCGCTATTCAGCACGCGCGCGGCGACAACACCCGCTTTAGGTTCGATCATTTCCATCTTTTTTTCCATCTCCGCTACTAGCAGCACACTCCATTTCCGCATTACTGGATCTGTAGCGACAACAGACCGCAAAGGATTATGGCCACGACGGGGCTGATGGGAAATGAAGTTTCAGCTACCTCCCGTTCGCTTCATTCGCCTGAGCAAATTTTCTCAGAAGACCTATAGTTTTACCGAGTCATGCGACTTCGGTAATATCGAAAAAATTTAATATTGCGGTATGACGGTATTTACAATACCGTTACATCCCTACTGCATAATATTAACTAAATATCAAATCATTATAAAAGTTATTACTTTTTGGTTGGCCATTTGTTTGTTTCCAATTAGTGTCCTGTCTTGTTTTTGCAGACTAGTTCAGTAAAAAGATAGAAAGAAGAAATGCCTGCATGTGTTTAATGTTTTTCCTTATCACAAACACAACAGTAATCTGGTGGTGTTTGCTTTGCTTTGGATTTTTTTTAGGGTTAATTATTGTGATCTCCTGATTGCAACAGAGAAATACTGGGACATATCTGTAGACTGATGGCATTTCATGCCGTTCAGCCTTATAATCCTAAAATGTCAGCAAAATCACCTGTTTTGTCATCACTTTAGACATTACGTTAGAGAATCATATACAGCCATATTGCACCACTGCTCACGTGATATTGTTTATGTATTTTACAACACTGATGAGAAATTAAAACAAAACTAAAAAGAACCACAATAATGTTTTAAAAAAACTAAAACGTAAAAACTGAAGTGTCATACTCTGTAACAAAACCAATTTACGGTTATTCACTGTATATTAAGGAATCTTCCTGTCAACCAGATTACAGATTTTTACTGTAGCATTTTTACAGTTTTTTTACTTTTAATATTTGCACCATTTTACAGTCTTAACTTTTTAGTTGCCAACAAAAAAATCATATAAATAACCAATTTTTGACAGAAATTGTTCCACTAGCAATTCTTGCCATTTAATCAAACCCTCATTTGTAAGGCTTTTAAATATTTTAAAATTGGTGACATATTTACACCAGCACAATTGTCAAATCCTAAATCATGCACATCCTCAATAAATGTTACATGCTTTGGTTCAAAGGAGTGAGTGACAGTTCTGTCACTTTTCACAAAACACTCTTGTCATCCTTATTATTGAGCCCTGCTGTGTTTGTTTGTCTGTCGCCTTACCAAATGAAAAGTGTAATTGAATGTGTTGAATGTGCAGTGATCATGTGTTTGTTTACTCTGTGTTTATGTTGTCCCAAAAATGTTTGTCTGCGTAAATGTGTGTCATGTGATTTTTCTAGCTGCGTCTCTTTTCTGATGTATGTTTTGCATACCCTCTCTTTCTCTCCCTCCCCCTCCGTCTGCCTGCTTTGAGTGTGTGTGCTCGCCAGACATGCCCATGCCCTGGAGCCAAGGACCATGATGCAACCGTTTTTAAGCTCGAATATTCCCTCCCTCCAGACATTTCTGACGGACATTTTAGCACAGAAATGTGACAGGCGAAGAAAAAAAATCAAATCAATGCACCTTTGCAGTATTCGCAGTCCCCTGTGTCATTCGTGAATAAGAATACAGAAAGAGTGCACTCTGGGATTTGTAGTTCAGACAACTCTTCCCCATAACCCTGAATCCAGGTCACTTGGCTGATTCACAAATTAGCTCTCTCTAGTTATTCAGACACATCAATGAGACACTTATTGCATGGTTGGACTGAACGTGCAAGCGTGTACGCTGAGATAACCTTAAAGGGGAACCAAATGACATGTGTTTTGTTTTTGCTTGGCTTTGTTTTTTGTGGGTGAGGATGGTTTAGCAAAAAATGATGACATTGTCTTTATTCACACAGCCTCAGAAGAATATCTCCAAACAGTGATGTAAAACGTGTCCTGTTTTTTGCTTTGAAGCCCATTGGGCGGTGCGGTGGCGCAGTAGGTAGTGCTGTTGCCTCACAGCATGAAGGTCGCAGGTTCGAGCCTCGGCATGGTCAGTTGGCATTTCTGTTGCCATGTTCTCCTCATGTTTGTGTGGGTTTCCTCTGGATGCTCCTGATTCTCCCACAAGTCCAAAGACACGCACAATAGGTGAATTGGGTAAGCTAAATTGTCCGTAGTGCATATGTGTTATGAGAGTGTATGGATGTTTCCCAGTGATGGGTTGCAGGTGGAAAAGTACTGTGTAAAACATATGCTGAATAAGTTGGCGGTTTGTTCCACTGTGGCGACCCCTGATTAATAAAGGGACTAAGCCAAAGGAAATTTAATGAATGAAGCCTATTTACTTTTGTTGAATGTACAATTTTTCACGACGTTCCACACAAGAAGTCGTTCAGGCTCTAAAGGAACAATACACTTTTTTGGTAATAGGCTTATTTTAAAAAGTAACCTAGAGTTTAAATAGTTGACTTTACCATTGTTTAATCTGTTCAGCTGATCTCTGGGTCGGGTAGGAGCACTTTTAGCTTAGCTTAGCATAGCATAAATCATTGATCATTAAATCAAATGAAATTATTCAGCATTTTTACCTGATTACCTAGCTGGTAGGGCTGCACAATTTGGAGAAAAAAATCTAATAGCGATTTATCTGATCAAAATTGTGACTTGCGATTTACTAAAATTTGATAAAATTGCCTCAGCTTTTGATGTGGTGGTTTTAACAGTACCAAAGAAAGACCAAGCGTAATCATAAAGTACACTACACCATGCTTCTGTTTATTTAATACATTTTTGTTTTTAATAAATTTGTCAATTGTCATGACAAATTAAGAAAATAATTACAGTATTAACTACATTAGTTAAATACCCAGGGCTCGTGGGTTCTGCTGTAACAGTTGTCTGCTTTTTAAGTAATGTTTGTTGGATCGTTTTATTTCTTCCACTCGCCTACTTCGCTATAATAATAATCAAAATAATCGCAACTTTTAAAATCGCAATTTCAATTTGAAATTTAATAATTGTGCAGGCTAGCTGAGTAGATACTAGGTACTGCATAAAACCATTGTGCCTACGAAAGCCATGGTATGGCAGCAATGTTCCCTGATAATTATGCTGGAATAGAGATATCGTTCCATATCAGCCTACAAAATAGCAATTTGATTTTCCTTTGCTCTTCGTACATGATTTAGCTACAGAAGATGCACACTTTAAATTGTAAAGCTCTGTTGAATTTTTTTTTTCGAGTGAGATGCTAATAGTCTATTCTGATGCATTGATTTATGCTAAGCTAAGCTAAAAGTTCCCTCCCAGACCCAGAGATTGGCTAAATGGATTCAAAAAGGTAAAACTCAACAATTAACTCTAGGGGAGTAATAAAACTAGCCTATTTTCTAAAAAAGTGGAGTGTTTCTTTTAAAAGGATATCAGGGGGCATAAATAATGACAGATTTCAAGGTGAAACATCCCTTTGAAAGTGTCAGAAAGATGAAAAAAGTGGGATTTATGTGGAGGATTATCGAATACCAAGAAGTGACTAGCCTCCAACTCACTTGCTTTTTAAGTTACCATGGGAGGGCCATTGAGGACAGACTTCATGCTCCTCATCCGCTTTTCCCTTCATCCATGGATGCGCTTACTCTCTCTTTTTCTCTGCCTCCATCATAATTGTGTGCATTAGAGAGAGAGAGAGAGAGAGGTGCTCAACTGCTTGTGCACATGCACACTCTCATAAATGCATAAATGAATGATGCTGCAAGGAGAGAGAGAGCAGAAGGGAAGGAGGGGGCAGGAGTGCAAAGGGAATCAGCACTAGCATCAATGTGAGAGAGAGAGAGAGAGAGAGAGAGAGAGAGAGCGATAGACCAGACAGGGAGGAGAGGAGAATAGAGGACAGTCGGCTGCATCGCTCCTCACAAACAGACGGAGGTGGAGAGAGGAGAGGATGAGAGACTGTGGGGGAAGGAGAGGACAAAAGACCGCTGTGCCGTTCATCACGCCTGGACCAGACTGACGTTGAACGAGGGGAGCTGGCATGACTTTGTGTGCTTTTTTTTAAAGAGGACAGAAGAAACGGATAAAAGAAAAAGAGCGTTTTTTTTGTCTTTTTAAGGGAGGGGACTGAGCCAGAAAGCAAGTCAGGGAGAAAGAGGAGGATTGTCTGGCACTGTTTAAATATTAATGTGATTATGATTTGAACATGGAGGTCATACGGTTTTACCTCAAGTGTGGCTCTCTTGTGCTTTTTTTTTAATCCAAGGACTTTGTGGATTAAATGCCGCTCTTACTTTCTGCAACAACTACATCGTGAGGACTAAAAAACCTCTCTAAGGCTTCTTCTATTCTTTCACATTAAGCTTTTTTGGACGGCAACTTTCAAACTCTTGTATTTCTGATGTACATAGTGATGTCTTACTGAATCAGTGTTGTTACTTATGCAGACAAAGAATCAGGTTTTTTATGCAAAACTTTTCGATTTCTTGATTTGTAGTGTATAAACAGGTGCTTTCATAGAGATTTCATAGATATCAGGACAACTTTATAGAGTTTGCTAGCTCTGCTGTCTGTAGCGTAAGTGTGTGCAATTTTTGATTTTCTTATTGGATCAGGGCCACAACTGGGCATGTGTTCTGATGTGTGTCTGGTTTATTCCGTGTTCAGATGTCAATACTAATCACCGTTGTGGTATATTGGTGGAAGCAGGAGTTAAACTTTCCCGTCTGGGGCCAGTTATCAGTGCAAAACGCTGACTCTTGGTAGCTCTGAGCTTTCTAGATTGGACAGGAGAGTGACAACAGGTTTTGTGTTGGCGAAACTTTGGGTTCTCTCATGACTCTGTCTCGCACGCTTTTTTTTCAGTCTGTTACCATGGCAACAGTTTCATTGGCATGTTAAGTACTCACGCTGTGTCTTTTGCAACTTTAGCGCTAGTGTTTTCCAGCGTCCCAAGTTATGCTTTAAACCGGACTTTAAGTTTAATCTCTTCAGTATTAGCAAAGAGTCGTGCCTTCAGACCTTACGAAGGTTCAAGGTGCTCTCGCTCTGAACCTATTTGATCATTCAGTCGATCTCTTAAGTTCTCAGTTGCCATATCCAACATTGGCATTTTGTGATGTTTATAATGAAATATTTTGGTGTAGTGAAACTCAGGTTTTACCATCCGTGCTGGAGCTCGACTGCACTAATTCAACGTCTGATTTACCTTTAGAACACTAAGGTTAGCGTACAATCATAAAGACACGAAAGCTAGCCTGTTGCCTGCACTTGATCTTGACAATAGTGGCTAGTCTCTTGCATTGTTTCACTTTAGATTATCAGGAACTTTTCAAACTAAAGGTGCAGAGAAACCAGTGTTGATTTGGCAACTTGTTCACTCATGTTTACTAGATTCTGCAACAACTCGTCATATCAAAACAGGGACTTTGCCATACACCCAACTAACAGGTGCTACACCTAAGCTAAGTCACCACAGTGTTAAACTGTTTCTAATTTTATTTGGATGCATTTTTTATAGTCGGCATCTTTGGACTTTCTACTTCTCTGTACAGGTTCTCTTAAACACTGTGCTACTTCTGTGCCATGTTGTGTTGACGTCAGTAAAGTTCATGACACAATGAACTTCTTGGTTATACAGCAGAGACACTTTCGTTCAAGTACACAATGAAAAAATGGGCAAAGCGGTTTGGATACAGTGCAGCAGGTCTGATTTGATTTTGTTGTGATACAATTTACAATCTTGCAGTGCAGTTCTGTAACCTATTGCAGTTTGAAAGTCAGACAGGTTCTCTTTGAGGTGTTCAATGAGGGGTTCCTTTTTATGAATGGTCTAGTAGCACCGCTAGTGTGATGCTTTTGTGATGCAATGCATTGTACATAAATCCTTCTCTTCTTGTCCTGCTCCAGCTGAGGGTTTGTTGAGGGTAGTTGTCTTTGACTGTCAGTCGCATCTATTAGAACAACTCGGAATGTCTTGCATATGGTGATACACACATGACACAAGAAACTGTCCCTTTTTAGCCTCATGGGTTAATTGTGGTAACTCACTGGTGCTAAAGAAAAACAAGTTACTATCTGAATAAAGATGGCTTTTTTTGTGGCTTATGTAAAATATGTTAAATGAAAACTACTGTAAATAGAACAACACTGGAATCAGCTTGGACTTTGCTACAAACTAGTTTGCATAGCAACAGTGGTAACTCTTAAAGTCTATAAATGATAATCATTTGTGAGGTTTAAAGTTACTTTCGCTCAGAACTGTTACAGGTTACAAGACTGTTGCATATCTACTAAAGGTTTTAAAGTGTACTGGTGTGGTTAGATATGGTGTTTGACTTTGGTAACATTTAAAGAGTAGGTTTTCACTCAGGAAACGGATCTACAAAGAGCTGCTCAATCCAACTCTGTCTGATTTTGAGGTGTCATTTAGGCTAATGAGCAACTGATTGATTTTCTAGTTAGAGTCTAATGAGTAGATCTCTGGAGGCAGTACTTCAGATTTGGCCAATCGGGTCTCATTATCGTCAAGTCTGACAGTGCTGGAACGTGCTTGTTAGTTTATTGATTTTGTTAAGGAACATCATAGTTCCCTTGCAGCTGGATTGTCACAGTTTAACTTCTTCACAGATTACACCAAACAATCAGTGGTTCTCTAAATGGTGCTCTAACCCATGTTATCTTCTATACAGCCATATTTACCTTTGACTTAACTGTTTCAGGGCTTTCTGAGACTAGTTTGACCTTTTCTAAATCACATTTCTATGAACTGTTATTCGTCAGGTTTAATTATTAAAATAGGATGTGTATATAATCAAAATTGTGTTGTTTTCCTGAGTTTGTTAAATTAATACGCTAATTAGAAAAAAACGTAAGAGGCTCAGGTGTTTTTTTAATAGGCAAAAAGGAGTAACAGGACAGCCTGGAGAACGGGAAAGAAGACGTGGGAGGGGGCGCGGGGGAGCGAGAGATTATTTGGAAGAAGAGAGCCAGTGTGCTGGAGAGGGAGAGAGAACTGGAGAGGCAGAAGCTGGAGGAGGAGAGGAGGAACGCTGTGGGATACACTGTGTGGAGGCTGAGGGAGGGATTCCAGGAGAGGAAGGATAGAGAGGAGGATAAACTTAAAGGGACGAGCACAGAGGGTGCGAAAGCAGCGCAGCCAGAAGTGATTTGGAAAAGACGTGAGGAAGAGGAGGAGAAGGAAAGGGATAGAGCTCGGCTTGGCGACAGGGGTCACAAAATCATCTGGAGGAGGAGGGACAGAGAGTGACGGGAAAACATAGAGATCTGTCAGCACTAAGCACTCGCAGATATGTGACAGGAAGTGAGGTGGCAGATTTAGACTTACAGTATGAATAAGCCTGCATGTACTCTGATGTCTTGTATTTTAGGTAGTAGGTTGTGTACATCAGGGGTCTTCACATGGTTCTAGACCTCCTTTTGAGATGTTGCATGAAATTAAATAAGCCTAGTCAGTGATAGTTGTGTTCAAATATTAATAAACTTTGACAACTAAAACCCATTTAAATCATTATTATTAATATGCAGAGTCATATTTGCATGTTTCCTTTGTGACTGAAGGAAAAATTAAATATTTAGCTGCACTATTTTAACCTCAGTATGCATAGCAACAAATGGTTTGTTTCATGAGATGGCAACACAAGCCGTCATGGACCCCCATTGAAGATCCCTGCTGTATATCTTTTTAACACCTGAACTAAATTAAATCTCTAAAATTATGTTGATCTGCGCTGGTCAAGTCATCATTGAACGAATCATCATTAAATGATGCTCATTCTCTGGATCAGTACTTTAGCATTTTCCATCCATCTATTCCCGCTCTCTTCCTCTCTCACTCTATCGATCCGTCTGTCTGACGGAAGCCTTTTCTCTCAAAGTCTCAGCTGCAGCTAATAGGCTTTTTATGGGACTCTGTCAGACAAGAGATAGTAGATTGGAGCCCTACACATGCAAAGACAAATGAACACACACATAAACACACTCGCATGCATACCAAACACAACAGTACTCTTCTTCACACATCTACCTAGATGGATTGCGTCTAGAGCACTTATGTATAAATATACCAATAACTTCAAGACAATCGTACTATATTTAGTGATTCGTAGTGTCTGAGAAGCTCTATGCAGACTTAAGATCTGATGCAAAACCTTCTACAGGCTGTGTATGACAACAGCAGAAAACTTGATTACTTTTTTGCATCTGTCCTTTTGTCTCTTTTTACATCCTGTTTTTGATACTTTCCGGACTGAACAGTCAGCACACTGTCGTCTGTCTGGCGTGATGATGAAGGAATCGGTAGATGCAGAGAAAAAGAGGACTATAAAAGACAAGGAAAGACAAGTTATCGATTGCGACAGAGCGACGTGGAGAGACATTTAAGGACGTTTAGTGGACTCTGAGACGTCTTAGACATCATGGAGCTTGTCCCCAAAACTAAGTACACACCCTTTAGGAGTGACTCCTTCAGCTCAACAGACGAGACGGCGTCCAATCCTTCCCTTCCTTCTTCAGCTCCTCTCACCCCTCTCACCCCTCCTGGCATCCCTCCTTCTCTCTCCTCCTCCTCCCTCACCCCTATTCTGCCACCTTCTTCTCCACGGCAGGCTGAGAATAGCCCCACCACCTTATGCTCCTTCTTCCCCAGGATGGGAGCCCTGAGGCTGGGTGTGTCTTCCACTCTGCTCCCAGGCTTAAAGGCCTCCAGCAGGCCAGCAAATGTGCCTGGTAGCCAGGGAGGTTTGGGAGAGTCCTCGGAAGACACAGGGACCGTCAACTCTTCTCCTCCTCGTCTTCTTCCTCTTCTTTCTCTAACAGCCCCATCTCCTCCTCCTCGTCCCCCACAGGATATGAACCGGCTGGGCGGGGCCTCACGGAGGGCCCGTGTGGAAGGGGGCCAGCTCGGCGGAGATGAGTGGACACGGCATGGCTCCTTTGTCAACAAGCCTACCCGAGGCTGGCTGCACTCGGACATTGTGGTCAGCACCAGCGGAGTCTCCTACACTGTCAGGGTAAGATTCAATTCATTTCAAGTGTTTGTATGGAGCTTTTCCCAACAAGTATCATTCCAATGCCGCTTTACAAAATGTGTACATTATTGAACAAAATAAAGCCATATCCAAGAACTGGTTGCCCATGAAGTTAAGCAGGGCTGCCCATGGTCAGCATCTATATAAGAGATCTCCTGAAAATTCTAGATTGCTTCTAGAACTGTTGATACTGAGGCCAGTAAGGCTGCTCTGTGAGGGTTTTATTGCCATTGAAGGATGGGGACACTGTATTGTAAGTAGTGCTATTCTTTGGCTAAAATCAAGGTCCTTGTGGTCTGTGGTCATTAAAACTCCTCGTAGAGAGTAAAGGATGGCCAAAATCCCTCCATTGGCACTTATAAATCATGGCCTCAGTTTAATAATTCCCTCGAGTGAACTGACTCTATAACTCTCTCCTATCCATGTATAGCTATTGTGTGGTGAGCCCACTTGCACCATTGCATCAGCCCAGGTGGATGCTACACATTGTTGGTGGTTAAGAACGATCCCTGAGATGATTGAAAACACCAATACACATGCTAAAATTAGCATAAAATGCTATCCATCTCTAGCAAAGCCAAAATAGCATACGACATGCTAGCAGTATGGCAAAATGTACTAGCATTATGTTTAATTAGTCTAGCATTGTGTTGAAACATTCTATTAGCAAGTTAAACATGGCGTCATAGTATTAATGCAGAGGGTGATAGAGGGTGATAGCAAGTCTACTAACATGCTAACAATGTTAGCACATAGCAAGCACCCAGAATACCACAACAAATGGCTAGCAATGCCTTTTAGCCACAGAATGCCATAGCCTCTTTAAATGTTCATTTTTAGCCTACTTATTTAAAACTACTCCCTCAAATTGCCTGATAAGACTTTTTAAACTCAGGGTGCTTTCACACCTACACTTTTGTTTCGGAACGTATCCTGTTAGCCCAGTTAGTGCGGTTCGATTGGCATATGTGAACAGGGCTCTGTTCCGCGCCAAAGTAATCGCTCCGAGATCGCTTGAATGAGGTGGGCTCGGCTCGATTGAAACGAACCCTGGAAGAAGAGAGAATTATGAGTATGGCGGGAAGTTTCGCGAGTCTCCGGATGCCCGCAAATGAGAGATGATCTCCCGGTAATCTCGCGTCACCCCTCCCCACCGCGTCTCTCCTCAGACACGTCGTGCGCGCGCACCCTGTCAATCACCACCTCTCCTGACAGCTTAGCGGGACGCTGCAAAATAAACCCTGACACTCTGACCAATGTGAGGAGAGTTTACTCGCATGTGACTTTTAGCTCTTTTGGTCCGATTAGAAACTTTGCAGTGTGAAAGCGAACCGCTCCAAGAGCAAAGAGCAACAATGTAACATTTGTAATCTTTGTTTCGGAACAACTGAATCGATTCACAGGTGTGAAAGCACCCTCAGAGTCAATGTTTGTCATGTCTTTATTACGTCTTTATACTTCCTGTGCAATGGACATGATATGTACCTTTAATTAGGCATCCTGCAGTGGTAGACAGTAAAGCAGACAAAGAAATCTCATACATTTCAATAGAACAAGGGACCAGTTATATCTGAGGTACAGAACACAGAGAGACTTGGACCACCCAGCGGTACAAAACACCATAGAAAACCTTCACCTTAGCCCTAACTCTTGTTCTGCACATTCATGTGAAGGTGTAGGGGTGTCCCATGTCTCTTTAGTCTGAAGCCATATGGTTAGACAGCCCTTTAAACAGATATTTTCACAGAATACAGCAGCTAAAATGGCAACATGGCTGCACACGCAAATAAAAAGATGCATGAATTAATATTGTTTGCCATTAAGATGTTAGATAAGACATTACAAATTTTTTTACTAAGAATTTTACAACAAACAAGCACGTTTAATATATTCATAACGGCATTCGTGTTTTATCGTCATGTTTTTTTTTTTTTAAACGATTAAGAAAAAATGCTAAATTTTGCTAATATCTATATGCTAAACACTAATATCTATAATCCTTTCACATACTTTCACATCTGTCACTCCATGACATTCGAATACCCTGTCGGAAAAGTCTAGTGACTGGAAAATACCTTTTTACAGTGTGGGGTAAGTTAGTGGTAATTTGTTTTCTTGTGTTTACAGTAATTATTGTATAAACGGTGTAAATACATCATTAAAAGCTTAATGCTATATTATGTAGTTATTTCGCTAAGGACGGAATAGAGGTAAAAAAATAGAATTGGGATTGGGCCTTAATTATCCCAACTAGGGGTGTGAACCTACACTGGTCTCATGGTTCGGTTCTGGTATGATCCATCGATTTGGTTCAATTCGATATCTTGGTGCATCATGGTGCATTGACGATGCTTTCCATTAACAATTTGATATTTTACTTAGCAACATGATAATTCTTTTATTAAAATTGATTATTTATAAATACAGTATATTTATATTTATATATTATTATTTGTAATACATATTTAATTTTGGATTTACACCAAATCAATAAATGTAAATTTGATCCCACTTGCTAATTGAGTGTTGTTGAGCGAGTTGTTAAAGGACTACGATTGATCACATGCTCAACAGAAAAGGCTGCGATTGGCAGTCGAGGCTCTGGCGTTGTTCAGCCATTACTCTTTTTAATTACTCACAATCTTCTATCTCGTCATAGTAAGCTGCAGCCATATAGCACATATGTGATAAATGATGTCAGTACATGATAATCGATTATGATTATTACCGATACCAAATTGTTCACATCTGCATCGCGGTGCAGAAACAAGAAACAATTAGTTTTGACTATCTCCACCATGGTTTTGGTCTTTACTGCAAATAGCTGTCCCATCAAATAATACAGATTTAACCTAGAACACCTTAACATCATGACATTGAGATTTGCACATAAAAGCAACACCTATAAACATACAGAATAAAAATATAGTTTAACAAAATATATAAAAACGAATTGTAGTCCTAGTGTTGTCCTAGAGCTTGGTTAAGAGCTTGGAGCTCTGTTACTTTTCAATTCTCTCAGTAAAACAGTCCATTTATTGTGCTTAATGGATTGTGTTTTCTTTAATGTGAGGCATTTTCAGAGGAATTTGAGTCTATGGGCAGGAACTGCATTCAGAACTGCTTTATTTGATTAGTCCATCGTAATTAGAGCATCAGTTCTCATAAAATGCGCACACACACTTAACCAAATACACTACAGCTGCCTGGCAAACTCCATAATCTTGACACAAGGCAACTGCATAACACTAAACTGCATTCTGTGCTCTGAATAGTAGTCAGACAGTGAGAATAGGAAGTGCTTTGACTGAAGGTCTGTCTTCTTTGTCTTTGCTGCAGTATATGGGCTGCGTGGAGGTGCTGCAGTCAATGAGAGCACTGGACTTCAACACCAGAACTCAGGTTACCAGGTAACACATGCGCACACACACAAGCACATCCACTCTCGCTGGCACTTCCTCTCATATTCGCTCAAATATCTAGTGTATGTACATCCACAGCGTCCCTCAGGAGTAATTTAGTCATACATTCTCCCCACATCCTAATGCACATGTGCGCGAACATACACTCTCTCGCACACGTCCGGTTAAAAGCCCCTCCTCTGATGAAAAATTCATGCTGCTTTCTCACAGAGTGTGACAGAAAGAAAACACAAGAGAGAAATGCTCACTTTCTTATTCTCACAGCCATTCCCTTCCTTTAGTTTTCATGCTCTTTTTTTTTATCTGTATGTGTATTTGAGTATGTGCGCACACATGAAGTGGCAAAAAAAGTGTTGTCTTAGGACTGCTGAACGTTCACTATATTAAGCCTCATTATTGGCTAGTTCTGTTTGCAAAATGCTACACATTCTACATTTAAATGTTGTAGAAAGGCAACGGGGAAGATGGGAGGCATTATAATAGCACCAACCCTGCTGTGTAACCACAAAGCCTTAGAATAGAATCCTCTGGAACCCTCGCGGTTTCCTCCCTTTTCTCCACGTTCGCCTGTGTGTTTGCACTTGTGTTTGTTAATGGACGTTTTGACAGTATTGACAGTAGCAGCTGCTCGATAAACTATTTTCATGCGTAATTTTCCGATTCTCACTGGAAGTAAAATACATTAAAAGTATGTGTGTATGTATGTGTGTGTATGAGCATAGAGATGTGGAAATTTAGTGTGTGTGTGTGTTTTGTAAGTGAAGGTTTTTACTATTGTTTTTGTTTGTATTTAGGGATGCACCAACATAACAACATATAGGCTTTTCCAATATCAGAAACAATAGCCAATGAAAACAATGAGTCTGTATAAAACCCAAATAAAATATTTACTGTTGTTAAAAATATGTTACTGTTGTTATTTTTGTTATTATTATTAGTTGTAATAGTATTATTAATGATATGTAGCATTAATGATATGTTTTTATTTATTTTACAGTAAGATATCGCAGTACTAAGTACTGTAGGGATGCAACGATTAACCGATTTCCTTATTAACCGTGCTTTAATTCATCATGGTTAATTAATCATAAAGGCTTCTCAACACCGTGTTTCTGCATGAAACAAAACTGCTGCAGCTAAACAAAGTTACGCCAAATGTGCACAAGTTTAATGTTCCAAGCTTGAACACTGAGTCTTTTGCCGAGTTCAGACTGCATGATTTTAGCCCTGATTTTGACTCTCTGACAGGTTTTGAGAAATTGCAAATGTCTAAAATTACAAGCAAATCGGTGTTTGTTCATGCGAGTAACATGCACACAGTGTGAACTATCCAAGACGCAATTTGAGAGAATCGCAGATGAGTCGCCGACACCTTTGAGATATTTGGCATGCTAAATATCTGGAGCTGTCGGCGATTCAGATCATGCCATGTGAAATGTGTTCTGATTGAAAATAACATCAGCGATTACCTACAGCCAATGAGAATGAGCAGCATCCGCTAGTGTGGGTGTCTGTAGTCTGGCGGGAGGATGAGGGAGAAGTTAAAAGTGCTTCTTTTCTACGTTTGTTTAGACCCAGGAAATGAAGGAAAAAAATGTGTAAATTTGGCAGGAGCCACCCGTGTCGGCATTCGTTCTCATTAAGGGACATACTCAGCTAATATGTAGGCAATTCTGTTTTTTAATATTTAATATTTTTATTTATTTGCTTATTTATTGTTCTAACATTTATTTTCAATGTAAAAGTATTACTTATGTTTAAAATACCAAAAACCTTTTTCACTTATTTTTAAATCCAAATACAAATGGACTTATGTTTGTTTTTATTATAATTTTATTATTATTATTTATAATTTTTTATTATAATTTTGTGCTGTATTATTTGGTTACTGAGCCGCAATAGGAAACAAATCTATCATTGTTACCTCAAAAATATTATTAATATAAATAACAAAACCAACTAACACCATTAAAAAAGCAACAACAATAAAATATATTTGAAAATAAAAACAAAACATAAATAAAATATTCAAAATAAAAACTACAATATTGTAATTTAATAATGCACAGTTATTTACTAAATTAAATAAACAAGGAGCCCATGTTTGACTGGCATTAAAAATAACCAAACCCTGTTGGATTTGTTGATAAATGATTGTCGGAGGAATAATCACAGTTTCACAGTTACACAATTATTCATTCATTTCTAAACTAGTAGTGTAGTAGTAGTAGTTTTGAAATTAATCAGTGCATAATAATTGTGATAACTGCTAAACCGTGATTATTTCTCCGACTATAATCGCACAATTAAAATATATAATTGTTTTATCTCTAGTACTAAGTGTATGTTTTTATGAGGAAATAAAACTTTCCCTAAATTGTCCAGCTCTTCAGCATTGTAATATGTAGATGAAAATGGATATACATTTGTTTATTAACAAACCCAAAAGGGTTTTTGTTGTTTTTTTTATGCCAGTCAAACATTAGCTCTTTGTTTATTTAATTTTATAAAAACTTTATACTATAAATTACAATATTGTAGTTTTATTTAAAATGTTTTATGATTATGTTTTTATTGTCAAATATATTTTATTGTTGTTGTTTTTTTAAATGTTGTTAGTTGATTTGTTATTTATATGAATGATATTTTTATTGTAAAAATAACAGATTTGTCAATAGTAGATGCTTTGCTGTTTTTGTTAGTGCCTGTGTGTGTGTGTTTGTGTTTTTATCTGCGTGGAATGACTGGAGCATGTGTCTAATGTAATAGTCCCCCACCTCAACCATATGAAATCTGGGAATGCATGAAAACGAGTGTGATGGAAACTCATCTAACAATCTGATTATGTTCTCCTCACTATCTGCTGCTGCCGCTGTGTGTATTTTTATAACCGTTTGTTCTGTATTTCAGGGAGGCGATATCAGTGGTGTGTGAGGCGGTACCAGGTGCCAAAGGAGCTCAGCGAAGGAGAAAGGTTTCCAATTCTTTATCTTATCTTACTTTCTCAGACACACACTTTCAATTTTGCACTTTATTCACACTTGTGTTCGTCAAGCTCACAGCTCACAAACCTCACAGTATTCTAGTACAGCCTGAGCAGTTTCCAGTAAAAAATGTTACTGTTACACACCAAACACATACATATGCATCCATGCGCACTCGTCAGAGTGTGGTATTTGGTTTATGGCTGGTTTCAGAGGTTGCCAAGTACAGGACCTCTGATTTGCATACAGAGTGAATGTGTGAATAAGAAGCCATGGTAATGTGCTTGTTATGATCAAGACATGTCTGTTTCTCATGGTTTGCAGAATTGATAGTGGTAAAACAGATCACAAACTCACAGTTTGGGCCATAATATAGTTTTTGAGACACGGTTTGCATACAATGTGAATACAGAAATTACTAAATTATTGTTTGAGTATCTGACCACTCAACCACATTATGCCACTAAGTAGGATATGACAGTACGCCACAATATGCCACTGGATTTTTTTAAAAACTATTTTTCAAAAACTATTTCAAATATCTGCCGTTAATGCTTTTCTTTTTGATGGAAATGCAAGCTCTTATGTCTGATGTTTGAGTATAATATTGGGCAGCTGACAAAAGATTAATAGTAGGTGTACTTTTACAACAAAGGAGTACATTATGAATGGTACAGTATACCTGCTTTCAGTTCTGTCATTCCCACAATGTTGCTTCAGTTGCACATCCTTGCTCATGTATCCTCGTGCTATAGTGCTGACATACTGTAATGCTGGGTTAACACCTAATGTGAAGAGATCATGTGCATTGATCTTGTTTAGTGAATTTTCTGCTTGATTTTTTTTCGAAGATGCAATTGAAGGTGAACTCTGCATGTTCGTGGCAATTAACACTTATCTGTGGAAATTCGCTTCTTCATACAAGTCAATGCAAATGGGGGAATATTTTACAAATATGTCAATTCTAGGGCTGAATTAAAAATAAAAAAATTATTGGCTAACAGTAGCTATGTTTCTATCCTCCTATTTTTATGCACATTTTGGATATGTGGATTAAAAAAAAAACAGTTGATGAAAATGCCAAGATGCGCATCAATTTTGAAAATGCGCATAACTAAGTTGGATAAACTTTTTTTTTCAATAAGATGCACGTAAACTATGATGAAAACATTTTTACCAAACAAATTCCAGTATGCACATTAAAAAAGGTCCTGTGATTTTGTTATTAGACATCATGTGATGATAAAAATGTGTGTGGATGTCCAGCAGGCTGAGCACACAGTAAATTAGCTGACATGTTGTTTTGGTCATTCTAAAATGCCTAAACCATTTAACATTATTAATTACCTCCAGGGTTGTCCAGAGTGCCTGTGCTTCACGTCTCACACCTTCAAACACCACCACGTGTTCATTGCGTTTCAGCATACCTTATAGTCTTTTGAGGCGCAAGTAATTTATCAAATAAAGAAAAAATTCACGCCACCACAGCAAATTCCATCTTTACTGTTGATATTTGGCACCAGACAATCAGAAAGTAACAATTTTGTTCTCTTTGACTCGTTAGATGAAAACGCTGCTTTATTTACATGTCTTTTATGCGATAATTCTGTTTGCGCATAATTTAATTTGCATCTTTAGATGGAAACATGGCTAATGGCATTTTCCGAAACAGTAGTGTTAAGCACTCTATGGCTTTCACATTCATTTCAGTGGTTGTGAGGGGGCAGTTTGTTGCTGTAGTGATCAAAGCGCAAGAGCAGCAGAGCAAACTGTTGATTTGCTTGCACGCACGCTGCGGTTAAAGTCCAAATTAACCTTTGACAAAACCTTTGTCAAATAAATAAATGAAAGTTATCTGAATCATCATTCAGAATCAATCTGGTAAAACTCAGCACCAAACAAACTGCTATAGACAACCATCAGTTTTATGCATTTTAAACAAACAAAAAAATGAAATCTATGAGCAATTTTCACACTAACCACAATGTAAACCTGGTACGTCAACAACTTATGGAAAGTAAGCCGTGTATATTTAAAGTGCAAAAACTGCTGTTGTGTATGTTTAAAAAATAAATAAATAAAACAAAAAAAAATAAATCACAGCATTTTTCTGAGCAATACAACACTATACTTCAAAAAATGTGTTCAGAAATGTGTCACTGTGTCTACTAAACTAATCAATTTTGTTATACAGATAACAAATGTGTGCTTATTTATTTGAAACAACAAACATAGTAGTAGTAATTAATAATAGTAACGTTAATAGTCTCTTGGTCCCTCTCGCACACACACTCCCTCTACCTCGCGCGTATTCAGTCTGCGTATTCAAGCACACTTGCCTCTCGTGTGCACCCAGTCTCTCACATGAGCACTCAGTCTCTCTCGCGCGCACACTTGATATACCTCGCGTATTCGGCCTCTGCTTTCACTTGACGTGTCTTTTTTACAGTGGTTTGTTGGCATCCACCAATCCCACAATGCATCGCTGCTGTAAACAGGTAGATGTGGGCTAGACTGCAGCCAAATTTCATCAACTTACTTAGTAACGGACAAACGCAACAAATTGTTATGACAACGGAATTACTATATTTAAAAAGTAATGCGTTACAGTGTTAGTTATTGTCAAAAATAATGTCGTTACAGTAACACATTACTAGTAACGCGTTATAACCCAACACTGTGCATCACATTCATTTATTTATTTTCTTTTTGAAACCCCTTTATTAATCTGGGGTCACCACAGCGGAATGAACCTTCAAATTATCCAGCATATGTTTTACACAGTGGATGCCCTTTCCGCTTCAACCCATCTCTGGGAAACATCCATACACACTCATTCACACTCATACACTTCGGACAATTTAGCCTACCCAATTCACCTGTACTGCATGTCTTTGGACTGTGGGGGAAAACGGAGCACCCGGAGGAAACCCAGACAAATGCAGGGAGAACATGCAAACTCCACACAGAAATGTCAACTGACCCAGCCGAGGCTCGAACCAGCGACCTTCTTGTTGTGAGGCGACAGCACTACCTATTGCGCCCAATATGCACTTCTTTTTGATCCATTTGTTCCAAAAAAAAGTGCAGCTTTTGCCTTTGAGGTGAAGATGTACCCTACATTCCATTAAAAATCTTTTTTCATGAAATATTGAGATTTCATCTTGAATTATTTAGCTGTTCTTTTTAAATCTTCTGTCTGCTGTAATTAACAATGTCTCTCTGTTTTTGTGTCTTCAGCCCTCCTCTCGCTGTCTGTCCTCCATCTTAGGGAAGAGTAATCTCCAGTTTGCTGGAATGACAATCACCCTCACCGTGTCGACCAGCAGTCTGAACCTAATGGCCATCGACTGCAAACAGGTTAGACGCCAAACACGCTCACACAGCGATACAGTGCCTTTCATCCCGTGTGAAATTCACTGTTAGCCGCATGTAAGGATAAAAGCGCTCTACATCTTTCTGATGCTCCTCACAGCAGGGCAGCTGGACTGAATTATGCCTTCTCTTCCTCGGAGTAAAACATTTCTCTGAAAGTTTCAAAAGTGAATTTTAGGGTTTGCAATCTTTTCAGAAGTTCTTGTATGTGATTCAATTCAAGAACAAAAAAATATTTCTTTGAAAGTATATAATTGAGCCCAGGGCTCCCGCTTGGTCAATTAACAAGTAAGGGGGTCTGTGATCAGTTAGTTCTCAAGAACTCCCCCTGGTAAAGGAGAAAAAGGAGGAGATGGGGTGGATGGGGGTATTCTTCAAAAATGAAGATAAAGGAAGTAAGATGAAATGGACTATTTATTGTAGTTTTGGATTAATCTGCTTGGTTTATCGATGATTACAGATGAGAGACCTGGGGCGATCAATCATATCACATGCTCCTCTCGAAATTAGTTTATAAAACTTCACATATCCACTTGAATGTGTGACTTGTTGTGCAGATCACCCAGGGAATTCCCTAAACCAAGTGTGTTTAAAAGCAAACATAATAGAAAAATGTACCTCGGCCACATAGTTTTATCTTGATTCCAATTTTAATCTCTTTTATGGAACTCCAACCCCAGCACTCCTCGTCACAAATACAACACTGTATAATGTGAACAAACTAACTGCCAGAAAAGTTGTCCATATGGAGATAGAAAATGGAGGCAAATGTATTCGACATAGGCATCATTCATTTGTTTTGCGGTATTTATTTGATATTGTTCCAAGAACTGCACAAAAATCTTCTTTTGCTTGTTGGTAATTTGTCCCTGTAACGATAATTAGTGTGAAAAGGAATAAAACTTTGGCGTCATATTACCTCGTAGCATTCATTTTACCTAGAAACTGCAGTTCACTGTATGTTTAAATATGTTTTTGCACAGTTTCATACAAATGTAGGCACGTATTTTCAATGAGCTTGTTAAGTCTTTCCTAAAAAATTAAAGTATTATTAATGGAAAATTCGTTTGTTTTAATGTACTTTTGCACTTTCAATCAAGATTCAGTAAGACTCCTTTGCCAGTGTTTAATGGCTAGTCACAAAAAACATTTTTGAAACATATAAAACCGTAGCCTCTTTTACACACACCGTTTTACAGGTAAATCAGCAGTAAATAACTGTTAAAAGACGTTATGTGAACAGAGCGTTTTCCAAAATATCTGTAAATCACTATTTACAATTTTTTACGTGTGTGAACAAAGAACAGGATTAAAAAACACATTCTGCTTTATCATCTCCTTACACATCAACATTGTATCAAATTTGACAGAGAATGAAATTAAAACAGCATATTCATGTCTATTTATTTATTGTTTCAGTCAAAAACAAATTATTTTAAAGTGAAAGTGAAACTAGACACATGTTGGAAAATTATAGAGTGGAGAAACTATGACGTCACTTCGTAAGCTAATCGGCTGCTAGCATAAAACTGGTTCCCTCGTGAAAATCCCTATGGACGTTTTGTCAAGCCAAATAATCGTCTCACGAAAATACAACTTTGAGCACTTTTGAATTGCAAAGCTAACATTAGGCTATAAATGGACTACAGAGCCCTCGGGACGCTCGTCTGTGACGTCAGCCCAGCCCTACTACAGACGACTTATCAAGTTTATTTTTAGAAATAATGTCCATGACAAAAAGTTAATCTCTCTGTTTATTATATTATAATCCACGGTATATATTATAAACAAATTAATATGCAAAAACAAATAGACCTATGTGCCTTTTGGATCGTTTTTGGGAAATTTTTGGGAAATACATCTGTTTTGTTTTACGGTTGTTCTAAAAGTTTTTAAACTGTGTAAAAATCTGGCTACATAGTATTATCATGAGACATATTTAAATAAGTGTATTGCTTGTGTGCACACAGTCCGCTTACCTTAACAGACGACAGAAATGAGGCGTGAGGAGGAACAAGTCTATCAAATGCCTGCAAGTTCCATCATGGACACAGATCAACATTCAATATTCCTTTTTTTGTCACGAAGTACAGTGAAAAGCTGCCCATACAGTCACATCTGCTATACATTTTATGGAGGAGTGTAAATATTGCAGTTATGACCGAGTTGAATGTGTTCAAATGAAGATAAAAAGACGTTTGCATTACTGAGAGCAGGAAAGAGACATACTGCACTAGTAAACAGTATCTTCATAATATTGTTTATTAAAATAAATGATCAACAAATGAATCTGTCTTGACAGCCTTTACAAGTGAAGTAATTATCTACACACAATCTGAATTCCCAATTAATATAATACTACAAACTATAAAATACTATTCATGAAAATACCTAAATAACAGACAAATCCAAATGCCCAACACAAGCGAGCTGCGCTCCAGACCAGATCAGCTTGATGACATATAGGGCTCTATTTTGACGGTCCATGCGCAGAGCAAAAACGCAGGGCGCAAACGCTTTAAGGGTGTGTCAGAACACATTTTTGCTAATTTAAGGACAGGAAAATCCGCTTCGCGCCGTGGCGCATGGTCTAAAAGGGTTGAGTTTATTTTCTTAATGAGTTATAGGTGTGTTTTGAGAATAAACTAATTAGAGCAGGGGTCTCAAACTCGCGGCCCGCGGGCCATTTGCGGCCCTCAGTGCAATATTTTGTGACCCGCGCCGACCGCTGTACACTGACAGAATCAGCGGAGCGGGGAGAGAGAGCGCTCCCCGCTCCGCTGATTCAATCCGTACACAGCGCGCTTGTCACTCAATGCGCGTTGTTGCGTGCGTTTTGATCAGCTGTGTTGTTGCGCGCGTACTCAAGAGCGGTGTTATCGCGCGCCTACTGAAGGGCGGGACCAAGGGTGTGTCGCGTCGCGGGGGCACTTATGATCATTTTGGAAGGGCACTTTCTATGCAAGACTAAAAAGGGCATGTGCTCTGCACAGGTTGAGCCCTATGTGTGCACGTGCCTGCCCTGCATCTTATATATATTATAGGTAGATACAGACTGGTACAGACTGATGTGACTGGAGTGGGGTGGGGGTGTTTTATTTATACATATATACGCCTTTTTTTAGGTGAGGGAATGGAAGTTTTGAGTGAGTTCCCCCACATTTTTCCCTAGGACTTCAATAAGTCAAAGTACAGGTCTAGACTTAATGATGATCATCTTCAAGCCATACTGAGGGTCTCAACTGCTTCCGCTCTAAAGCCAAATGTGGTTCAGATTTGTGAGAAGAAGCGCTGTCAAGTCTCTGGCAGCAAGAAGTAGGCAAAAGATGCCATGTTCAGAAGAACTGTTCATAATCTTCACTCAATGTTCTATTAATGTTCAGGACACTTCATGTTCAGAAGAAATAATTAAAACTGTTAATAATGACATTTGAGGACTTTTTTTTGTAAAATCCCTTATGCGGCCCAGCCTCACCCAGACTTTGCCTCCAGGTAAATTGAGTTTGAGACCCCTGAATTAGAGTCTCATCTCCCATTCCCTTTAAGAGCCAGCTGCGTCACGCCATAAGCGCATTCGCTATTTACAGGACGTAAAGTAAGTCTAAGTGGAAAAAATGAGCATTTCACTAGCAAACAGTTAACAGTTGACAGTTTTTTTTAACAGAAAACTGTTAAACAGAGCATCTACTGCGTGAGAATGAGAGATAATGGATCTACTTTCACTTTTGCTCTTGGATAGGGAAACCTTTACGCACAGACACCAATTAGTCTAAAAATAAATAATTGCGTTTGTTAAGCGCAAATATTCGTTTCAAAACTATTTCTAAATTCAGTTCTAATTTCCAGCAAACGAATAAATGAACAATAATAACGAAGTGTGCTCAAAAACCTGAGTTATATCCTAAAACACATGCTGTGCCCCATATGGTCTAAAACCTGACAGGTGGGCAAATCTAAGCTTGTTTTTGATTAAACAAATATAAATATGGATATAATAAATAATACTGCTAATAATAATAGCATTATACAAAAGCAAATTGTTATTAATGAACTGAAAAAGCCTCCCGAGATGAAGAAGACATAAAAGCAGTGATTTTTCATATTTATGTAGGCTAGAAAATAATGTTTTGTAATTTAATCCTTTATATTTATATCCTATATCTAATCTTATTATATCATATATATATATCCTTAATATTTAAATTTTTTATATGTAAAGATATTTGCCTATTGCTTTCTTGTGTGTATTAAGCAGTGTGTAAGCGAGGCGCAACTCTACTCCGGAGTTTAGACCCGGTTTGTTTTGGTCTAATGAAAAATCTATTTTAGTTTCTCAAAATAGCAACGCGCCAGCAATGCGCCTTAGAACGCCTTCCTTTTTAGACCAGAACGTCTATGGGCGCACATATGAGCGCTAATGCATTTGCTATTTAAACAGCGTAGCGCAACGCCTCAAAACCACTCTTGCGCCAAGCTGAAACTAGCAAAAGACTATTGCGCCGGGTGTATGATAGGGCCCATAATGTCCGCGACTCTGCTTGTAGCACCATTTAGCAACTTGATAGCAACCATCTTTTTAAAGAAGCATAACCGATTTAAAAATTCAAGAGTGTGCTGTAACTAATGTGTTTTATGTCGTAGAACAAAACGTGAAAGCATCTTGAGTTTGAGTCAGCCACGAACCTTATTTAAGCGATTTTACTGAAACCTCATACAAAAAACCCATTGACTTTGAGACGAGGGAACCGGAACTGCTAAAATGCTAACTCGCTTCCGGGTTTTGCATACAAATGACGTCATAGTTCCTCCACTCTATTAAAGCACTCACAGGTCTTTCATTCAAAAATTAGACATGGTTTAAAGTAGCCATTGGTTTCTCCATGGGGCTAATCTCCAGAAAATTGTCAGCATTTAACTAAATATGCTTGTTACCTAGAGACCCACTAGACGATGTAAAAGTTGGCGTTGTCGGCAGAAACAGATTTCCTCTGGCTTGTTTACAGTTTTTTTCCGCTTGCTAATAATTGCTGAATTATTGGCCAGGGTGTTTGGCATTAGCGGGGTAAGGTTTATCTGCATTTGGACTGCTCAGCAAGGCAGATGACTGGAGTAATTGCTCTACTGAAATGCCTTTATCTTAATGAATCTAAAGCTTGCAGAGTTTTACATAACTGCTCTGTTCCTCAGATGTTTGACCGCAGTCTCACCGCATCATTTCTCCCCTTGTCTATTACTCCGTCCATCCTGTCTTCTGCTGTGTTTGCTCATTCTTCATCTCATTCATTGTTTTTGTCACATTGTCCTCTTCTCCATCCCTCTCTCCTTACAGATTATCGCCAACCATCACATGCAGTCCATCTCTTTTGCATCAGGAGGAGATCCAGTGAGTCACACAGTCTCTCCATATGTCTGTCTACTTCTGCTTCTGACTCTATTCGGGATGTTAATCACTGGCCAACAGTTATTAGATGTTTGTAAAATATATGTAAAAATATGTTTGGTTTGGTAAAGAATTGTTAAATAAGTGACATTAGCGAATAGTTTGTTAATTTTGTCACCGGCAGTTCTAATACAAAAATTTTAGAAAACTTAAAACTTATAAATATAATGAGCCTCATGGTGGTGCAGTGGGTAGCACGATCAACTCACAGCAAGAATGTTGCTGGTTCGAGACTCGGCTAGGTCGTTAGGCATTTCTGTGTGATGTTTGCATGTTCCCCTTGTGTTCTCGTGGGTTTTTCTCCGTGTGCTCCAGTTTCTCCCACAAGTCCAGACATGTGGATATAGGTGAATTGGGTAAGCTAAAATTAGCCATAGAGTATGTGTGTGAATGTGTGTGTATGGATGTTTCCCAATGATGGCTGGAAGAGCATCCGCTGAGTAAAACATATGCTGGATAAGTTGGCGGTTCATGCTGCTGTGGCGACACCAGATTAATAAAGGGACAAAGCCAAAAAAAAAAAATGAATGAATGAATGAATTATAATATAATTTAAAAATTAAAATATAGTTAAAACACATTTAAATATATTAAATATAAACATATATTTAACAAATATATATATATATTATAAAATATGGCTAAATGTTTTTTTTAATCAATAATTTATTTTAAAATTGTTTTTTTTATTCCGATTTTTTTAATAGAATTTTTAGTTTTAGATTTTTAATTTAGCATTTAATTTATTATAAAATAATAAATACCAGTTCATATTAAATCAAATGTAAAAAAGCACAATAACACTAATAATTTATTAAAATAAATAATGCTGATAATTTTTTAAACAAAAAATTTTGTTAAAATAAATAATAACTAATTTAACTAAAGTTGGTTTAAAAATATACTTAAAATATTGTTTAGCCACTATTGTTAAATAAGAAAACCATCAAATAGACGTGTCAAAAGGTAACTTTTAAAAGAATTAAATATTAATTCAACATGAAATATATTATTCATAAATGTTTAACAAATCTATGGAGCATAAAACAAGTTCACTTGATAAACGTAACAGTACTTTCTTTCTCCATAAAGTGAAAGTCTGTAATTACCAATTTGGCATAAGATTCAAAATAAAAGTTGGTATTTAAATATATATATATATATATATATATATAAGTGAATTATGCATATTTATTGTTTGTATATGTAAATGCTCACATTTCAGTGTGTAATTGTACATATCTATATATAGAATATATTTTCAAATACAAATTCTATAGGAAAATAATTATATGTAAATATTTTTGTTTTGTATGTTTTGTAACTGTATATACAAAATAAATATTACACAGCACACCACATATTATGTAAATACAAACTTTTATTTCAAATATGATTAATTATGATTTAAATGTTTGGCAACATTATTCAAAATGTTCATCAAAATGTTAGCTTCTTCCGGGTGCTCCGGTTTCCGGCACAGTTCAAAGACATGTTCTATTGGATGAACTAAATTGTCCGTACAGTATAAATGTTTGTGAATGCAAAAGTGTATGGGTGTTTCCCAGTTATGGGTTGCAGCTGGAAGTGCATCCACTGCATAAATCATATGATGGAAAAGTTGACGATTCACTGAGGCGAACCCTGATACAGGTGAAGTCAGAATTATTAGCCCCTCTTTGAATTTTTTTTCTTTTTTAATATTTCCCAAATGTTTTTTTTTCTTCTGGAGAAAGTCTTATTTGTTTTAGTTCGGCTAGAATAAAACCAGTTGTTAACTTTTTATAAACCATTTTAAGGTCAATATTATTAGCCCCTTTAAGCTATAAATTTTTGATAGTGTACAGAACAAACCATCATTATATAATAACTTGCCTAATTACCCTAACCTGCCTAGTTAACCTAATTAACCTAGTTAAACCTTTAAATGTCATTTTAAGCTTTAAAGAAGTGTCTTGAAAAACATCTAGTTAAATATTATTTAGTGCTAATAATTCTGACTTCCAACTGTTTAAGGTACTAAGCTGAAGGAAACTTAATGAATAGTATTTAATTTTTATGTAATTTACATTTTATATAGACAGTCCTAATATATGAATAAAATGAATCTGTTAGTTGGTTAAGGGATACATCCCCTCCTACATTTGGATTCCTCATGACCTTCTCTCAGCTTCACTCTCATTCTGTCATCTTCGCTCATTCGTCGTCTCGTCCTGCTGTCTGCTCTCGTCTGCTCTTTTCTCCCACTGCTTCCTCTTCTGCTTTCTGCCCTTTAGTGAACAGACGCCTCTACTAAACGACTTACTCTCTTCTGCTAATCCCTCTGTTCTTTGTGTCTGCTCTCTAATTTCTCTTAATGTCCTCCTGTTCATTTTTCCTTTCTTCCTCTCCATCCCCTTTTCTCTGTTTCTCCACAGGACACAGCGGAGTATGTTGCATACGTCGCCAAAGACCCCGTCAATCAGCGAGGTACAAACATACTTTGATGCCTTAAACACTGAGTTTAATCACATCTATAAGTGTAAAGGAAATCATTGATTCTATTTAAATGGGTGTTAAAGGGGTGTTGTAAAAAAATAAATGAATGAGTGAAAAGAGAGGAGAGAACCCAGTCCAGGAGACTCGAAACAAGCAGAATTCCTTTATTGAGACGTGTTGGTTAATCTGCAGTCATACAGCGTCTTCAAGATGTCTATGTGTCTGCAAGAGCCTACTAGAGGTCCGCAGTCTGCAAGTTCTTTCACAAGTCTCTCACAAGTCTCACACAAGTCTGCAAATAGTCTGATTTAAGACAAAGATTTCATGTCTAAATTGTGTTCTTAGGAGGAGGGGATTTGGCTTAAACAAAGTATGCAAATTAAGAGTTGTGGTCGGCAGGGTAAACTGCTTTTTCAGGCCTAATCTCATCTTGTTCTGGAGACAGAAACCGCCTGACTATTTGATCGAAAAAAGAAAACAATAGACACCCCATGCTGTGAAACTGACAATTTGCATTACTTTGGCTTAGTCTGTAGTCAGCAAGGGAAAAGTTAAATGACCCTCCTAGCTGGCATGTCAATGAAATAAAATAATTAAAAACCAAAGAATATAACTTTTCAGTTATACGTAGATTATTGTTCATTTGGAATTAGTTGATAGAAATTTATATTTCCACAGGGGTCATAAATTGCCCATTTTATTATTTAATACTTCAAATAAAATGATGTTACTAATTACTCATCCCCATGTTGTTCCAAACCCCTGAGACCTTCATTCATCTTTGGAGTAAATTTTAAGTTATTTTATTAAATCTGAGACTTACCTAATCCTCCACAGACAGCAATGTTCCAGACTTGTTAAAATTGCAGAAAACGATAACTTTTGTGCACAAATAAACCCAAAATAGCAATTTCAAAAGTTTCTTCTCTTCAGTGTCAGTATATTGTGCATGTTCACAAGCACTGTATTTGTACATGCCCCTAGATGCCTGCATGCAACTTTCTCACAGTACAGTACATCTGAGGTATTTATCAACAGAGCGACCAAGCGCCCTATTGATAGTTTTCAGTCACGTAACATGCGCAGAGACTTGGCGGGCATAAAATCAAAGGGCCATAATGGCAGCTACACTAGGATCTCCATAGAAATGCAGCACAATTTGGTCATACTTTCATTTGTTTCAAACTACAAGTAATAATTGGACACAACAAAATAGAGATATGATCACAAAATGTAAATCGTGGGAACTTGCGATACACAAACTGTATCCATGTTCATTTTTAAATCATTTAAAACCATCAGATGATATACACATACACATTACAGTATTCTCACAGCTTGATGACATTCTGATTGAGCATATGATCTGTTTTGAGGATGGTTTTTGATATTTTTCCGAACTTTGAACATCCCTGGACCATTGCTGTCTATGGAGGATGAGGGAGCTCTCTTTGTTAACTAAAACTGAAAAAGGTCTCAGGGGTTTGGAATGACATGGGGATGAGTAATTAATAGTAACATAGTTTTCATTTTTGGGTGAACTAACTCTTAGATTTGAATGATCATACTTTAAATGAGCACTTTTTAGAGTTTTACCATTTTTTTTATTTATTCAGCCGATCTCAGGGTCTAGCATGAGCACCTTTAGCTTAACCTAGCATAGATTCTTGAATCGGATTAGACTATTAGCATCTCTTTCAAAATATTTTTGTCATAATTTTTCTAGTTTCAGCTTGACACTTCTGTAGTACTAACACTGACAGAGGCTGATATGGCTCGGAAACATATTTCCTAACCTGATTTCATGATCATTCCTGGATCAACATCTGTGTTTATCCTAGAACAACATTACAATCAGCCAATCAGATTGAACTATTATTGCCCTCTGATTTTGAGAATAATGTACAGTTATGGTTGGGTTTAGGGGTAGGGAATAGGATTCAATTTTTCAAACAAAAATGATGTTCCAGGATCAACATTCATGTTAATCCAGGATCACATCATACTCTGTAAAAATTTCAATGTGCGTACTACATTGAAATGGTCTTTTAATATTTTCGGCTAGAAAATTGTATGGCACATTTAAAGTTCTATAAATTATTTGTTCGTACTTACAGCTTATATTTAAAGCTCAAATATTCCCTGCAAGGCTCTATTAAAAGATTTTTTTAAACTTTGAAGACAATTCCTTTTGTATTTTAAGGTCAGATTCATTCCAAACACTTAATTGCAAGTACTCCCTTAGCACACCTATACATTTTTATTTTTAACTGATGCAATTGTTATTAATTGATCTTTTCATCATGTTCTCACATCTGTTTGAGATCTTGTGTAATGAACTTTTTGAATGAATAAATGTTGTGCATTTTTTGTGAGATTCAATTAAAAAAGATTTGGTCACTTTAGATCTTTTTGAAAATCCAGCATTGAATGTCTGATGTTTGGGAAAAAATCTGCAGCAAAATGAAGTAAATGAACAAAGGACAAATTCTCACTTTTGTTAAATAATTTATTATTATTATTATTATTATAAATGTTTTTTTTAATCATTATTTGCTTTTTTATTTCCGTGGCTCTGCCGGTTGAAGCAAGTTCATAAAATTTTATTGCCAATCTTTCCACAACCATCGCAGAGTCCCAGGGATTGAATAGAAGCTGGCTTAGATGCCCTCCTGATCCAGTCTAGAAATTAATTTAAAAATAAAGTCCATTGACACTTTCCTTATATTGGGACTTGAAGGAAAGCAATGCAAAGACAGTATTTTGACACAGTCTGGCTTTACATAGCATCTTTTTGTTTGTCATCTTTATTGTTGATGCGTTTCAACTCAAAAATGGTGGGCAGAGCTTAACAGGCAGTGATGTAGAAGCAGATGTTGATGGAGGTAGAGTTTTGGTTAAACATTTTGTAATAAAGTGGCTAGTTATTCCGCAACCTGTCAACTTAGTAGACTGGCTTCAATGAAAACTGTTTTAGTTTTAAAACTTACAGATTGTTTAGTCCAATGGCATTCTAAATGTGAAAAGATCAAGGGATATTTGATTTCTCAGTTTATGACCCCTTTAAGGACTGAATTGCTGAACGAAAAGGTTTAGCAGGATTGAATGTTTTTGGGTGAACCATTCGTTTGATGGAAGGAATGTCTACTTGTTCGGTCTTGATATATAATATCTTCTATCCTGTGTTGTAGCGTGTCATATCCTGGAGTGCTCTGAAGGCTTGGCTCAGGAGGTCATCAGCACCATAGGTCAGGCTTTCGAGCTCCGCTTTAAACAATACCTAAAAAACCCACCCAAAGTGGTCACCCCCCATGACCGGTAAGAGTCATTTTTGGACAAAAGTGCAAATGTTTACATTAATGTCAGTGTGTTTAGATGAGTGTGTGCACATTGATTAATGACGGTACCTCCCTAGGGTCTTCGGAAACCCCCTTAATATCCTGTATGTGTACGTGTGTGCATACACACCATTTCAAGCTTGTTGAACAGAAGCATTGTTTCTGAACGTCATTCAAGAGTCTTGAATACACAAGCTTGAAAAACTTGTCAGTGTTGATATGATAATTCATTCATTCATTTATTTTCTTTTCGGCTTAGTCCCTTTATTAATGTGGGGTCGCCACAGCACTACCTACTGCGCCACTGCATTGCCAGCATCTCATTCAAAATAATTTTTCAATTTTTTTCTAACTAAAGCTTGACATTACTGTAGTACTAACACTGACAAGAGGCTTATAAGGCTAAAAAATATATTCCCTAACCTGATTTTACCAAGTAGGACATGTTCCTGGATCAACATCTGTGTTTACCCTAGAACAACATTACAATCAGCCAATCAGAATTAAGGAATATATTTCCCGTTTATGTTAAGTTTAGGCTTACAGTTTATTCAACTATTATTACCCTTTTTTAAGAATAATCTACAGTTATGGTTGGGTTTAGGGGTAGTGAATAGGTATGGATTAGATTTTTCGAACAAAAATGATGTTCCAGGATCAACATAGATATTAATCCAGGATCACATCATACTCTGCAAAATCATAATGTGCAAACTACATTGACATGGTGTTTTAATATTTTTGGCTAATTCATTCTTTCATTCATTTTCTTTTCGGCTTAGTCTTTTATTAATCTGGGGTTGCCACAACACTACCTACTGCGCCACTGCGTCGCCCTTGATATGATAATATATTTTGAAATACAAACCTACACTGTTTAACAGTATTAAATCTATTTTAGGATTGTTAATTACAGTGGTACTAAAAATAAAGGTCAAAACAAGATAAATGACCTTCAATTTAAAACAAATTAGTGAAAAGCTAAAAATGAAAATGTACTCCCTATTAACTCTTTTTCAGGTGGTTCCAAGTTTCCTTCTTCTGTTGAACACAAAAGAAGATATTTGAAAGGCAGCTGTTTCCTTTGACATCCATAGTAGGAAAAACAAATACTATGGAAATCAATGGTTACAGGTTTCCAGCATTTTTCAAAATGTCTTTTTTTTGTGTTTAACTGAGGAAAGAAACTCATAAAGGTTTAAAACAAGTAAAGGAAGAGTGAATGCTGACAGAATGTGAATTTTTGTGCACTAGGATGCAATAAGGAAATGTATTTTGTTTAAAGTATTTTTACAAATGTAAAAATACAAGAATTTATAAACTTAGTTTTGGAAGATAATCTGATCCATTTGTTTGCTGTTCCCACTGTCATTTCGCCAAGCGTGTGTTTGTTTCTGCTGGTTTCACAACAAAGAAGTGCATCATTTAAAATCTCTCAAACAGCATGTCCATGTAAACATAATAATATAATATTGTGCTTCTTTATCTGTCTCCGTCTCTTAGCATGGCTCCGTTTGATGGGTCAGCGTGGGAGGAAGAGGAAGAAGATCTGGCTCCTCCGCCAGAGGTGCCATATTACAACAACTTCCCCGGCAAACAGCCTCCTCCTGGTGGTTTAGTGGACATGAGGACCCGTCCCGGACACAGTACAGGACCCACGCTGGTTAGACTCTTGTTTTAGTGATTCATCAAATGGTTTGCTTTAGTGATAAACGCGCACCTTTCATTGTCCTGATTTCTTTCACTGGCATTAACATGTTTGATCATTTTTGTCTTTCTGGTATGAAAATGGTGGTTAATCTGCAATTCTCAAAGGCTTGATTGTGTTTATTTGTTTTAAAAATATCGAATTGATTTTTACACATTTAACCTCTTTGTGGTTCTATTAAAATGTCATCCTCAACGTCTTATGATTGCTTTGCTGGTCCAGTGTGTTCTTATTTGTTGGCCTCCTTTTGCACATTGAAGGAAACGTTTCGCCAGTAACTAACTAACTAACAAACTAGCTAGCTAGCTAATTAACCTAAACTAAAGTGTTACTAAAAAGAAATCACAATCAATGACCTTGTTAAAGGGATTGTTCAACCAAAATTGTACATTCATTCATTAATTTTCTTTTCAGCTTAGTCCCTTTATTATTCTGGGGTCGCCACAGCAGAATGAACAGCCAACTTATCCAGCACATGTTTTAGGCAGCTAATGTTCTTTCAGCTGCAACCCATCTCTGGGAAACATCCATACATACTCATACTCTATGGACAATTTAGCCTATCCAATTCACCTGTACCGCATGTCTTTGGACTGTGGGGGAACATGCAAACTCCACACAGAAACGTCAACTGACCCAGCCGAGGCTCGAACCAGCGACTTTCTTGCTGTGAGGTGACAGCACTACCTACTGCGCCACTGCTTTACTCTTTTTGGTAGGGAAATGTCCTTAAGCTGGGATTCGAACTCGGGACGACCTGACATGCTACAGCACCATATGTCGACACACTAACCACTAGGCTATTCTGCCGTCCTAAAATTGTACATTTTAATAAAATACACAGAGAAAAAAATATTGTTGCAAACTATTTATATGGGTTGAATTTAAACAAACAAATTGAATGTAGTAATGTTTAATTTGATTATTTTATTTGTTTGTTAAAATTCAGACCAAATGAATTGTTTGCAACCACTTACCTTAAAAAAAATTGTATAAGTAAAGTCAATGAATATTTTATTCAGTGTATTACCTCACCCTCAAGTCGTTTCAGGCATTTATTTGAGTACAAAAGAAGATATTTTGAAAAATATTAATAACTTGTAACTATTGACTTCCATAGTAGAAAAAGCAAATACTATGGAAATCAATGGTAGCAGGTTTTCAACATTTTTCAAAATATATTTCTTTTGTGTTCAACAGAAGAAAGAAAGAGGTTTGGGACATGTGAATAATGAGTAAAGGATGACATAATTTTGTCTTGGTTGAACTATCCCTTTAAGACCCAGAGGATAGAACATACATACATTCAACAGTTTATAAATGTAATCTTGTTGTATTACTGTCTTAATACATTAAACATTATCAAAATAATAGATTTAGGAAATTAAATTTAGCATATTACAGCCATATATTCAAGGTGTACCGAGTTTAATTAAATCAAATATTAGTAAAAATATGTTCATTTGTTGTTTGAACATACTGAAATCAGTGTTGATGGCTCTTAAAAGTCTAAAAATGCCCCAAATTATTCCCAAACTAGAAACTAAAACTCAACTTACTTAAACTTTGGCTTCCAAAGAGAGACTTCAGGGTACAAGAAGCATGATTCAGTGTATAAAAATGAATTAAATTGCTTTGTTCATTCATGAAACACCCACACTGAATAAATATGTCACCATCCCACTGCACTGTATCTCCACAGCCCTATGGACAGCCGAGCCAGAACGACATTCACAAGCAGCCTCTTCCTCCACTACCAGGTCAGATTTACACACAACAATAATCCCTGTCCTAGTCATTTCATGCTGCCACACAGTATTTGTCTGTCATATAGTCACACTTCTCCTGCTTTAATTCCCCTGTCGGCCGAGACTGTCATTGTGCAGAGTGAGTCAGCGCTTTTTCTGCTACTGTTCGTTGCTCTTTGTTGGACGCTGCCCAAATCTATTACACAGCTCCTTTGAGAGGTGCCTTCTGGATCAGCGGCATTGCTGACAATAGAACGGCACCGCTTAAGTGCACTCACCTGAAGGTTAACTCACTTTAACTTCACCTTTGTTTTTCTTTTGTGTTCTTTTTTTCTTTAGTGGGTGTTAAGGATGGAGGCTTGTTTGACGACCCCTCATACGTTAATGTGGATAAACCCCGCCTCCCAGCATCAGCAGCAGCCAATGGAAATGCTCATAGAGACGCGTTTGACATGAGTGAGTGATGGATGCTTGGTGACTTTTTGTAATATTTTAATGATTTATTTATTGTGCAGGGTTCCCGATCAGGTCAGTGGTTCAGATTTTTACTTGCCCTGCCAAAATTTTCACTGGCTCCACCAAAAAAAAAAAAGTTATTGGCTATTTCTTAGCCACATATTTTAAATAATGTGTTAAAAGCCAAACATAATTGTATACATACATTTTTTATTCAGCAGGACATATATATGTCTATATAGGATATATATATATATATATATATATATATATATATATATATATATATATATATATATATAAAAACGAGAAGTGCCATGAGATTTTTAATGACCTCAGAGAGTGAGGACTTCAGTTTAACGTCTCATCCCAAAGACAGCGCTCACTTCACTGTGTTCACACCAGACGAGGAAAGCGTGGATATATTGTGCTATTCGCGTGTAAATAGACGCATGAACATTTGAGTTTACTTGCTGTTTTCGTGCGTCAAAATCGCTTCTTTCACGCATCAAACCCTGCTTAATTCGCGCATCAAATCCGATTCATTAGCGCGTCAAATCTGATTCATCCGCTTGAAAATCACTTCAGAACAGACGCTAATTCACGTGGTGGGCAGGGCTTCTGTCTGCCCGGTGACTGTAGCTTCATTGCTAAATGTCTAACATAGATTTTATTGAGAAAATAACAGTGTTTATGTGCTTTATGAAGGCTGAAAAACAGCGTTGATACGTTTGGAGCAGTTCACTAGATCCTTTCAGAGGTGCACCCAGCTCTGTGAGCTCATAAACTCCTCTAGAAACTTAAACTAGATGATGGAAGCATTTAGCGGTGCTTCTGACTGAGCCAAGCCCAGTTGATGAACTGTTGTTGGTGTAGACAGGGAATTTTCCCCCGGGACACCAACAACAGGCGCTACGTCATAATCACGTCCACACAAGAGCAAGCTCCTGATTGGTAAACGCGGCACGAATGTCCGCTGAAGTTTAGATTTTTGAACTTGAATGATTCATGCGAAAAGCGAGTCAAACGCGCAAAACATTCAATTTGCGCCGTGCCATTCACATGTATTGAGTCATTTGCTTCGCACCATGCCATTCATGCATATCACGGTGCAGGATGTCTATTCACGCCTTTGCCTTGACTTAACATGTAAATCATTCCCACTTGATGCTTCTTCCATGTCTGGTGTGAACACAGCATAAAAGTATAGTGTCCCCTTAACTTCACAGGGGCATTAGGGTTGAGTGCCCCCTGCTGCTAGTAACAGTATTAATTTGTTGAAGCCATGTTATACTAAAAAAAACAAGCAGACAAAAACTTGTGAAACAAATTTGACAAATTCTTTGTAACAATGAAAAAATCTTCATTGTCTGTTTTGTTTGTTTTTTATCGTATTGACCCCACATTTTTGTACAGGTTTCTATCATTTTACAAAACCAAACATTCAATAAAAACCATAAAGCATAATTTAATGAATAAAGTATGGACCTAATAAATTTTACGCTTGATGATAGCTTATTTACAATTGAATGTGGTAAAGCAGGGTAGTATGCTGTGTTTTTTCCTATTTTGAAAACAATACTTTGGTTTACTATACTTAGTAAATTAGTTCAGTAATACTGCAGATGTAGATTCACAGAGTAAAAATGCTCCAACCATCCAGTGATGCTCTGCTTTCTTTCTTCAGAACCGTTTGATGCAGCGCTCGTTGTGTCGGGTGCAGTGGCACTTCCTCTGGCAGAGCAGCTGCAGAACGAGCCCTGGTTTCACGGGCCTCTGAGCCGCAGGCAGGCCGAAAGACTCCTGACCAAGGATGGAGACTTCCTGGTGCGGGAGTCAGGCACCACACCAGGCCAGTACGTCCTCACGGGACAGCAGGGCGGACAACCAAAACACCTGCTTCTGGTGGATCCAGAGGGAGTGGTGAGTAACAAGACGAAATTTAACCACACATTATTCACAGGTAATAAGTGACTCTTTGTGAATATGTGATAAAGTATAGAGTATGACATAGTCTGTGTCCAAAATAGTACACTATGCAATCTGTACTGTGTACTTATGCATTTACACATTCAACAGAATAGTATAGGTATGTAGTGTCGTCCTAAAAGTAACACTAACACTTTTTTTTACTTGGCAGAAATTCAAAGCTTATCCCAGATAATGGTTGACGATTGTCAAATTAATGAAATAAATGACCGAACTACCAAATAACACCTGCCATGAGTGTAACCGCATTCACCATCGGAAGTCGGTATAATCATCGTAGGAGAATTTTACTTTCACAATCCAAAATAAATAAAGTAATCCAACATCAGTGCTCGAAAACTCCGCCCCTTCTGCTTCTGCGTCCATCATTCCACACTTATTTTTAAGTTAAATAAGTGCAAAATCAGGGTATTAAAAGTTCACTATTCAGTGAGAAGGCACTACTTACACCATTTATACCACAAAATGGTGTAGAATAGAGGATAAGTATGTGATTTGGGATGCACCTATAATCATTTTATGACTCCACACGCTTCTTTGATAACAGAGTGACATAATACAATCTAATATTGTTTTTTATTTAATTATAAACAGAATTCATGTGTGGGTAAAATTTACCTGCACTGGCGGTTTTCGGTATATTGACCTCAGCGTATTTTGTTCTAGTGTTAATTTGTTGTGCCATTATAGACCATTTTAATATGGTGATGACATTAGCCCATGAATAGTTTCTCCTTGTTGTATAGTTATTTTATAACTGTAACAGAGGAATTCAATCATAACTTTACTCTAAAACAGCTATCATAATATTATTTATCAATTTGTGGACCTATTTGGATTCTCATAAGGTATGGAAATGAAAAATGTAAGAGGAAATACTTTAGGACTAGTGTTATTGTTTATATCCCTCAAAATGGTCTATAAAAGAACGCTAAAATGTATTTAGTATGATAATACTGCGTTGCTTTACTCCACGTGATCCGACCAGAAGAATTGGAAGCAGTTGACTGTGGCATAACAAAAGCTCAGCTGCTTTCCTGCCACATCACGTCCATCTCTTATCAGCAATTGCTTCAGCAGTCTCATTTCACTTCAGTGGCTTTCAGTCTTGTAGGGTGTTCACACCAGACATACCTTGCATGAGTACATAACATTATTCACATGGAATAAGACACTTGAACATTTTGAGTTTACTCATTTGATTCGGACGTGAAATTTACTTCACAAAAGATGCAAAATCATTCCAGCTTTGTTGACAGATTTTTTTGGGAGGGTAGCTTTGCTTTATGTGAAAAAAAAGGCTGAATGGTGCAGTTTCTGGGTCCATCAAATCTTTCAGAGTCACATCCAGTGTAGTGATTTTTACCAATTCCTTCAGGAGCTGCACCTGTATGATGACAGCTACTAGAGCAAGACTAGATGATTGGTTAATGCTGCTCGAATGTGCACCAAAGTTCAGATTTTTTAACCTGAGTGATTTGAGAAAATCACACATTAAGCACATCGACTTAAAGTGTTCGAATATTTTCTCAAATGGGTAGCGACTTGGACCCGGAAACAGTGTTCCATACGTCACCGATACATCACGAGTGGATAGCCCCTTTCACATATAGAGACCTTTCTGAAAAAGGGATCATGTGTGAACAGACCCTTTTTGAAAATACCGGTAAATTCATTCCGGCAATTTTCTGGAAAGAGAAGTTGTAACATCACTGGTAATTTGCCGGAATGCTCTGTTTGAACGCAGGGGGAAAATTACAGAAAAGAGCCCGTTTGCGTTCAAAACGTGCTGACGTGAGACGTCTACTCCAGCCAATCTGGACATTCAGATGCATTCAAATCCATGCTGCTTATGAAAATAAAAGCCTTTGAACATTTTTCCAGGCACGTTTAGCTGCTAGATGTAAGTCAGATAACATTTCTATGTTCCTTCTTAATGCCAACTGTGTAAAAAATTTGCGATAAAATGCTTATGAAAAAACGCAGTTTGTTTACCTTCAAGCTCTGCTTCAGTTGCTTGATGTGTGCTCCGCTGAGCGCCAGCACACACACATATGTACATCTCGACATGCGAAAGTGTTCCTTCATATGTTTGCATCGAAATTGTTCACAATACTTAGCCATCCACAGAATTTGTAATGTTGTCAAATGTGTAAATATTTAGCTGCCATTCACGCTTCCTTCTTTGGATGTCTCTGGGACAAAGCAGCAGCATGAATGCTAAAGCTTGGATGCTACATGCTAAATACAAGTGAAACCATCAACAAAAGCCTGACCCCGTATATGTTTACAAATTCAAGTGCAAATGTTTAGAGGTAATTTCTAGTTAAGGATGTCAGAATTTACCAGCATTTTGAAATGGATGTGTGAATGGTCTTTTTTTTCTTTTTTCAATTTACCATTAAAGTCATTGCATAAGTTTTCTGGATATTTACCAGTATGACTGTGTAAAAGGGACTATTATGTACATATACTATATATATTTTTAATAGATTGACGATCAGTCATTAATAAATAGCATCCTAAATAGGTAAAGTTTGCCAGAGTTATGCATTTCCAATTGAATTTTTATCCGTATAGCGCGTTAATATGCCTTGTATTCTTTCCTTTGCCATTTCATAGGTGCGCACCAAAGACCACCGCTTTGAGAGCGTCAGTCACTTGATCAGCTACCACATGGACAACCGGCTGCCAATCATCTCTGCAGGAAGTGAGGTGTGTCTGCAGCAACCGGTCGATCGCAAAGCTTGAGAAACGCTTTAGAGAGAAATAGAAACTCTCCTTCATACCTTTTTTATTTTTGCCTGACTCTATCAGAGAAACAGTTTTTGTTCCAACTGGGAGTGTAAGCTAATCCCATCGTCCCAGAAACACTTGAGTTTTCTGCTGCATCAACCACCGGCCGTGAAATTACAAAGCGATGTAATCATTCTATTCAAAGTCTAAAGCAAACGTCGCTTGAGGAAAGCGATTGCAAAAAGCCAAACGAATAGGCTTCAAGAAGAGGAGCAGATGCGTAATGGATGTGACATCACTTCCTTCCCAGTAACCATGGCAACCAGCCAGGGCATTCTTGTCAAGAGCTGATGTGAATGTAGTAAAATTGCAGACCCTTTGTAGCACTGGAAAGATTCACATGCAGTGCGGTGGGCCAAATCCAAAGACACGTTAGCGATTAGTTTTTAAATCCTGTCGTCGCTGTGGTTTCAAGACTGTTGATGAATATGCAAAACTTTAAAGACAACACAGCTCATTCTCCATCAACTGAACCACATCTGTTGTCATTTCCATTGGAAGATCCCTTTTCCCAGTGTTCCTATTGAAGAATAACACTCAGAATGCCACTCATTCTCACTCACACCACATGCCGAACACGATCCCGTGGAGAAATTGGGAATTTTGGCCATTCGGGAAGACCCCTGATCATATGTGAAAGCTTTAGCAGCTCGGATGCTGTCTGGATTTTTTGTTGCCTTATGCAATTGAGCAGATGCTGTGAGGGACATATGCTGCCCGTATTAGGTGTGATAAACTGGTCTGTGGGAAAGGGGAACATGTTCGCTTTCCACACAACATCAATCTGGGACAAAAGGGATGAGAGAAAATAATATCTAAATGAAGTGCAATCTGCATAGATGGGCTGGTAAGCTTGAATGGGACTGTGGTTTGAGATCAAAGCCTTCTTATGATGTCATTTTAGTCAAGAATTTATATATTTGTTGCAATGATGTCATCTCGTTCTGACATCAGGATGGTTTTATTCTGCGAACAGGCTCTGTTTGTCTTCGTTTCCTCCTTTTGGTGTTTCTTCTGTTCGCATTGACAATCGATCTTCATGTGTGTGTATGCATATATGCATTCGGAGTCTCAAGTTACGAAACATGCATTATTTTGTCGAAAATTTACTTGAATGCATTTAATTGACGTGTATTACAAGCAGACACACCGTCCAGGCCGAGGTTAACACTCCAAATAAGTTCCGAACATGTCTTTGCAGCCACAGACTGGAAAGCAACTCTCTTTATCTTCATTTGCTCTGATATTGATTGTGCCTTTTTCACCAAACACAGACAAACCAATCAAACACAGCCGCCTTTTGTGATTCGTTGGGTAATCGTGACCCTTTCTTTTCTGAAAAAAAAAATCAACTGCAAAAATGACACATTGCTTTATTGAGACTTACTACAGGTTTTCGGAAAGCATGCTTAATTTCTTCTGCAGGCTAATTGTGCTATGCTGTGCTTCGATCTCTTGGTCAGTATCATGTTATGTTGCTTAAGCTTACGTTGGTGAATAAACATCTTATTTCATCTCTCATTTGGAGACTGACATGGCCTGTAAGAGAAGGTGTAAATAATACTACGCGATTAATGTCATTCACTGTGTTGAATCAGTCTGTAAAACTCACAGGATTGTACTGGGTGAAAAAAACAAAGGTGTAAGATTTGACAATGCAGTCACATCGTGTTTATAACACAAATCTATGTAAATGATAAGAATTTGCTTCGTCAGATGTACAAAGACCTTTATCTGGATGCTTTATCAATCTGAAATGGGCAATTGTTCTGTTCTTAGTTGTTTTTCATGGATGTAATTTGTGAATTTTGAGTCATTGGTCAGCATTCATTCAGCATGACAATTTCAGGCAGATTCCAGCTGCGGCTGTGTGTGACAGGTTTCAGCCTGGTGTAATTCAAAGATACGCATTGAATGGGTTTTTTAAGCATTTGACGTCACACTTTTTATGTGCTGATGGCACCACAGATCTGTTCACTAACTGCTAATGGAGTTTAAACAGTGTATGTGTGTGTTGGCTGGAATGGTCTGGAATAATCTGGCTTTTACATTTGACTCGCCACTGAACTGTTTGCTCATTTTCATATTTCACAGCGGCCTTTTGTTGCATGGAAACACTTCCTGTTATTGTGGTCATGACGGTGACTTTTGTGTTGTGGTTAGCTGTTTGCTATTTTCTAAGCCAAATGCGTTTATTTCTTGTTTGCCTATATAAATGTTGCTTCTTTTTTAAATACATGTTTTTGGGTATTTCAGTAATTCTTTTTATGTTGATGTTATTTGGAAAAACATAAACGTTTACACCTGTATCAAATGATAGATTACATATATAAATACATATATCATTCACCTTTTTGTTGTGTTTCATTTAAACTCTACCCTAATTTTAAAAAAGACTTTTAAAATGATAAAACATTTTGTTTGAGCTATCTGATTTGATCAGGCCTAACAATCTTCAGTTAATTTAACATAAATCTGTTGTCGAAGGGGTTCTGTGGCCCTCAGATTCTTATTGTGCTGTTGTTTTCTTTAAAATTAATTAATTCAAATATTTATTTTTTGTTTAGCTTTTTTTAAAGGAATGATGTTTGAGTTTTTGTTTATATTTGACAACATTTTTAAAAACTATATTACAAAATAATAATAATAATAATAATAATAATACATAACACTATAGCGTGGACTAGCATAAATAATTAGATTTTTACTAACGTTGCTAAAGATAAATAAAATCTTTAAATAGCTATGTTGTTGTAGTTCGTGGTCAAAAGTAGAGTACATTACTACAAATTCCATAAATTGATCGTTGTAACCAAACTGTTAGGGCTAAGATGACACTAGAACAGTCTGTTTATGTGCTCGCTGTTTGGGCAATATGTTGACAGTTATTCAGGACCTTCCATTGAACAGTAGAGGAATTAGAGATGAACAAAAGCTAGATGAGAGATGCTGTGAAGCCATTGTTGTGCAATAGCAGGTCGACAGTCAGCCAGCGTTTTCCAGAGCTGAATAAAACCCATTTCACGGGGGCACCGAGTCCACGAATCCGCAGAGCTTCAGGACTTTCGTGTGAAGAGCAGCTCCAGCTGAAGCAAACCGTGGAGACGCAGAACGCGCAGACGCGGCACAGTAGCTCCGGGCCCGCGCTCCTCCATCTCCTCCCGCCGAACATCGCTCGCGCTCTCCGGTCGACGCTGCAGCGGTGGAGGGAGATGCAGCCTCAGCGGCCGCTGCCCCAGGCTATGCCCTCCTCACCGGGCCGAAACCTCGGAGACGCGGCCCTCGGGACGGGCACTGGGAAGAGACTGCTGGGGGGAAATATGGCTTATGGGGTCATCCAATCGCTGAAAGAGTGCCTGTACTTCCTGCTCTGCTGCTGGTGTATTAAAGAGATCTTGGACTGATGGAGAACTCACAGGTGCTGTATGGAGGGCACAATAATTGTTTATACATAATGAATATATATATATATATATATATATATATATATATATATATATATATATGTTAAATATTTTGAATGAACTTTTTCGCTTTTTCAGTTTCAATTAAAACTTGGATGTGATTAAAAACTATTTTAAAAAAAATGGAAAGGGGAGAGGGTGCTTATAATATGGGGTTAATAATTTGTATAGCCTATATTCGACCTTAAAATAGCTTTATTTTTATGTAGATTTGAAGTTTTATTATTAATATTTAAATGTGTTAATCATCTAGAATATAATTACATGTAATAATAATAACATTCACATACAGCTTTATTTTGATTGCCAAAATGAAACATTTATATGCTATTTTTAATCGTGTAAATTTGATCAATAACATTAGTAACAATACAATTTAGTTATGTTGGCATAGTCATTTAAATATGTCAGGTTCCAAGATAGTAATGTTGAACAAAGCTTAAATGCATTTGGTTAAAAGAGGAGGCATCTCATTTTGTCTGCCTCAAATGCATTATTTCAAAATCAAAGTATTGGTTTATTTTATTTTTTTTAAATAACTTGTAAAAAAGAAAAGTAAAACTTTTGTAAAAATGAAAGAACAAACTGATTAAAATGTAAAATAATCAAAAATTAATCGTGTATATATATATTTTTAAATGACTGAAACCAGGTAAAATACAGGGGTTAGAATGATGGTAAATTCATCACAATTAAATTTAGTATTTTTATGTTAAATGATTCTTGTTCTGAATACACCTGACAAGATTTTTTTGTGTATATTCAGAACAATATTAATACAGCATATCTACAAATCATGATATAATTATTATCATTAAAAATGTATTGGAGGAAAATGAAAGCTGTTTAATTTTACATTTTTCATGAGTCCAACATCCAGCTGTGCAAGAAAATATACAATCATATGTAAGACATCTATCACTACTGCATTGTTGAGAAAACATTTACAAGAAACTTTTATTTGAAATCTTAGACCTTGAAACAAAAAAAGACCAATTAAAGGTATGAAGCACCAAAAGCGTACCATATTAAAATTGATTTAAAAGCTATTTTGGCTAAAATCATAAAGTGTGGTGATGACCATCTGACAAGCTAATTTAGAATAGTGCTTAAACTGGCACTAAACTGCAGTAATTGATTATAATTTGCATCTAAATGCAAAAAGGTTCACTTTTTTGAGAAAAAAGGTCCACAACTTTCACCAGGCTGGCCACAGGCCTGTAAAACCTGCTTTCATTTTTAACCCATTCTCTAAAACTGATCAAGGGCTCACTACTATTACAGCTGACTTTGCTGATGTGTTTGGAGCCTACCGTTATTATTTTTACGTGCCTTTCTATAGGCAACCCCAAATTATATTATTCAAAATGCTGAATAAATCTCTTAATACAAATCAGATCATGTTTAAAGTAGCAGTGCAGCGATATTCATTGTGTTCTCTTATATTTTTCAGAGCCGTTGAGCCAGTGGATGATTCATCACAAAGATGTGTTGATGCTTCGGCCTGAATCCAGATCTTTTCACGCATGCATAAACACACATGCTTCATTAGCCTTCTGTTACTAATGCACTTTAAAGCAGCACATTCACATAGACAACATCTCTTTCAACATGGTGTAGAAATTGAAAACTGTGCAATTAATAATAAAATCAAACTGTTTGTGAAACAACTGCTCATTTAACTTATTACCAGGCACCATTGCCACAAGGTTGACCTTTTATCCAAAGGTTAAGGTTATCATATTTATACAGTTGAAGTCAGAATTATTAGCCCCCCTTTGTATTTATTATTTTTTTCTTTTTTAAATATTTCCAAAATGATGTTTTACAGAGCAAGGACATTTTCACAGTATGTCTGATAATATGTTTTCTTTTAGAGAAAGTCTTATTTGCTTTATTTCAGCTAGAATAAATGCAGTTTAATTTTGTTCTAAGAACAATAGATAAAAATGAATAGCCCCTTTAAGCTAATTTTTTCGATAGTCTACAGAACAAACCATCGTTATACAATAACTTGCCTAACTACCCTAACCTGCCTAGTAAACCTAATTAACCCAGTTAAGCCTTTAAATGTCACTTTAAGCTGTATAGGAGTGTCAAGAAAAATATCTAGTAAATATTATTTACTGTCATCATGGCAAAGATAAAACAAATCGGTTATTAGAGATGAGTTATTTAAACTATTATGTTGATAAAAGTGTTGATAAAATATTTTCTCCATTAAACAGAAATTGGGTAATTAATAAACAAGGAGGCTAATAATTCTTATTTTTTATTAAATTTTTTAATTGCTTAGAATGGTGTCAGTACATATTCAATCCAAGACATGAGCCAAAACTTTTTTCAAAGAGTGCAACGTAAAGGGTTAAAGGTCTGGGGATTTTTTAAAAGTTTAAATATTGGATGCAAACTGTGAGTTAAAACTGCTAATACTGAATACAATACAGGACAAACGCTGTACAAAAAGTCTTATAATACATTTCTTTAAAAAAAAAAAAAAAGTGTTAATTATCTGAGTAAATATACTGCTGGAATATTTTGGGTGGTGATCAAGGTCACAAATGTTTTATCAAGGACAAATCAAGGCATAGCATTTTTCATATTGGTACTTCAAAGGGCTTTACAAAAGCAAGAGAAATAAAATATTCAGTAAGAAATAAAAACAAAAAGAATTAAAATGATTATGATTAAAAATTAAATGGGATGTAAAAAGAAACAAAGACAGCGAGAAGTAGCACAGTGCTCATTAAGTAAAGCAATAAAGAGATATCAGAAGTCTGGATTTGAATGTGCCAACATTTTAAAATGATTTAATTATTTATATATATATATATATATATATATATATATATATATATATATATATATATATATATATATATATATATATATATATATATATATATATATATATATATATACAGTTGTATTTGTCTTGAATCTCTCTTTCAAAAGTCTAGGAAGTTTAGCCTGCTTTGAAATGGCTAAATACAAAATTGTGTTAATTATTATGTATTTGGTCACTTTCTGTAAGTTCTGAAGACCCACAAAATAGTAAATGAGCAAACATATAGGGGTGTCACGGTGACACAGTGGGTAGCACGATCGCCTCACAGCAAAAAGGTCACTGATTTGAGCCCCGGCTAAGTCTGTTGGCATTTCTGTGTGGAGTTTGCATGTTCTCCCTGGGTGGGCATGGGTTTTCTCTGCTCCAGTTTCCCCTACAGTCCAACCACATAGGTGAATTGATTTAGCTAAATTGGCCGTAGTGTATGTGTGTGAATGCAAGAGTGTATAGGTGTTTCCCAGTGTTGGGTTGTGGCTGGAAGGGCATCCGCTGCATGAAACATATGCTGGATAAGTTGGGGGTTCGTTCCGCTGTGGCAACCATGATTAATATAAGAACGAAGCCGAAAAGAAAATGAATGAATGAATGAAAAGATATAGGCCATCAGTTACTACATCATATTTTATATTATTAACAACGAGCATTGCACACACAAATAATCTGCTTAAAATACATGAAACTGAATTTGTGATTTTTCCCCTTTATGGCAGATTTTGCATCCAAGTCAAAGTACTTAATGATCAAGAAAAAATAGATGCTAAAATGTAAGGGCTTGTCCATTAGAATTTAATTGAAACTTTGAATAGTTGTCACCTGCTAATTCTGCAAGTTGGTGATGATCATGTCAATTGATAGTGAAGTAAAAAACAATCGTGCACATACAAATAATTTATAATAAATACTGCAATAAGGGCAGCATGGTGGTTCTTCGATTAGCACTGTCGCCTCAGAGCAAGAAGGTCGCTGGTTCAAATGGTCACATTTCCGTGTGGAGTCTGTATGTTCTCCCCGTGTTGACGCGGGTTTCCACCACAGTCCAAAAACATGCACTGTAGGTGAATTAACTAAACAAAAATTGTCCATAGTGTATGAGTGTTTACCAGAACTAGGTGGGTTGAAGTTGGAAGGGCATCTGCTGTGAAAAACATTTGCTGGATAAGTTAGCGGTCCATTCCGCTATGATGACCCCTGATTTACAAAGGGACTTAGCCGAAAAGAAAATGAGTAATTATTTTTATTTATTTTTTTTATGAATTTATTAATCTACATGAAACAGAATTTATGATTTCCCTGTTCTTTTTTCCCTGTTGTGACATACTGTACAGTACATCCAAGTGCAAGTACTTCTTGATCAAGAAATAAAGTGCTAAAATGTCATGTAATTGGTCATTTAATTCTGGCTGACCTGTTTTCAAGTAAGTTGGTAATTAGATCAAATAATAATGAATTAAAAAACAATCGTGCACGTACAAATCATATATGAGGAATACTGCAATATTATGTAAAGAGAAGTTGAGAACTGTCCATTTTGATTTTATTGTGACTTAGAGAATGTATACTGTAAGGAGCATTCTACCAGAAACTTACATTTTTTTAACTTATAAAAAGTTGTATTATTTTTTTTAAAAGCATAAAATCATACAATTAAATGAGAAAATGCATCTTTGATCACTGCAGCTTCATCTCCATCAAATGATGTCACTTCCTTTGATTCATAGCCTTAAAGGTGTATTGCACACATTTTATGTAATGTAAAATGTGACGGGACTGACAGAAACCAATTGTACATATATCTGTATTATATATATGTAGTAATTATTTGTAGAATTTATTTATAATTTTTATGTTTTTAATAACTTGCTGTGATTGATAACAACTTAAACTTGTTCTTTTTTTCTCTAACAGTTTTTAGTATAACAAAACTAAAGCTGTAGGTTCAGTTGGGCTGAGGACAAGGACAATGAAAGGGTTTGTACATTTGTAAAGTGTTTTTAATAAAGAAAAAAAAAACAGAACCAAATGAATGACATATTGCTTTACAGAACAACTCACAGAAATCAATCATCAGTCCATTTTAGAAATTTTTGGGGTGAAATACTTTTTATTAACTGTAGGCATATTTATGTTTTTATCCAGGGACAGATATACGTTTCTGGTAGGATGCCCCGTATGTGACTCAGAACCCTATTTATATTAGACTTGTTTTGACTCTAACATTAAAAAAAATCTTCAAAAGATACTAAATCCCATTGCTTATAGTTACCTCTTCATGGTTTAATGAGACAAGACAGGCCCATACGTAAACTAAGTATAATTCACATGAAATAGATTCGCCCGGATCCACTTTTCTCGTTTGTTTGAGCACATGCTCCTCATTTCCATAAAGTCACCTGTTTTTGTCAGTCACGAAAAAAACGCTTTGAAGGACGGAGGATGAAGTATGCTTGGCATTGGTGGAGAACGCAGCACGTGGGCGGGATAAATCCGAAAGTCAAGCGCTGATTGGCGGAAAACTTTTGAGACGGAAGGCGTGTCAACGAAACTGCACACTTGCGTTTGAAACTTTGCAGAAGACACGAGTGAGTGGTGGGAATTAAAGCGGTACTTAAGGCGGAAAGGTGCTTCAGAGTAACTAGGTATGCTTTTTTGATACTTGTAAACTGTTTTTTTGTATTTAACCGATGTTAAATTGCACGCTCATAAAAGATATGGGCTTGGTTTTCTGTATTTCCGGCATGTGTGTGTGTTTATGTAAAGTGCGACATTTGTTTGCGGAATTTATGCTGAACACTCCCCCTTTTTTGACAGCTGCGTCTATTTAAAATGTAGACAGATGTCCAACAAAGAAACACACAGAGGACGTACGACGCGTACTGTTTGTGCTGATGTTCTTATGGCTTGAGGTTGTGTCTTTTTATGGAACATTGTATTTAATGTCCATAAAAGGAGGAGGTGATGCGAGAGATAAGACGGATTCAGTAATGAAGCTGCTGTTTCCTTGACTTTTAGAACAACCTTGGCTAGCCAGGCTAATCACGTTGTGCCTCAAACATCCATAGTTAAGTAGTTTTGATGTATATGATGCTAATAAGCTAATTGTTATTATTTCTAAATATCCATTGTCAATATTGTATAATTATATTACATAAATATGTAATCCTTTTTCATTCGACAAATACAGACAAACACATTAATGCAAGATATTTATATAAATATTCCCATAATTGTTTTGTATATGTTTCCCATTGATGGATTGCAGTCGGAAGAGCATAAGTTGGTGGTTCATTCTGCTGTGGCGACCCCAGATTTATCAAGGGACTAAGCTGAAAAGAAAACGCATGAATAAATGAATGTTTTGTATTTTTAAAATATTAATATCCACATTTTCAGTTATTATAACAGACTTTTTATCTGATTAAACAGATTTAGTCGGGTGCACATTGTGCTTCTTTCTGTTATTTTTAGCTGTTATCTATTTCAGACATTCTATATCCTCACTAATTCTCATAGCTCATGGCTATATTGAAAAAAACTCTCATGGGAGTCACACTATTAGCAGACCCAAATTACTGCGAATGGGAAAAAAAAAGATCCTTATTAAGGAGTGAAGTGTGTCACAAAGCGGTGCGTCAGTGATTAGGCCTTTTCATTTTGTAAATTTGCTTGTAAAATTCATCATTTCTGCTTAACAGGATTCTATTCTTGCGCAGATCGACTTATTATTCAGATCTGAATATTCATAAAGATGGCTCGAATGAAGGGATGTTTGAATACTCTGCTGTAACTCGGATAGAAATGGTTTTTGGTCTTTGGCCTACTTGGAAAAGTAGCTCATGTCTGCCTTGGTTTTCTGCTAGTGAGCTGTAGGTCCATTGCTTTGTTTTCCCAGTGCTGTCAGTGTAAGTATAACTCCTCCATTCTCCTCCTGCATTAATGCCTTTAGGGCTGCTTCTCGACATCCTTAGCTACACAGTTCTTTGCCAAAATATTTGCCAGCCGGGGAACTGGTGGTGTAACCAATGGGACAACACACAGATAATACTAATGAAGTGAACACTCTTTCACTGCACCTCCAGCTTTTCTCTCAATCCTTCAATCTTGTGTTTTTTTTTTTCTTTACTTATACAGTCCTATAGTGGAGTCGGCGTCCTCAATGAACTCGGTAACCAACCCATTTTTAACCCTCACATCACTTTGAGGCTTACATCGTATACATTCAGAGTCACTTCTGTAATGTTACTTTAGACTCAATACACAATAACATTCAACATGCAATATGTATTACCCTTAAACATATAGTGCACCAATATGTTTTTATTTTTATTTATTTATTTTTTTTCTGGTGGAACATTACTGATGATTTTGTTGTCTTTTGTTGATTCATAAAGGGCAAATCATATAAAATAAAAGTTATATTTTAATTAAAGTAATATTGAAAATGGCCCAATAATTTACTCCCCGTCAAGCCATCCTCGGATTAACTTTCTTCTTTCAGATGAACACCGTCGGAGTAGTTTTACATTTTATTCAGCCACCAGAAGTCAGTGAATTGGAGTTTATCATTTAAAATAAAGGAATATTTTTAGTTACAGAAAAGCATTGATTGGATTCGAGACCTTTTAAAAACCTTATGCTGTGTGGGTTTGTTTTATAATGATTTTATGTGATTTTTAACGTTTAAAAAAAAATTATACAGTATGCACTCTCAGAAAAAAAAAAGATACATGGTGTATCTGCAGGTTTTAAAATCAAAAGTACATTTTGGAGGTGACGCAGTGGCGCAGTAGGTAGTGCTGTTGCCAGGGCCGGAGTGGGGCTTCTTTTCAGCCCTGGAGTTTCAAGGCTTAGACCAGCCCACTTCAGTTCAGGATTGACTATATTAAAATAACGTCATTTTCAATTCAGAACTTTTGTCTGTAAGAGTTAGTGCTCATAGATATCCAAACATTGAAAAAAAAAAATAAATACATGCATGAATTAAGCTATATGTATAAAATAAAGATTAAAATCAAATGTATTGAATTCAAATGACACTATCATGCCTTTTTCAAGGAAACATCTGCTTTAAAACGTCAAATATTTGTCATAAATATGAGAACATTAAAGGGTTGCTAAATCTCTAACTATTCTTTGAAACATCACAATGTCCACAATGTTATATTTTGTTTACTTTATTTTAAATTGTTTGTGTATTTCTGAGTGAAGATTAAAAGTCAACATCTGACAAGAAACGGACTTCATAGATTTCTTTATTGGGCATCATTAACCTGCAGGCTGCATTCTGTTCATAGGGCTGTGAGAAAATAATTAAAAAGAGCAGAGCTGCGGTAAAGTAATGAATAAAACGATTGAGGCTATGGTCAAATAAATAAATAAATGAATGAAAAGGTGTGACTGCTCAGAGTGCAGTCATCTAGCGACACCAGCCCTTATGGCCAAAAAACTGACCGGCCCACCGGGAATACTCCCAGTCCTCCTGATTGGCCAATCCGGGCCTGGCTGTCGCCTCACAGCAAGAAGGTTGCTGGTTTGAGCCTCGGCTGGGTCAGTTGGCGTTTCTGTGTGGAGTTTGCATGTTCTCCCTGCGTTCACCTGGGTTTCCTTCGGGTGCTCTGGTTTTCCCCAAAGTCCAAAGACATACAGTACAGGTGAATTGGGTAAGCTAAATTGTCTGTAGAGTATGAGTTTGTGTGGTGACACAGTGGCGCAGTAGGTAGTGCTGTTGCCTCACAGCAAGAAGGTCACTGGGTCGCTGGTTCGATCCGTTGCTTAGTTGGAGTTTCTGTGTGGAGTTTGCATGTTCTCCCTGCATTCGCGAGAGTTTCTTTCGGATGCTCCGGTTTCCCCCACAGTCCAAAGCCGGCGCTACTGGTGAATTGGGTAGGCGAAATTGTCCGTAGTGTATGAGTGTGTGTGTGAATGTGTGTGTGGATGTTTCCCAGAGATGGGTTGTGGCTGGAAGGGCATCCGCTGTGTAAAAATGTGCTGGATAAGTTGGTGGTTTATTCCGCTGTGGCGACCCAGGATTAATAAAGGGACTAAGCAGACAAGAAAACGAATGATTGTATGAGAGTGTGGAGGAGCGAGGTCCAAATTTAAAACTACTTTGACTGTGTGTGTCTGAAAGAAGAAGTTAAGAGAGTGAGTGAATTATGGGGTAATTTTTGGAGGAACTATTAATTTTATATGGATTGTTTGTGATAAAATAATAATAATGATACATTTTATTTGTATAGCACTCTTCCTACATACATGCAACTCAAAGAGCTTCACAAGCAACAAACAAGCATAGTAAAATAAACTCAAACAAATGTATAGACAAATAAAGCAAAATAATCAACAAATATATACTCAGATAAAAGCATACATGTACACGCATATATGCTTATATCTACACAATAACACACACAGTAGTCCTTACATATGCATGCACACACTGTACATGCATACGTACACCTACACAATATACATATATACATAAAATGCATAAACTTTAAATACTGGTATATGTTTATATGCAATTTTAAAAACATGTGTCTTAACATGCTTTTTAAAAACATAAATGCTGTGGGATTCTTTCGTTTCATTTAGGAGGCAATTCAAACTTTTTAGAGTGATTGGTTTGTGCAAGAGACTAAACATTATTATTATTATTATTATTATTATTATTATTATTAATAGCAGCTTTGGGAAGCCAGATTTCCTTCAAATTTAGTTGGTTTTGTCTTTTGATTTGTCACTGTAATGGAACTGAAGTCTTCAGAAAGACTTCAGTGTGTTTTTCTGTGCGTGACACAAAGACTGTGTGTTTTTCAGTTGCTGGACGGAGTCGCTAGGGGTTAATGTCAGAAAACGGCACCAGTACTAATGGCAACAACTGGACTCTTCTGACCCCAGAAGTAAAGGTGTGTTTTAGTGTCAGAGGTATTGGTGAAAGTCTGTGTAGTTTATTTTGAAAACATTCATGTTGTTGATACAGGGGTCAATGACATTGTTGAATCTATCAATGTATTCAAATTTAAAATATGAATCATATGTGAATTTAATATACAACTGTGATGAATGTTTTTCATTACTAAATTAGAAGTTATTAGTTAATTAAAATATACAGTTGAAGGCAAAATTATTAGCATCTTGTAAATTTTTTTTTCATATATATCCCAAGAGATTTTTAATAGAGCAAAAAAAAAAAAATGTTAGATTATTTCCTATAATATTATAATTTTATATAAGTTTTAGTTTGGCTTGAATAAACATAATATAGAAACTGCTTAGGTCAATGTTATTAGCTCTTTTAATATATATTTTTTGTAGTTGGTTACTAAACTACTGTTGTTCAATGACTTGCAATCAACCTAACTTGTCTAGTTAACCTTATTAACCTTGTTAAGCTTATTAAATTGCACTTTAAGTTGAATACTAGTATTTTGCAAACTAACAATTAGAATTCGGTTATTTAAAACTATTATGTTTTTAAAATATGTGGACAAAAATGAAAAAGGGACCTATTATGCCTCTTTTTACAGGATTCAAAATAAGTATCTGATATCCCTAGTGTGTATGTGTAGTTTCAGCTTAAAACACCACACAGATAAGGTTTTATTTAAGGCTTTTAAACTGCCCTTTTTATTCTTGGATCCAAAATTGTGCCATTTTGGCAACTGTTGCTTTAAACTCAAATGAGCCTGTGCTCTTATCAAAAGAAGGCAAAGCCACAAAAAACGTATGCGTTAGCATTGTGGCAGATTCAAAACAAGACTAATGTGATCTCTGAAAAACTGAATATATCAAAATGATTTAGAAGAATGAAGTCCCTGGAAACTACAGTGTTTATTTGTGCGTCATAAAACTCCACATTTATAATCTACTTAGTCGCAGATATTACCTTCAGCAGGTACATTGTGAAAACTCTAATGGCGGATGGCTGCTTCTCATTCAGGTCTGTTTATGCTAATGAGGAAGAGTTAGTCATGAGTAGGGCTTTCCCCTCTGATGACATGTACAAAGGGAAAAAGTTAATCAAATTTTTATTAGGTATGATTACAAAAAAAATTATTAAAAAATTGTTATTATTACAGGCTAGTTATATCCACACATCTTGTTTAAACCCCTTATAAAACTTTTTTGGATAATAGGTCCCCTTTTAACAGAATTTGGGAAATACCTAAAAAGTTATGAAAAGTTCACAGGAACTAATCATTTTGTTTTTAACTGTATATACACAAGTGGAAAGTGCAGAATTTATAGAGAGGTCTAGTCTTGTCTGACAGAAATCATCTCCATGTGCAGGAGTCTGGAGCTAAGAATATGAGTCCAGTAACTGAAGGTCTTAAGGTGGAGGAGCAGCTCTCTAAAGCACCTGAGCCCTCAACATTGGCCCACAGTGACCTGGAGAAACACTCCTCTGATGCATCTGCTCACCAGCCAGAGACTGAGACATCAGCACAGATTCAGTCTGACCCAGCTCTCAGCCAAGGGTCAGAAAAAACACAGGAAACTCAGGTGTTCTTCCTCAAATACATAATTCAGATTATATAAGGTCCTGATGGACATAGAATTTTGTATTTTGATTTTTGGGGTGTGAGAAATTTTGGCATGCACCACTATGTTAACTAATACTAACTGATATAAGAAATTCCCTGGCTTTTACTGACTGAGAAGTTAAATTTTCTTGGCATGTAATGGACGAATAACAGATAGGCTGCTTTTGTGATTTGCATAATATGAAAATAGTTTTAACTTGAATATAATTTTGCATGGCTGCTATCTTTTCCATATTTGATAGCTCAATAGTAGCTTTGCAAAGTTTATATTTAACTTTTCTGACATCTACTTTTAACACCCAGTCTTTGAAGTGGACATTCTGAGGCAAAAGCTCTTTAAATTTAAGCTTTTCTGGCATGTTAGCCTTAGTTCTGAGGTACAGTCAGGTGCCTGCATTTGACTTAATGTAAATGATTTACAGTTAATGAAAAATAGCCTTACAATTACAAAAAAGAGTGATATAAAAATATAGTGTAAAAAAAAAACACTTCTTTGATTAATGCAAATTAAAATTTAAAGTGACAAATATTTCTGATGTTCCATGACAGAGAATAAAAAAATTCCCTGATATTCAATGACATTTGGGAACCCAGAAATGTAAGAAAGCTGTCACTTGGTTTGATCTCTTTCAAAGGGTACACTTTTTTACTTTTTAGGTGCTAATATTTACACCTTTAGGTAATATTATGTACCAATATGGATTACTTTATTATAAGCGTGTATCATTTGAAAAGGTTCCTCCTTTATTTCTGAGAGTGTAAAAAATATGATATGTCTTTATATGGATGTTTCTAAACCTTATCACAAAATTGAATCACAAACAAATATAGAGGATGACTGATTTTCTTTTAACGCATTAAGTGCTGAAACACAACAGTTAAAGCATGATATCAAAACTGAAATGTACCCATTATTTACTTAATCCTATTTCTTTTTCAAACCTTTTATAATTTAAAAAAAAAAAATATATATATATATATATATATATATTTTGAAAACTGTTGGAAATCAATAGTCATTGACATCCATAATAGAAAAAAAAACCATGGAAATCAATAACTGGTTTCCTGCATTCTTCAGAACTACAATATTTCCAAACATCAGATATTAGCAATATGGCCATGTTTGCCCAACTTTACAGTCCACTACAGTCATGTCCTTTGAAGCAGTGACAAAAAATATGACTGAGACTTTCAAAGTGCATCACTTCTCTCTTGAAATGAGACTGAGCTTAAATTTTAACAGCATATGGTTCTCTTGGCCAGTTAACTGTACAATCAAATGCTCATGAAAAAGAGTGCTTGTGTGTTTGGCTGAATGACGTTGGCTTTCATATCATGGGATTAATATATACACGGTCTATTATAAAGCTTTTATAATTAACTTAAACCTTTTTAAACTTTATTTATGATTATTATTTATTAACTCTTTTTTTTTATCCCAGAAGTAAAGGAGTATTTCTGTGTCAGAGGCAATGCAAAAACTCTTAGTGGTATTCGTAAGGAATCGAATGCAAGCAGAGTTTGGATTTTTGTAAAGTATAGCACCATCTGCTTTTAAAAAAGATTAGAATCCATTCAAGAGAGAATAACTATGCATTTGTAAATTTACAAATCAAAAAAAAAAAAAAAACATTTACTTTATTGTTAAATGTAAACTAAATGTACCAACTGTTTACTAGATAACGCCACCAGAGACAAGTGAGGGTCGGGCTCAGCTGAATGCAGCACATGTCAATGAAGGCCCCAGCTCTGTTAGTGTTGAAGACATTAGCTCCTGGAGTCCTGACCATGAGGAACAAGATGCCCTTGCAGGTCATTTGGAGAGCCCAGCGTGTCCCGGCACTGATGCAGAGTCATTCTCTGACTCTTACTCTCACATTAGTCCCACCACTGGATCGAGCCCTGTTCCTGCTTCAGTGTGTAAAGAAAGAGACCACTTTAAATCAGATGAAGAAACTCTGAGGAAAAGCACAGGTGAAGGTGAGAAACGTTCAAAAGCTGCTTGTTCGCACTACTCCTTTAAAATGAGATAAAGCCAGACATTTTTTTTAAGTGTAGGATATTATAATACAATAATGTAATATAATATTAATATTATTATATTAATATTATAATATTAATGTTATATACTATAATATTAATTGTAAGGACAAAATAAGAAGTCTATAATTTCATAGTATGCTCTGTCGTATATTTTGCGCTGTTACAAAGTACATTGTTTGTGATACAGTGTTTAACTAATACATCGATATCAGGATATGAAAGGACTTATTTTGTGATATTAGTTTTGTCATGTTGACCAGCCTTGTGTTTAATCCAAAATGGTAGTGTTATACTTCTTTCCTCAGTGCCTTTTTTTGTGTTTTTAATACCTAGTGTGTATGTGTATGTCTTATATTTGTGTGTATGTGTATATATTTTTTAAAGTGTCGGTGGTGGTCAAAATGGAGCTTAACTGCAGTTGGCAGGTCTGAAATGGGATGATGATTATGAGGATGGGGTTGTGCATGATGACTGGCGGCAGCTTGACAGCTTGATTTCTGATTAATGTTGTTGTTTTTTTTATATATTTTAAAATATGCAGACAGTGTGTCCGCTCTGATTACGGTTTTGGGTATATTATGCTCTATGGCTTTTTCCCTCTGGTTTAAGTAAACATTTGCTTGTACCTGCATCCACAAAACATAGACTTAATTTCTTAAATCTGTTTAAAGGTATAGTTCACCCAAAAATGAAAACTTACTCAGAGATTTACTCAGAAACAAGTGGTTCCAAGTATGTTAATTTATCTGTTAAACACAAAACAAGATATTTTAAAGAATGCTGAAACCAGTAACCATTGACATCCATAGCAGGAAATAACACATACTATGGAAGTTCAATGGCTTTTGTTTCCCTACATTTTTTTTTAAATGGCTTATTTTGTGTTCATTGGAAGAATTCAATTCCAACAGGTTTCTGATAACTGAAGAACAATTAAATTATAACAGATTTTTATTTTTTATTTTTTGTTGAACTATCCCTTTAAGATGGTGCATCAGAGTTTGTCGTTTTTACTGCAAATATGTAAAAAAAAAAATGTATTGTAAAGTATGGTATCAGGCTACATTATAGTTTGGTTTTAGCTGATACTTTAAGCATCTTGTAAATCATAAAATGTATTCACATTCAAAAGTTTAAAGATTTATTATTATGTTTTTGAAAGAATTCTGTAATATTTAATCATTAATATTAAAAATAAAAAATATTAAAATAAAAATAGTAATATTGTCATAACTTAAAAATGGATTTATTGATCTTATAGTGAATCATTCGTATATGTTCTTCAAGAAAAATGTCATAACATCAATTTGAAAACACTTGTGTATAATTTTTCAGGATTCTTTAATTAATTGAATGTCAAGTAATTAAAAAAGAAAGCTTTTGTAAAAACGATCAAATTAAAGCATTGGGTCATGACCAAAAGGACAAGATCTCGGATACAAGCGGCCGAAATGAGTTTCCAGCTCTGTCACCCGGGAAGAGCTCGGAGTAGAGCCACTGCTCCTCCACAACGAGAGAAGTCAGCTGAGGTGGCTCAGGCATCCTTTTCGGATGCCTCCTGGATGCCTACCTAGGGAAGTGTTTCAGGCATGTCCCACCTGGATGAGGCCTCGGAGAAGACACAGAACACACTGGAGGGACTATGTCTCTTGGCTGGCCTTGGAGCACCTTTTTTATTATGGATGTGAATGGTGACTGTTTTTTGAACATTATTCAACATATCGTTTTTGTGTCCAATGACACCAACAACAACAACAAAAAATAATGAAGTCAGAAATTATGCCAGAATTTACATTTTCAGATGAACTATCGCTTTTTAAAGCTTCTTTCTTAAATAAAACTATCAATTTCTTTTTAAAATATCTCTGACCCCAAACTTTTGAACGCCAGTCTAAGTGTATAAATAATTTAGCTTAGAAATGCTTGAGTCCGGCATGTTTTAGTCATCTTACTTAGTTTATTGCTGGATTGGTGAAGCTGCAGACCAGACTAATGACGTGACTGTGGGGAGATCCAGAAATAGAGCCTCAGCCTTGATTCCCCAGACAGCACTAACCCTACAATCACAAGACAGCGAGTGGTTAATAACATGTTCCAGGGACTAAAAAGAATGTTCATGTCCTACTTGTGCAAATAATTCTAGCTATTAAACGCACACATAATCTTCTTGTCAAATGGACTTGGCAATGTATATGAGGAATATTGTTGGCCTCCTGGCAGAAAGCTTTTGTTTCTCTGTTGTAAGTTGCATTGGAGTAATTCATCTGTTGAATGCATAAATAAAAATGTCCACTTAAAAGCATCTTCCTATCAATAAAGGTGATATGGCTGCTTTACTAACCTGCTGTATAATAGAGTTGCTCATAAAATACAGTTGTGTATTTTTCTGTATATTCTCTGGTTTTAGCAACTGCTGAGTTTCATCATATCTCCCGTTTCCGTGTAGAGCCGAAGGAAGTGTTGGAAACAAACGGGAAAGAGGGAGACGGTTTAAGAAAGAGAAAGATCTCCCACCTGGGCTCTTTGGACAAGACTGAGATAGAGGATGATGAAGAGAAGGAGGAGGAAGACTTTCAGCCGCCTCAAAGAGAAGAGGAAACTGTCTTTACTTTAAACAAGTGTATCATCGCAGCTATCATTCTTCTAGGGCTTGGGACCATTTTTTTCTCTGGTAAGCATGAGCACTCTTTTACATTGGATTTATTACAAATTTGTTATGTAGTAACACATTCAAATGATAAATGTATCATATATCGATGACGGTTGTTAAATGCTAAGACAATTATCATATTCATCACCAATTTTTTGTTAGAATTTATCAACTTTTTATTGTTGTTTTATATTATCATCAGCATAAAGATAAGAGTTTGTAAATCCCATTATTGTCCACCATGAGTAAAAATGAAAGATTGTGTTAATAGGCAGACACATTTAAAGGGGCTATAATAATCAACTTCTCAAAATATTGAACTAGAACAGAGATGCCTAAACTAGGGTCTGCAGGCCAAAGTTGCCCCATGAAAACCTTTGATTTGGCCCGCTACCCCATCTGAGAAGAGAGGAAAAGTGATGGGGATGGTTTAGAGATTGTCATTTCAAATCTAATGTAGCATTTTGTTTGTTTTATTGTTAAAAGCTAACTTAAATTACATGTTTCAATTCAATATTGTATTTAATTCAGATTTAGTTTAAATGTACATACTGTCACCTGATGGATAGAGACAATGCAGAGACTTTTTGTGAGCAAAGTAAGGCAAAGGCAGATTCTGCTTGACTAGTGTATTTAGCTTTGAACTCCACTTCTCACTGTTATGTTTTTTATTGCAATAAGTGATCATCTTAAAAGTTATACTGCATTAGTTAATATGATGTAAAGTAATGTTTTTTTTTTTTTTGAAACATTCTAAAATAAATTAGGTTAATTAACCTTGGCAACTTTAATGTAATGTAATGTAGTTTGGGGTTTTTAACCTTCGGCCCATGGTTATCGGAGATATTTGGTTTTTGGCCCTTTTATACAAAAAGGTATGGGCACCCCTGACCTAGAACTTTAGGGTTAGTTCATCCCAAAATTGCAAATTGTATTATTTATTCCTCACCTTCATGTTGTTCTAACCCCCTGAGACCTTCGTTTATCTTCAAAACAAAAATGAAGATAATTTAGATGAAAACTGAGAGCTCTCTCATCCTTCACAGACAGCAACAGTCTCAAGACCAGAAAATGAAATGTCAACACATTCCATGTGACTTCATTGGTTCAGCTGTAATCATATAAAGCTCCAAGAACACTTTTGTGTGCCAAAATACTCTGTAAAAACAAGTTTTTTTTTCCATGTTGTATGTCTTTCGCATTAAATTAAGGTGCACATTTACTATGGGCAATATGATATTTCCCTGTTGTGCTATATGTTGCGCAATACATTGTACTGCCTGTAGTAAAAGTGCACCCAGGCAAGAAAAAGAAAACATTGACATAAAATATGCAGTTTTTTTTTTTTTTTTTTTGGTGCACAAAAATGTTCTTGGAGCTTCATCTGGTGACATTTGAATGATATTTTTATAGTTGAACATGTTTTGACAATTTTTTTGGTTTATTTTTTGACTGGACGCCTTGCAACCCTTGCCGTCTATAGCGAATAAGAGCTTTCGAATGTCACAAAACAAAATTAGGCAACACTTTTTTTTTGGTAGTCCATGTGAGTATTAGTTGACTGTCTGCTTAATATCTGTTGATACTGCTCCTTCAACAGACGTTTAACTGACTATTAAAACTTTCAAGTACATATCAACTTACACTAAGTAAAATGTAACTGTCTACTTAAAATCTAATGAGAATTAGTTGGCATGTAGGTGCAAATTAACTTAAATTCAACAAATGAACCATCAAGATAAAGTGTGACCCAAAATTATCTCAAATAAATTATAGAACACTTAATTTGTGTTCTGTTTAAAGGTTTTGAATTATGTGAGTAATTAAAAAAAGAAACAAACAGCATTTTTCATTGGGTGAACTAAGCCTTTAATTATAAAATGGTGTGTGATAAAAAAAATATGTATGCAGTGTCTCATATCAGCGAGTGGATTTGAATATGTTCCTGTGTCTGAGACTCTGTTGTTCCACAGGTGTGCTCATGGATGCGGATGATGGTAGGGTGTGTGTGTGTGTGAGAGAGTGTGTGGAATGGAGCAATGAGATGCTTTATCTCAATGTAATTTGCTTGTTGATGGTTGCTGCAGTTGAAAAAGTGCATGTGCTGCTGAATATTTGCTAAATAAAATCCTCAGCTTTGTTACTGTTTCCACCTGGTACTAACATGTTCAAATGCATCTCTTGTGACCACTTGGATTTTGATTTCATTGAGATGCTTCAAACTTATCTCACCATGGATTAATAAAAAAAGACATCTTAATACTAGGTGTAAATAGAGCCATGCTGTCTGTGACTTTATATTTTATAATTTAAAACAATGTTTCTCAACCACATTCCTGGAGACCCACCAACACTGCATATTTTGGATGTGTCATTTGTCTGTCACACCCATTACAGGTCCTTTGGTCTCTGCAAATGAGCTGATAATCTGAATCAGCTGTGTTTGGTTAAGGAGACATGCAAAATGTGTAGAGCTGGTAGTTCTCCAGGAACGTGGTTGAGAAACACTGGTCTAAAATATATTGAAAACCCATTTTTAAACTACTACTATTTTTGTTATCAAATATTTAAGAGGGAAATGCAATGCTTTGTTTATTAAATACCACCATATTCTAATACTTTAATTTTAATTTAACTTATAATTTAAAATATTTAAGAATGGACTCATTCTGTTTTGTATGCTCAATGTACTAATTTTGAAATACATTTAATATGTTACTTTTTAGATTTACAGTTTGAGAAACTGGCTAAATTTGTTTTGGCAGTGTCTCATGATGATTAGCAACACGTAGCAGGCACATTAGAAATTATTTGCACAGCATCTTTAATTTCCTGTGTTGTTATGCGGATGCTCTGAACCACTCTGAATAACTGTTAAAATCATTAATTGATTAGGTTAGAATAGTGAAAATGTGAAAGAATCTAAAATGTTTTTAAGTCATTTTGATCACATACATTGCATGTTTTTTTTTTTTTTTATATCTGCTGGAACTGCATGCTTTCTGTGTGATCCTTAGACTCCCAGGTGTTATGGCTTCATGTTAGTTTTTTTTATGTTCATCACATTTACCAGTATTGTTTTGTAATGTTGACGCCTGATCAAACATGCTTTGTTGTGAGTGATTTATTTTTTTCTTTTGCTTTTTTGTGCTTGATCTCCTGTGTTTTTCCCCACAGAAGCAGATGTGGATGTTAGAGAGCTGAAGGATCCGCCAAATCAGGTCAGATCATTTGTTCTTTACTTATTTTTTTTATTTGTAACATTTTAGTCAGTAATATACAGTTAAAGTCAGAATTATTAGCCCCCCCTTTTGAGTTTTTCTTTTAAAATATTTCCCAAATAATGTTTAACAGAGCGAGGACATTTTCACAGTGTGTCTGATAATATTTTTTCTTCTGGAGAAAGTCTTATTTGTTTTATTTCGGCTATAATAAAAGCAGTTTTTAATTTTAGTAACTATTTTAAGGTCAAAATTATTAGCCCCTTTATGCTATATTTTTTCGATTGTCTACAGAACAAACCATCGTTAAACAATAACTTGCCTAATTACCCTAACCTGCCTAGTTACCCTAATTAACCCAGCTAAGCCTTTAAATGTCACTTTAAGCTGTATAGAAGTGTCTTGAAAAATATCTGTTAAAATATTATTTACTATCGTTATGGCAAAGATAAAATAAATCAGTTATTAGAAATGAATTAGTAAAACTACTATGTTTAGAAATGTGTTGAAAAAAAATCTTTGTTAAACAGAAATTGGGGAAAAAAACTAAACAGGGGGGCTAAAAAGTCTGACTTCAACAGTGTATATAAGCTGCAAATGTATTTGTGTGACAGGATTGGCTGAATCTTGAAGACTCCAGAGACACGCCTGTTGGCCTTCAGCCTCCAGACATTTTAAGCAAACACACAAAGGACGATCAGCAAATATTGGCTCTACAGGCACAGCTTCAGGTACAAACACCTGTGCTAAATAAACAGCAAATAAAGGACTAAAGTCAATGTATAATGTTCCTTAGATGAACAACTGTTTTTGACTCTATCATTAACCCTTGAAGCTCTAATGTGCTTACAGCAACCGTCTTATCTATTTTTAATTTAAAGGTAAAAAGTAGTTGTAAATTGTTGTAAATAATTGTAAGTAGTTGTAAATACAGCAGTGAACATCTCGGTGCCTCTAAAGCTGCTGAGAGTGCTGATTAAATTAATATGTAAATGTGTACTGTGTTTTCTTCTCAATAATAAAATAAACACAATTACAAGCATGAGAAAACAGCAGTTAAAGCGATAATTCACCCAAAAACGAAGATTTACTCTCTATTTACTCACACTCAAGTGGTTTCAAACTTTGATTAGTTTATTTCTTCCCAAATAAGAATATTTTGAAGAAAGATAAAAAAAAAACTTGTACCCATTGACTTGCATAGTACATGTAGTTGTTTTGGATGGCGCAGTAGGTAGCGCGATCGCCTTACAGCAAGAAAGTCGCTGGTTATAGCCCTGGCTGGGTCAGTTGGCATTTCTGTGTGGAGTTTGCATGTTCTCTTCGTGTTCACGTGGGTTTCCTCCGGGTGCTCCGGTTTCCCCCATAAGTACCAGACATGCGCTATAGATGAATTGGGTTGGCTAAATTGGCTGCAAAATTGGTGTATGTATGTGTGTTTGAGTGTCTATATGTGTTTCCCAGTAATGGGTTGCAGCTGGAATGTCATCCGCTGCATAAAACATGCTGGATAAGTTGGCGGTTCATTCCGTGGTGGTGACCCCATAATAATAAAGGGACTAAGGCGAAAATAAAATGAATGAATGAATGAATGAAAGTAGTTGTTTTTTTGATGATTTTTCACAAATTTTTGAGTGAACTATCCCTTTAAGAAATATTGCAATGCTGTAAATTTGTTAATTTATTTATCGCTTTATACTGTAGACAGCTTTAACTCAAGCATCTCTACTGTATTAAACACCAAAAACAGTGTCATTATTGCATTTGAATAGAATAACAGGAGAGCTGTCTGATATATATGTATTTATAATTATATATATATATTTTTTTACATTGGGATATTTTGTTTTTCCCCTATATATAGCTGTGTTTACAAAGAATTTGTTTATTTAAATTGATTAGAATTGATTCTGTAGGGGAGTGAATCCTGTAGTAAATATGAAGTTAGAAATTATATAATATCTTATGCCTAAACGCTTTAGAGTTTAATAAAATGCTCACAACAGAAATAAATGCAGATGACAAACTTTCACTCTATCATGTGTTCTGATCTGTGACTATTATCCAAGCATTGGTTTTCGTGAAATGTGACTATCGTATATGCAATAAAGATGCTGAAACTATGTATTGTGTAGCCCTAAATTGCAGTTCAGTTTCTACAATAAAGCTGCTCTTTAATGTTTGTACTCCTGCAAATCTGGAGGCCATTCTTTGTACGTGGATTACTTAATTAGCTAAATTTGGCTATTGACGGTTTGACAAGATCTAGGATTGTTTCGTTGTTTAAAACTCATCCGAGAGTTTTTGTCATAGCAACAGTTCTGGTAGCTCAAACCTGCTCGGAGCAGGCTAATTTCATATAAACAGGATTAGATCGGCTCATTTCAAGCAAAGGTGATACTGAAAGTATGTACCGAATGCTAATATTTTCTTACAGTAATTATTACTTAGGAAAATATAGTAAAAATGTTTAAATATATATATATATATAAATAAAATGTATGCAATCTGCACTCTGAATTAAAAGTACAAAGACTGTCACAGGGTGGTTCTCCCCAAGAGCTTCAAAGAGAAAATTTTTTTATTATTTATTTTTATTAATGTATTTATACAAAATTAATTTATACAGCCAGTTATTTCTTACACTAACTAAAATAACTAAATAAATGGCTAATGACTAAAATTAGTAAAAAAAAAACTAAATAAATGGCTAAATACTCTTGAAACATAAAAGTGTAAAGCCTGCAGACCACAACAAAGGTGGAAAGTTGCTGCGTTTCATATTTAACAAACCGTTTTCTGCTAATTTGATGTAATTTTGCTCACATGGATAATTAAATATTAATAAGATGATGTCATTACGATGCTGTGCCGTCAGCCAATGGTTGCATTGCTGATCATAATTTTGAGTATCGATAGATTTATCCTTCACAACATACGCAGCGATCTCAGATCAGTTCATCCAGACATTTTAATCTAATTTACGAACTTGTTTGAAGAACCATAATAGCCAGGGATTAGTTATCCACATTAAAAGATCCAGGATCTGCCAAATCATCTTAGATCATTTAAGTGAGGTATAAAGAATGGACCCCTGATCTCAACTGATTGACTGGAGGTAATAAATCCAAACCATTTTAGTGGCAATGAAGTTGGAGACCTCATTGCCACACCTACCTGTTACATCATCATCACAGACCAATGATGTATTTCTAACATTTTACAAACTCCCAATAGAAAATCTAATCATGAAATTGAAATAACCTCAGAATCATTTTTTTTATTCACTTCAAGTGTATTGGGGCTTTTATTTATTAAGTGTACTGGGGCTTTTATAAATTAAATTTAAATTGTGTGATTTTTGCTATAATATCTTTAAAATGCATTTATAAATTCTAAATAAACGCTGGTGTAATATATAAATTTACACTGGTCCTTAAGGTTTCAGGGACCAAAAGCTGTTGTAATATACTTTTGGATTAAGGCAATTTCTGAAATATATCCCTCAATATATTAAAGGAGCATGACAATTTCTCTTGTATTTCCTCTTTGGAAGTGTTTTGTTGTTCATTATTTTACCTTGTCTGTAAATTCAGCAATATCAAGGTGAACTGAAAGCAGCGCAGCTTCTGGCAGAGACAGGAGAGAAGGAGCGCGAGCGGAGAGAAGAGCTGGAGAAGGAGTATCAGAGGATTAAAGAAGAACTAGACAGACTGCCTGCTCTTCAGAAGGAGCTGGAGCAGGAGAACGAGAGAATGAAAGAAGAAAGTGCAAGAGCGCAGAAAGAGCTGAAGGCGCTGCCGTCGCTGCAGAGCGAACTGGAGCATCTGAGAGCTCAAGTTTCCCAGCTCACAGGTGCAGTGAACACACACGCACACTGACAGTAACAGTCCATCAGTCGAACGCATCTGTTCTGATTTATTTTTCTTAAAAAAAGAAAAAGATTAAAAGCCAGAATCACTTGCATGTTTTTACCTTGATGCACTGTTAAAAATGGAAAAAATGTAATAAGTGATATTAAAAAAAAGTATGATATGTTTTTTTGTGCCTGTAACACTTTACAATAAGGTTCAATAAGTTAATGTTAGTTAATATAATAATGCGTATACAAACGATGAGCAATACATTTGATACAGTATTTATTACAGTAATTTATCTTTGCTAAAATTAGTTAATGGAAGTAAACTCTTTTGATGTTAGTTCATGTTAACTCTTAGTGTAATTTTTGTAACTGTGGAAAGTGTGTTATCCAAAAAATAAGAAAATACTAAATTGTCACTTGTTTTAAATTTACCTTGGGAAATTAGAAATATCTGTCCATGGCTATCTCCCACCACCAGTTACAAATATTAAGCAAGCAAACAAATAAATAAATAAATAAATAAATAAATAAATAAATAAATAAATAAATAAACAATGTGAACCAGAAATTGCATCCATTTAAATAAAGTTTGTATTCATCAATAAAAAAGGTGCTTTTCACTTTTTACAAATACAAAGAAAAGAAAAACCACAGCAATTACAACAAAAGAAAATAACAAAAACAACAACAACAACAAAAACTCAGCACTTAGAACTTAAATGAAAGTAAATACCAATAAGAAAAAAAGCACAACTTTAGATTTTAATACATTTTAAACTAAAATTAATAAATGTTGTACTGCACAAGTACTGATCATGTTAGTAAATACATTAACTAATGAAACCTTATTGTAAAGTGTGAACATTGTTTCATAATGTTTAACAATTACATATAAATATGCAAAATCAGCAAACAAATATTGCCCTAATTATTTATTAGTTAATATTTGATAGTTCCTATTAAAACTACTTTTTAAATATATATATATATACTGTATGCAGTTAAAAGTCAGAATTATTAGCCCCCCCTGAATTATTATGACCCGTTTATTTTTTTCCCCAATTTCTGTTTAATGGAGGGAAGATTATTTCAACACATTTTTAAGCGTAATAGTTTTAAAAACCTATTTCTAATAACTGATTTATTTTATCTTTGCCAGTTTATCTTTGCCAGCTGACAGTAATTAATATTTTACTTGATATTTTTTTAGACACTTCTATACAGCTTAAATTGACATTTAAAGGCCTAACTAGGTTAATAAGGTGAACTAGGCAGGTTAGGGTAATTAGGCAAGTTATTCTATAACAATGTTTTTTTTCTGCAGACTATCGAAAAAAATATTTGCTCAAAGGGGCTAATAATTTTGTCCCAAAAATAGTTTTTCAAAACTGCTTTTATTCTAGTCGAAATAAAACAAATAAGACTTTTTGCAGAAGAAAAAATATTATCAGACATACTGTGAAAATGTTCTTGCTCTTTTAAATACCATTTAGGAAATATTTAAAAAAGAATAAGAATATATATAAGTATGTGTGTGTGTGTGTGTGCATATATATATATATATATATATATATATATATATATATATATATATATATATATATATATATATATATATATATATATATATATATACACACACACATTATAAATAAAATGTGTATGTGTGTGTTAAATATTTTATATATAGACATACCGGCCACTTTATTAGGTACACCTGTCCAACTGCTCGTTAAAGCAAATTTCTTATCAGCCAATCACATGGCAGCAACATGACATGGTCAAGACAATCTGCAGCAGTTTAAACTGAGCATTAAAATGAGGAAGAAAGGTGATTTAAGTGGCTTTGTTGGTGCTAGACAGGCTGGTTTGAGTATTTCAAAAACTGCTTATCTACTGGGATTTTCACACACAACCATATCTAGGGTTTACAGAGAATGGTCTGAAAAACAGACAATATCCAGTGAGCAGCAGGTCTGTGGACGCAAATACCTTGTTGATGTCAGAGGAGATTGGCCAGACTAATTCAAGCTAATAGAAAGGCAACAGTAGCTCAAATAACCACTCGTTTCAACTGAGGTATGCAGAAGAGCATCTCTGAACGCACAACACGTCCAACCTTTAGGCCAGGCACGTGCACACATAAGGCTCATCCTGTGCAGTACACATGCCCTTATTAGTCTTGGATAAAAAGTGCCCTTCCAAAATGATCAAAAGTGCCCCCGCAACCCCCCATCCCCCCCTACCCCTACCGCCCTTCAGTAGGCGCGCAACAACACCGCTCTTGAGTACGTGCCCATCCCCCCCTCCCCCTTACAGTACGCGCGCGACAACACCGCTCTTCATAACGCGCACGACAACAACACCCCCCCCCCCCCCCCCCCCCCCTTCAAAAAATTTATCCTGCACATGGCCTTTGGACAGTCTCTGCACGGACCTGCTTGAGTCCGATGGGCTACAGCAGCAGAAGACCACACCGGGTGCCATTTCTGCCAGCTAACAACAGGAAACTGAGGTAGAAGATAGAAGATTGGAAAAACGTTGCCTGCTCTGATGAGTTCTGATTTCTGCTGCAACATTTAGATGGTAGTCAGAATTTGGTATCAACAACATGAAAGCATGGGTCCATTCTGCCTTGTATCAATGGCTCAGGCTGATCGTGGTGGGGTAAGTATGTGGGAGATATTTTCTTGGCACACTTTGGGCCCTTTAGTACCAATTGAGCATCGTGTCAACGCCACAACCTACCTGAGTATTGTTGCTGACCATGTCCATCCCTTTATGACCACAGTGTACCAATCTTCTGATGGCTACTTTCAGCAGGATCACTCACAATGTCAAAAAGCATGTCATCTCAAACTGATTTCTTGAACATGACAATGAGATCATTATACTCAAATGGCCTCCACAGTCCAGTAGTCAATCCAATAGAGCACCTTTGGGATGTGCTGGAACGGGAGATTTGCATTATGGATGTGCAGCTACTGTGTGATGCTATCATGTTAATATGGACCAAAATCTCTAGGGAATATTTTCACTACCTTGTTGAATCTATGCCATGAAGGATTAAGGCAGTTCTGAAGGCAAAAGGGGGTCCAACCAGGTACTAGTAAGGTGTACTTAATAAAGTGGCCGGTGTGTATAAGCTTAACAAAAATATTTAAGCTGAATGATGATGGAACATACTTTTTAAGGTTTTTTAATGCCTTAAAGAAGACATTTTACTTATGAAACTTTAATTTAATTCAGAAAAGAAAAAGGGTTGTACTTAAATCTTATTTCTGTGTAATCAAAATGGTCTTTTCTGTCCTCAGTAAAAGCAGAACATCAGCATCCCATTGCCACCTCTCGGACCCCCCCTGCTGGAGACAAAAGAGATGTACCACCTATAGAAAGACCAGACATAAGGAACAGGAAGACCTGGGACAAAAAGACTGAGGAAAAGGAACAAAGCAAAGCAGATAAAGAATGGAAAAAGAAGAAGAGTGGAAAAAAGGAAGGTGACAAAGACAGAAAAGAGAAAGTGACGGATGGAGAACATACTAAAGAACAAAAGGACCGGAAAAAAGAGGAAGGCAAAGCAGGCAAGCAAAGAGAAGAGAAAAGGGAGTGGAAAAAGGACAAAAAACAAGATGAAGGTAAAATAGGGAGGGAAAGAGGAGAGAAGTGGGGGGAGAAGAGAGAATGGAATGATGAAAAAAAGGGGAAGAAAGACAAACATACGGAAAAGGATGACAAAAAGGGAAACAAACAGGACTGGAAGGATACTGCCAACAAGAAAGTGAAAGAAGAAAAAGAACGTAAACAGAAAGACTGGAAAAGTGATAAACACAGTGGCGTGAATGACCATAGAGAAGGGAAAGAGAATAAGAAAGAGGAATGGAAAGGTAAAAAGGAAAAGGGTGAGGGAAAACACAATGAGAAGAAATGGAAAGGAGACAGAGAAGAGCATGCTGGAAAAGAAAAAGAGCAAAAGCACCCGAGAGGCAAAGAAAGAGAGTCCAAAAAGGAAGAGTGGACAAGAGATCACGTGAAGGAAGAGAAAAAACACAAAGCGCACCACCCCAAAAATGAGTTGAAAAACAGCCCCAATGAAAAGGAGAAAGGACAGAAAGAGAAACACAGGAACACACCTCCAGACAAAACCTCCGGCCATCACCATCACGAGCAGCAGAACTACTGGACCAAACAGAGAGAGCGGATCCAGCACTATGATGACCTGCGGGACCACTGCACCGGCGTGGAGGACTGCGCTCGAGTCGAAGGTCTCTCCCCTGTACACCTGCATGACTTCGAGAACCTGCTCCAGTCCTACATGAACAAACTCCAGGAGGAACAGAGCTCAAGTAAAGAGGAGCTCAGGAAGCTGGTGAGGGAGTTCTTCAATAACGGAGTGTTCGCTCATGATCAGATGCCCTTCAGTGAATTTGTAGAAGACGTGGGGGACATTTTGGAGGACATGGCTGAAGGAGAAGAGAGCGACACTGAGGCGGAGGACAGCGAAGAGGACGACGACGACGATGATGATGATGAGATGGAGGATTTCGAAAGAGAAGCGATGGAGAAATTTGCACTTCCAGCAGAAGTGAAGAAGGTTGAAGATTCTTCGAGGAAAAAAAGGTACATGTTGAAACTGTCGGGTCTGAGTTAATTTGCCGATTAATAATATTAATATAATGTGTCATTTCTGAAGAGTTTATTCATTTTCATCATTAAGCTTTGGCTTTGTTTTTTTTTTCATAGATAAAGCTGTACTGCTGTAAATCCTTAATGATGATGGTGTCCTGCTTCATAACAGCTGTTTCTGCTCACTTTTCTCACATTTTATTTGGGAACGATACGCAAGCTTAAATAAAGGTTCATTGAGAGGCTTCTGATCAGTCAACTAAAGGTCTGGTGTTGCATTTATAAAACAGTCTTAAAGCGATGGTCCATCTAAAAATGTTCAAACATATTTGAGTTTTTCTTCTGTCTAACATAAAAGAAAGTGTTTTGAAAAATGCTGGTTGCTGAGACCCATTGGCTGTTTCTTAATGTGTGTTGTTAAGGGAACCTTTGTCCTTGTGCTCTTGTCTAACATCCCGCAAGAACACCTGACACGTGAAAGAACTCAGATTTGATATTGAGGATGAATCGATGCAAACTTGCTTGATTGTAGCACTCGCTCCACATCCTAGAATGATTGTAGATAAGAAGGAGGGAAGTTGATGCTGATAATGTTGCAGTTGACAGCACTATGGTGCTCATGGTGAACACAGTTTATATTGACTATTATTTACAGTTTTAGTTACAGTATTTACAGTTTTCCTAAAGTGAACATGAAAACATTAATGAAGGGATAAACATGCACAAAGGCATTTATTTCCTGAAGTTCATCATGAAATCATTTTTATTTTCATTATCAGAATTATATTTGCAGGGTTTTTTGAACATCATATGTTTATTAAAAACGAAAAAAAGCAATAAATCAATGTACAGATTTTCTTTTCATATTCCTTCAACTTATTTGCTTTATATATCAGGGATTGCCACAGCAGAATGACCCGCCAACTTATCCAGCATGTATTTTACGCAGCGGATGCCCTTCCAGCACTGGGAAACACCCATACACACTCATTCATACATATACACTACTAGCAATTTAGTTTATTCAATTCACCTGTACCGCATGTCTTTGGACTGTGGGAGAAACCGGAGCACCCAGAGGAAACCCACACGAACACGGGGAGAACATGCAAGCTCTACACAGAAATGCAAACTGACCCAGCCGAGGCTCGAACCAGTGACCTTGCTGTGAGGGGACAGTGCTATCAACTGAGCCACCATGTTGCCTTGCTGTACAAATGTCACAAGGTTAAATTGCTTGAAACTCATGTGACCGTCAGAAAGATTGCAGATCTCATTTCTCACAGGATGTGTTCTGTGTTCTGGCCTTTTTCCATGTTTATTTATTCAGGTTATTTGGCAAGACTGGTCTACAAGAGAACCAGAGACTGCATTTTGCATTCTTGGAATTAAGAAACAGCCATTGATGGATGGAGCCACAATGGAAGTCAAATGGTCCTAGCAACCAGCATTCTTCAAAATATCTTCTTTTGCATTCAACAGAAGAAAAATAAAGGTTTTAAAATACATGATGTATTTATTTACATTTTTGGGTGAGCCATCCCTTTGAAATGCGTAAGTAAATAAAATGCGTTTTATTTATTTTTGGTCTTAAGGAATGATAGGAATCTTCCCGTTAAAGAAATTCTTAGAATTCTGACAATGACTTCAAACGTTTACTGCCTGTAAACGTAACCGCCAATGAGGCAAGACAAGATTGTAAAAAAAGAAGTTAAAATTTGTTTTGTGCTTATCAATTGTTACATTTATATTTCTCAAACACTGTAAAATTAAACTTTAATAAAAGTATATAATAATTTATAATTATAATTTAAAAACAAAATTTTAATTCCAATTAAAAGAGTCATGCAGGCAAAGTCAAGTCCAGGTATTGTTATCATTTTTTTTAATAACAGAATAACCTTATTTGTTAAAAATGATCATTTTATTCCAAAAAATGTTCCTGAAAGAATATTTGACTTTTTTTTTTAAAGAAAGGATGAGGGAAGGGGTTGGGGGATTAATAGGACACTCATGAATCCGGCTTCCTGCATAAATGATGACAGAGGGAACAATGTCAGGAACGGCCTGTGTTTTCTTTATCTGCTGTCATGGGACATCAGGTTTATATTTAAAACCTGCCACGTCTCGCACAAATATAATATTTTCTGGGACTATTCATCAGAAGAATGTAGTTCAGTGTTGAGTGTGAGGGACGTTTTTAATGCTACTCATATTTTGCAGCTGTTGAAAGTCATCACATGATTGTTGATTTGCATTTTGAAGATAATACTTTGCTTATATTGGGTGTACAGCTGTTGAGTGAAAAACAGTTGACTGATAACAATAGAGTTTTATTAATGTTCATCATGTTTGTAATTCTCTTTTTTTTTCTTAAATATTTTTTTGTTTTCAGTGTTAGCCTCCTGAGCTACTGCTTCAGATGTGTTTGGCAGCTTCACTGTTATTTATACAGTTTAACAAATGGTCTCTTTTAGTAAATGACGTGTGTATTGTCTGGCACTTTTGTAGGCTGCTTGTTCGAAAAAGTTACTCTAGCCAGCTGAAATATTAGCAAGTCTGTTAAGTGAAGTGCAGGTCACCTTAGTTTTATGTCATTTATAATTAGTGTTTTTACATTCTGGTCTCTATTGCGCGCATCAAACTAAAGGCTGTCAGACAAGATCTTTAAGTTTAGCTTTTGCAGCATGTGCTGTATTGAACTGTCAAGTGAAACAATTGCATTGTAGCTACACTTCGCTGCTTAACGGCAGTGGGTAGAAATTTGAAAGACCACTAAATTGAAACAAAATGTACAAGAATGAAAAATGTAACACTACAGTAATATGCTTAGTATTTGTTAAAGTGGCTAAAGTTGATATGGTGGTTATTGTAGTGGGAAATGATTTTGCTTTGAAACATCACAAAATAAACAGATGCACACAATTATGCATAATGCACATGTGTTTGTTTTTACTGTTATAGTTACTCACTGTAGAATTTGCACATTTTTTGGAAAAACATCTAAAAGGGCCTAAATCAGTGACTGAAACACTTCACAGCTGGTGCTGATCCAAAGAGAAACATCAAAAATAAAATTTAAAAAAGGGTTCCTACTGTCATAAACTACTGTATATTTGAACATAGAGAGCCTGATTGTGTGCTTACTTTATATAATTGTTTATATAATACTTTATATAAATGTTGTCCACTTTTCCAAGTTTTTGATGCTTCTAAAGCATAAAAATACTATAATACATTTGCAGATATTTTTAAGAAACAAGCTAAGCATGCTTTAGGAAATGCTAAACAATGTGGGTTCTGTGTCAGAATGTCTGCACTGTAAAACCTAAAAAGTTAAGATAACTCAAACCATTTGAGGAAACCAATTGCTGCAAACCATTCGAGTAAAAAAAAAGAATCTATATGAGTTCTGTGAACTTACTCCATTTAAGTTGAAGTAATTTGGTATTTATTTAACTCATTACCTTCAACACTGTGTTTAAAACTCAATTCAAATGAGTAGAATTAACCTTCAGTAAATTTTGAGCTAACTACGCTCATTTCATTTGATAAAGTTAACTGTTGGGTTTTACAGTGTGTATGTTTTGGTCTGTGTAACTATCCACTTTCAGATTATCCAATTATATTTTGGCACAGCAGGTTACCATCAGGGCCGGAGTGGGACTCAATTGTAGCCCTGGAGTTTCAAGACAGATCGGCCCACCTCAGTTCATGACTGATTCGAATTCAGTTTCTAATGGCATTATCACGTCTTTTTCAAGAAAACAGCTGCTTTAGAAATTCAAATGTTCAACAGCCCTAACAGTATTATATGTCTTAACAATAAAAATGAAAAAATATATAGTTTTTCAAGTGAGATTCGACTACGGGTCCACAGCGTTGTTACGTAACGTGCTTACCACTGGTCCACAGTGGCGCTATTACAGTGTGAATAAAAAATAAGTAATGACTTGTGACCCTTAAGACACAGTAATACTTTCTTTTGATGGCTTAATCTTTTTCTCCCCTTTTAGATTTCTGATCAAGTTATGTCAGATTTATTAATGTAGTGAACCATCTGATTTTCATTGAGCAGGTGTATTATTCATTAATATTAATTATTCGAATTCTTATATTTACTAAGGTGCCGCTGTTTGGGGTCGATAGTTACATCATTATCATTAACGTTAGGTAACCGGCGGGCTGCATTTTGCTCACGGGGCTGTGAGAAAATAAATAAAAAGAGCGGCGCTGCGGCAAAATAATGAGTAAAAAGAGTGAAGCTATGGTCAAATAAATAAATAAATAAAGTGTGACTGCTGAGAGTGCAAGCAGCTAGGGACACCAGCCCTCGGGGTCAAAAAACAGACCGGCCCACCGGGAATTCTTCCGGTCCTCCCGATTAGCCAATCTGGGCCTGGTTACCATGGTGGAAAACAGCATATTTCATTTCAGTTTTGAAGGCTTCCTCATTTTTTTTTTAAATGAGATGCAGATTCAGAGTTATAAAAATCAACAGAAGGTGGTTTTGAATTAACAGATATTACAACTGTATGTAATATTTTCTAAACAACTTACAGTAAGTGTTGAGCTGTTGGTGTCATCAATCTGGCATCCTGTGCGTGTGTCATGTCAGAGGAGGAAGGGCCGGGTGACAAATTTTTTTTTTCGATATTTTAAATTGACTGCAATACCTTGTTCAACATTCCTACATACTGCACCTTTAAAGTATGTCCTTCAATGTGCTTAATCATATGTGATTATTTTTTCACTTTATTTAGAACTTCAGCTTAAATTTGATTAAATATGAAGTATTATTGTTAAAACACTTTTCAAATACTAATGACTACAGGCCTAACATATTACAAAAAATGGAAAAACTTTCATCCCCGTGTTGGCGTGGGTTTCCATTGAGTGCTCCAGTTTCTGCCACAGTCCAAAGGCATGCGGTATAAGTGAATTGAATAAGCTAAATTGGCCGTAGTGTATTTTTGTGAATGAGTGTGCATGCATGTTTCCCAGTACTGGGTTGCAGCTGGAAAGGCATCTGCTGTGTAATACATATGCTGGATAAATTGGCGATTTATTCCACTGTGGTGACCCCAGATTAATAAAGGGACTAAGCTGAAAAAAATAAATGAATGAATTAAAAACTTTCAACATTCTTTTATTGTGTTTCTGCTTGACACCATGTGGTGGAGTGTAAGATTGCGGTCATCCAACTGATCAAAAAGTATTAATGTAAACAATGTAATTTGTAACACCATAATGTTAAAATATTTTTATTTTTTTCCAATATGGTTTGTCATATTGCAGAGCCTTTATGTAAGAGACTCATTTAAACATGATTAAACTGCTATTTAATGGACTAAAGTAACTAATTTGTGACTTTTGGTGCTATCAAAAAATCTATTAAAAATATTATGTATTAACTGTGATTCTAAAGAATATCATTGGGGTGGCCAACGCTGGTCCTTCCTCTGTAATGCAGAGTTTTGCTTAGGGTGAATCTGGCTGTCCAGGAAAGAAGGGAGTCATCTCTGAAGTTGACGACCCTGTGTCTTTATTCAATACGCAACCTAAATTAAGATTTATGATTTGTGTTTTACCTACTTTCTTTAAGTCAGTTTGATGGATGTTGCATTACATCTAAACTCCTAAACTTTAACATAATGGGAATGGGGAGACATTGGCATGTACAGTAATGTGACTGCACATGGTGACACAAGGCATTAAAAAGCCACAAATATAACTTTAAATAAATGTTTAAGATGAGCTGGTCATTCAATGAGAAATAATAATCATATAAAAGAGGCAGGGCTTAAGATGCTTTACTAAAAAAAAAAAACATTTTCTTCTTCACAGAAAGAGGAAGTGAGGGAAAGAATAGTTCATGCATAGTCTAAACAAGTCCAGTGTGAAGTTTAAGGCAAATGGTTAACATTTGCAGAGCGAAGGCAAAGAAGTAGACTCATCTAGACTTCCTTTAAAATGTTTGCGTTTGCAACAAACTCCAATTTCCTGCGCTTCTTTTGGAGAATTGCATTAGGTTTAAGTATCTGCAATGTGGTTTTAACTCGAATAACAAAGCGCTGCATTACTATAGAGGAGCATCTTCTCAAACAAATGCCGTGGACTCCACACTGCCTCCATTATCCAGGAAAGGGTCCATACGCAAACTGCAATATCACAGACCTGAGCACTGATCTGTCACAGGTAGGCTTTGAGGTTAGAACCCTTTGTGTCTTTGGAGATATTACGAGCATTCCTGCTAAAGCCTTTTCACACTTACCTTCTCTGGAGGTACTTCACATAGATGGAATACGTCTGGAGAGAGTTCAGGCTGGTGCCTTTGAAGGACTCCCCAATCTTAAGTATCTGTCAATGCTTTTCAGTGATGATCTCTACAGATTGGTCAAAATGGATAATCGGTCATTTGCTGGTCTGAATAATTTGGAGGAGTTGTCACTGACAGGTCTGATGCTGCTCAATGGATCCAGTGGTATATTTGACCCATTGGTTAGTTTAATCAGATTAGACATTGTCAGAACTTGCGCACAAGACCTTGGTGAAATTTTCTGTTGTATTTCGAATGGAATGACCCGGCTAAGACACCTAAATGTAGAAGACAGTGAGATTTCAACAATTGAGAACAAAGGATGTGCAGGGGGCTCAATGACCTGGCCGCTTACTGCCCTTTCTGGGGTTCAAAATCTGTATCTAATTGGGAACAATATTAAATCTATTCAAGCAAACTCCTTAAATATTTTCCAGAACCTCTCAAGCCTTTTTCTGGAGTTCGAGGGCAAGTCCCTGGGCAGTATTTGGGAGTCTGGAGTTGGAAAAGTCAATGATTTGACTTTGAAAGGGAAAGTATTAAAAAAATACTCAACAAACTTCAAAGATTTGTGTCATCTTGTATCGAGTCTTTATTCGCAATCACTCAGCCTTGTTTATACATCAATAGACAGACTAACTGCTGAGGACTTGAAGGACTGTGGGACTAAGTTGACAAAGTTATTAATCCAGAATTCCAAAATAGACAACCTAGACTTTAGGTTTTGGACCAGTAAACTGGAAATGCAGGCCCTTCAAATGGCCTACATGAAGTTGACAGATGCTCCCTTTTGTTTTGTTGCGAACAGCACAATGTGGTCTTTAACCTCACTGGACCTCACTGGAAACTCTATCACCAATATTGATGGAGATCAGTTTGCATGTATGCCTTTTCTTGAGCAGCTCTATCTGAGCCAGAATGCCATTAAAACCCTACAGCTGCATGCATTTCGAGGTTTGCTTCGACTCAAAATCCTACAACTTGACTCAAACAAGATCTCACAGCTTTCTGCCAATGATTTCAAAAACCTTCATGCTTTAGAGGTTCTGCTGATTAACGATAACATCATTGAGACTATAGAGACAGGAACATTTTGGGACCAGCGGGAGCTTCGTGAACTGTCATTTGGTAGACTGGAATATGTTTATGAGTTGCATCTAGAGAACATTTTTTTTGAATTTCCACCAAAGTTACAGCGACTCAGCATCGATGCACATTATGGAACTCATATTTACATTGGAAATGCATCACCACCCAATGGAACGTTTGCTCTGGAACTAAATGGAGAGAAACTAAGTTTTGCAGACTGTAAAAGTGATGTTTTAATGGCAGTCCGTGAGTTGAAAGTCAATTGCACCTTCTTCCTTTGTGAGAACCTCTTCATGGCTCCATATTTCCTAAACCTGGAATCTTTTGAGATCTCAGGCGGAGCTGAAAGGGCACCTCTCAATTACGCTACAATCAATAATCTTCACCATCTCAAGCATCTCAAACTCGCTGGGTTGAACTTCCCCAATTACACAGAATCTAGGAGTGCCTTTTGGAACCTGACTCAACTCCAGACCCTAGTGATGGTAAACTGTTATCTTAGTTTCCTCACCAAGAGCATGTTCAGAGATCTGACCTCTCTCCAGCTGTTGCGTCTCTACAGTGACAGTCCTCTGATCTTGACTGATGGTGTGTTTGGGGTTTTACCAGTGCTAAAAGCGTTCATTCTGGACAGAGTAGATTTCCAGTGCAGTTGTGAGAATGGCTGGCTACTTGATTGGGCAGACAGCACTGAAAAAGTGCAGGTTATCTACTTGCAAAAGCAGCAGTGTGTCTGGCACTATCAGAAACTCAACTTCTTGGCCACAATGGAGAAGCTCTGCCAGACTGATGCGCAGTACATCTGCTATGTAGCCACAGCCAGCAGCATTAGTCTTCTGTTGTCGGCAGCTGTTGGATATCGCTTTGCTCGCTGGCCTTCACTTGTCCTCTTCTTCCGCCTGAAAGGTTGGATGGAGAGAAGGTTTGGTCGACGGTGGAATAGGAGAAGAAGAAGAATGGAGGATGACTATGGGGAGATCGAGGAGATGCAGTATGATGCTTTTGTGTCTTTCTGCAGCCAGGATGAGGCTTGGGTTTTGGGGGAAATGGCTCCTCGGCTGGAGGATCAAGGTAACCCAAGACTGAGACTGTGTCTGCACAACAGAGACTTTGAGGTGAGTTTTCCTAATTAATAATAATGATGATGTTCTTTTTAAATAGAGTGGAGATCAAATTTAGAGAATCAGACTTGATTTCAGAAATAATATAATCTTCATTGTTCACAATTTGAAGGAATTTTAGTTGTGACTGAACCATTCTTCTGCAAAAGAAACACAACAACAACAACATCAAAATATGTTAAGTGGAAGATCATTCTTAGAGAACAGCAAGGATTGTAGCACAAATAAATATTTCTTCAGTTTCTTTCCTAAACAGAAATGAGTATAAAGTTAATTGATGACCACAGGACATAAACATGTTTTCCCACTTCTCTGCAGTGATGTTAATAACTTCACTGACTAGCCATAACTGTTGCCAAGGCTTTTCCAGAGATTTTCAATTAGGTTTCACAGATGTAAACATACTATTTAGGGCTTTTGAAAGTGTATCACACACACACACACACACACACACACACACACACATATATATATATATATATATATATATATATATATATATATATATATATATATATATATATATATATGTTATAGTATTTACAGCACTTTGTTAATGAATGCTCCAGCATATGGTGAACTAAGAAATACTTTGGCTGTGAATTGTGGTTTATTATTGTAGTTGTAGAAATATGTGTACAGCTTTACTAGGTTTATGATACTACTGTATATTTGTTGTGTTACCACATCAACTAGAAATTCCACAATTTAGTTAATATAGTATTATTCGAAACACTATGCTATTTACTATAAATTACTATAGTATTCTTTCATGTGGGTTAAATGGGAGTTTGTTCTGGCTATTTCAAGTATTTGCTTTACTTGTCTTGCTGTGTTGCAGGGTATATTGTCCAACATGAAGGAGATTTTTATAAACATTTGCATCACTCTGTCATGTATAAGAGATTAAACTCTTACTGCAGAAAACAGCCTCAAGACATGACACTTCCTCCTTGACATTTCTCCGATTTCTTTACATTTTGTGTTCAGTGTTTCCTGGGTTTGACAATGAATATACACTAAAAAATCATTTTTGCTTTCCTTACTAAAGTGATATTTGGGTCAGTTCTTTCTCAACATGTTCCTGATTAAAAGTTAATCTCTTGATTCTTTTTGCTAATGAGAGGTTTTGTCACTGAATGGCTTTCAGTACAAACTCTTTTAAATGTTTAGACACTCTATGCTGAGATACAGATTCTTATCCTGTTTGAGAAGTTAGCCAGTTCCGGATTTAGACTAATAACTAAAAGTGTCTAGTTTTGAAGGAATCTGAAAGTGTTCTTCAGAATATAGAGTTTGTATCTCATTAAATTGTTGTTTATTCTATCATTTTGATCTACATTGTATTTAAACGGGACTACTTGAAGTTTGGTAATTGAGCTGCAACCTCACTCACCCATTAATGTTAACAACAGGTGGGTAAAGATATCATGGACAACATCACAGACAGCATCCACAACAGTCAGTGCACTGTTTGTCTGATCAGCCGGCGGTATCTGCGCAGTGACTGGTGTGGTCTGGAGATGCGAGTGGCCACACACCGGCAGCTGGAAGAGCAGAAACACCGTCTCATCCTCATCTTCCTCCAACACATCTCTCCCTTTGAGCTCTCTGCTTTTCATCGGTAAGTGGCGAAGATGGAAGAAGCTCGCTTCCTACTTCCAGTGGGCATTTAAATAATAACATCAACATGTAGTGTAACAAGGGTCACCAGGGGTCAGTGCTGATAGTCTCCCAGACAGGCTTCAGGCTTTGGAAGATTCAGTTATTAATCAACAACCTCACTCACAGTTTATTGTTAACAACAGGTGGTTAAAGATATGGACAATATCATGGACAGCATCCATAACAGTCAGTGCACTGTTTGTCTTATCAGCCGCTCGTATTTGAGTAGTGACTGGTACTTCTTTGTGCATTTACATAAAACGGCAACATTTAGTGTAACAATGGTCACCAAAAGGGGTCAGTGCTGATAGCCTATTGGACACTAAGCCTTAGCTGACCTAGCACAACTGTTCTTAAAGCATCCTGAGTTCAAATCCTGGCTAACTGTCTCATCTCTGCTATCCATTTATTCTCATATTAATACATGAGCAATAAATTTAAAATTTACACTTGATCAAATTATCATTATCCAATGACATTTTCGGGGCTCATTTCAAGAGTTCACACAGATATTGCTTGATGGTATTAGCAGGTTTGGCATGCTGTCCCGGAAGAGAACCCTGAGCTCAAAGATAATTGAGCCCAGGGCTCCCACCAGGTCAATTAGTATGTAAGAGTGTCCGAGATCAGGTAGGTCCCGAGAGCTTCCCCTTGTAAAAGAGGAAAAGAAAGAGATTGGGTGGAAGGAGAGATTCTTACAAAACAAAGATAAGGCAGTGGGGTGAAGTCGTCCTGTTTACTGTAGATTTAGATCAATCTGATTGGGTTTTTACTGATTGTGGATGAGAGGCCAGCCATCGTCAATCATATCATGTGCTCCTCTTGAAATTAGTTTGAATTTAAATCTTCACTTATTCTCAGAAATGTACAGATGCATTCTCTGAAATAAAGGTGCAAAATCTGTCACTGAGATAGTACTTTTTCAATATGTACAGTTTTGTTCAGTACAGGTGGACATTAGTACCTTTAGGCTTTTGTACCTTAAGGATCATGGTGGGGCCACTCACTCTGATCCCCTTGGGGAAATTAAAAAAAAATTTAACCAAAAACAAACAATTACAATTGGCTTAAAGGGCCATGAAACCCCCTCGTTTCAGCAGGGTGTTTTCACACCTCTACTTTGGAAAAAGTCAGAAAAGTGGGCGTGTCCAGCTCTGTTTAGGGGGTAGTGTCGGAGAAACTAAAGTGGGATGGTGTGGGAGTGTCTATTTGGGCACGCGCGAGTTTCAGTCAAAATACACACACTTGAGAAAGTGATGGTGTTTAACCTATACATGGACATCTGTAGTCGAATTATTTGCCAAATTATTAAATGTTGGACTTTAACTGCAGTTTGGCTCTTTCATTCAGGGAATTCATTCATGCCCCTCGCGACAAACGCGATATTTGATTCGAGGAGCTGCTCTAAGCGTGTATTTTTCATGCAATGTTTGATACCGCACGGCGAATGAGAGAAAAAAAAACTCTGCATTTCCTGGAAACTTAGATGCACACGGCAGGTAGCGTCAGTGTTATTCCGGTCACAAAATGCGGTGCTATGTTTGCACTCAGTGCAATAGTTAACTTAATTCGACACGAACAAACTGAATAAACAAAGAGCGCTGGTCCCTCACTTACCAAATCTGTAGAGACAAGACAATCACCAGCAACAAGAGCCGCGTCTTTATGAAAAGGAGACTAACGTTACAAGCGAATCCGGATTTCAGCGTTTGCAGATGAGAACAGCTCTCAGGTAAACAATGTTCCTCCTTAGACACGTAAGTTATTGTTGTCGAGCGTCGCGTACACTGTTAATCCACACGTGATCCAGCTGAGCTCTCACAGAGAGAAAATGAAAACGAAACTTAATGGCAGCAAACTATAAAAGCAACACTTCACGCTTGTTTTGCCAACACAACGTGGCGTCTCTGTGGCGTAAACACGGTGAAACTAATGAATATTAATGAAGTTGCACAATAGAGCACGCTGATTGGTTTGAACCAAGCCTTACTCATGCATTAATGCAACACACTGTAAGATGTAATAAGACTCACTCTGGCACAGATGCCCAGTCTGCACTCTGGAACACACGCTATTATGTCATGACTGTGACGCAGCTTCAAAAATTCGTTTCAAACAGGAAGTACGAATTAGCTTGAAATAGCGCAAAAACAACCAATTTACACTTTTTAGTGAAATATATGTGTCCTAATAGTGTTTTTAGCAGTGTGGGACACATATACGACTGTCAACAGTTTAAAAAATGTGTTTTGGTGTTTCGTGACCCTTTAAGATTGGCAATGAAAATTCTGGACATTGCAACTTGCAGAACCTGGGAATTAAAAATAAATAAATAAACAAACAAACAAACAAACTTTTTTGTGACAGAAAAAATTTGAGACAGATTTTGTGACAGAAAATTGTGACAGATTTTGTACATTTTATTTTCTGAGAGTGTGGAGTAATTGTTATGATTAACACTGGTGATGTTAAAGGTATAGTTCACCCAAAATGAAAAATTCTGTAGTCATTTACTCATCCTTCAATTGTTTCAACTTGTTGGAGTTTCTTTCTTCGGTTGAACACAAGAAAATATTTTGAAGATAACCATTGTCGATACGTTTAGGGCCGTGTCTGCGCCCACTAGATACTTTAAGAGGTGCATCCAGCTCTGTGAGCTCATAAACTCCTCCAGAAACTTAACCTGGATGATGGAGGCTTTCAGCTGTGCTTCTGACTGAGCCTAGCCCAGTTTGATGACTTGTTGTTGGTGTCGGCTGTAGGATTTCCCCCGGGACACCATCAACAGGTTCTACGTCACAATCAGCCCCCACAAGAGCAAGCTCCTGATTGGTTAACGCGGCGCAAATGTCCGCTAAAGTTCAGATTTTCGTTCTCGAGCGATTTGTGCGAAACGAGCGTTAGGCATCAAACGCACAAAATGCTCAATTCGTGCAATTCGCGTCATTCGCGCCGCGCCATTCACGCGTATCGTGCCGCAGGATGTCTATTCGCGTGTTTGCATTGACTTAACATGTAAATCACTTGCGCTTCACGAACGTTCCGTGTCTGGTGTGAAAGCAGTATAAGACATTAATATAAGGTTAGATTTAGGTTGTAATGTCAGGTGACCAAAATTTCAACTTGTTGGAGTTTCTTTCTTCGGTTGAACACAAGAAAATATTTTGAAGATAACCATTGACTCTCTCAATATTGTGGAAGTCAATGGTTGCAAGTTTTCAGCTTTCTTTAAAGTAACTTATTTTGTGTTCAACAGTGAAACTCATAAACGTTTGGAACCACTTTAGTGAGGGTAAATGAGAACATTTTGGGGTGAACTAACCGTTTAAGAGTAAAAAAAAAAACATGAGAACATGGAAATTCGATCATGTTTTGAGATGAGATTTAGTTATATCTGTTGTTAGGAGGAGAGTTGCTACAGTATATGCAAGTTTTATTTGGACCACTTTAAGACATTCCTTTTCTCATTTTACACAGCGTAATACAGTACATTTATGTTTTCTATAGTTTGGCAAAACTGGTGAGATCCCGTACATATCTGGACTGGCCAGAGGATGAAGGAGACCGAGAGCACTTCTGGGATCGACTAAGGAGGAACATTGCAGAAGATTCTGTAAGTACAAAAACATCTGAACTGAAGCTTCAAGAAAGAGTCGTGTTTATTGAAATAAACTCTCACTTGTTTTACAGGAAGCTTCTTAAACTACTGGCGTGTTTCTGCTTAATGAATGAACACAAGGAACTTTACTGTATAAACTTTTTTCAAAAAGAAAAGTTATTTTTATTTTATTTAAATTGTGTAATCTTTTTTTTAAATGTTTGTCACGTATACTGTAATATCTATCAGTGTTAACACCTTATATTCATGCATTGAAAATGTCTCTATGATTTTCATCCTAACCAATATTAAACTGAAACTATAATTAAACTTCTCTTGTAATCTTTTTTTATTCTTTTCTGCACATAAATTTACTAAAAGTTTAAAGTTGTTTTCCTGATATGCAGTGGTGTAATATACTGGTGTGGCCTAATTTTATGCTGTACTTAAGTATTAGTTTGAGGAATTCAACCCTATTAAGTGTAGTCATTTTTGCAGATGTGTATGACCTTGAGGTAAAAGCAAATAAAATTAGGTTATGTAATGCAAGTAGGCTACTGTAGGACGGATGCAAAAAAAAAATTAAATAAATAAAATAAAAAAAAAATCAAACACAATGCAAACTTTTGAAAAGTAATCAATGAGTTATCCACATGCTGTATGGATTATTGTTGCATTATCTTTGCTTGTTTCTCTAAAAATATTTTTTGCATTTATGTATGATTTAATGAGGGTGTAAATGATGAAGTTAAAGGTGAATTTTACTACTTTTACTTTACTAATAGGTTTAAGTTAAAGTTAATTTTTTTGTTGATGTATATAAGTGTATAGTAGTAACATTCTGAGCATCTATAGGTATATCATCTAAATTTTTTGGTCCTTTTTAAACCACCCCTAGTCCCATGACATCTTGCTGTTAAACATATCTCAGGAAAGACTGAGAAAGGTGCGATAAACATTCTTAAACACTCAAGTGTAAAACCGCTGGTGCTTAAAATACTTTAAGAATAGAAAACCTGCTTTCAGTTCCCGTTATGAATGTTTCTTTATACACTACGGTCAAAGCGTGATTAAAAACATGAAACGTACTAATGTCTTGATAAAATGTTTTCATTTTTCAAGTGTCTCGCTTCTCCGTTTAGGTGTAAATTTAGCAGTGGCTACCTTTAACACAAGAGGGCGCAGTTTCGCCAAAATAATAGTTTTCTTTTTTTCTCATATACAGTACTCTACAGCAGGGGTGACAAACACATTTGGGCTCAGGGGCCACATGGAGAAAAATCAATTCCAAAGTGGGCCAGACTGGTAAAACCATGGTATATATAACTTAAAAACAACTTCAGATTGTTTTTTTTTTTTTTTGCTTTAATACGATAAACATAAAACAGGAGCCTGAGGACAACACAGTCTCACGGTAATTTGTTAATTTGGTAACTTTTTGATTTAGTGTCTAATTCGTATGAATTTTTACAATTTAGCACGATTTGCTTATAATGACGGTTGGGTTTAGGGGATGTGGTTGCGTGCCACGCATCCATTTTTTATGTTGTACATTTTTGTCAGATTAAACTCGTATGAATTAGCCACTAAACTGACCAATCAGAAATAGTTACGTTTTCTTGTGAGAACACCTTAGTGTGCTATAGCAGGGTATAGATGTAGTCTTTTTCTCTTAGAAGGCTGTCACACTTACGCTGATTCAGGCATCTTGATCGGATGAAATTAAGTTTGCAATTCAGTGGACACTTGGAACAGCAGTTTTTTCATAAAAAAAAAAAGTCATATAATTTTCATACTTTACAGAATCATCTCGCAGGGCGGATTAAACTCGTTTGTGGGCCTGATCCGGCCCACGGGCCGTATGTTTGACACCCCTGCTCTACAGTATAGTTAACATACATAAACTAGATTGATGATGTAGGCTACATTAAACCAGCATGTTTACATGGGTAAAATAATATCATAAGTCTTGATATGAGATTCATAAAACCAGATGTGATAAAAGAAACATCGGCAGCTGTTTTTAATATGGTATATGCTATTTACACAAAGTTCAAATAGCATCAGTTGCTATTTACACAAAATAGCAACAAAAAGTATGGCAGATGCTATTTCCACTCGGTGCTTAAAGAAAGTATTTGCTAGTTACACTTTCAGGGCCCTTTTTTAACGATCTAGGTGCATAGTCTAAAGCGCATGGCTCAAAAGCATTGGATGTGTCTGAATCCACTTTTGCTATTTTAAGGATGGAAAAATACATTCTGTGCACCAGCCAGTGGTGTAAATACTACTAAAGTACCAGTACTTGTCTTAAAATATAGGGCAAGTAGATTAAAAGAATCTGTTGTAAATATTACTCAAAGTATGATTAAAAAGTAGACCTTTCAAAAGTACTGCGTTCACACCAGACGCGGAACGCGCGGATAAATCGTGCTATTCGCGCATAAATAGTTGCGTGAACATTTGAGTTTATTCATTTCATTCGCGCGTCAAACCCCGCTTCATTCGCGTGTCAAACCCGCTTTATTCGCGCGTCAAATTTACTTCAGAACAGAATCAGATTCGCGTGATGGGCAGGGCTTCTGTCTGCCCTGTGACTCTAGCTTCATTGCAAAATGGCTAACATGGATTTTATGAAGAAAATAACAGTGTTTATGTGCTTTATGAAGCCTGAAAAGCAACGTCGATACGTTTAGGGCCGTGTCTGCGCCTACTAGATACTTTAAGAGGTGCATCCAGCTCTGTGAGCTCATAAACTCCTCCAGAAACTTAACCTGGATGATGGAGGCTTTCAGCTGTGCTTCTGACTGAGCCTAGCCCAGTTTGATGACTTGTTGTTGGTGTCGGCTGTAGGATTTCCCCCGGGACACCATCAACAGGTTCTACGTCACAATCAGCCCCCACAAGAGCAAGCTCCTGATTGGTTAACGCGGCGCAAATGTCCGCTAAAGTTCAGATTTTCGTTCTCGAGCGATTTGTGCGAAACGAGCGTTAGGCATCAAACGCACAAAATGCTCAATTCGGGCAATTCGCGTCATTCGCGCCGCGCCATTCACGCGTATCGTGCCGCAGGATGTCTATTCGCGTGTTTGCATTGACTTAACATGTAAATCACTTGCGCTTCACGAACGTTCCGCGTCTGGTGTGAAAGCAGTATAAGACATTAATATAAGGTTAGATTTAGGTTGTAATGTCAGGTGAACAAAATTCAATGTTTAGCCAATGTCTAAGGATTTAGGTTGTGTTAGAAAGTGACCAAATCCAACGTTGAACCAACATCCTTAAACCAACATCATATTGACATCAAATACTGACATTTATTCGTCAGGTATGGCAACCAAAATCCAACATCTAATAGACATCATAGTGGTAACGTCCACACAACGTCAAGCTGTAACATTATTAGACATTGATATTTGGTCTGATGTTGGACATTGGGTTTCTGATGTGATTTTAGGTTGGTCGTTGGATTCTGATGTCAACACAATTTTCATTTGAAAAAAAAAAAAAAAGCAACATCCCCATGTTGAGGTACAATATCAATCTGACATCGTTGTCGTCTTGTGCCTGATGGGAGTTTGGGGCCATTTCGGTCATTATACAGTAAACATCCGTCATTTTCTCATCAGTGACATGCATCTAAACAATCTCTGGGTCAATGCATTTATAGATTTTGGACATTTTATTGGACACTTTTATTGCTTCCAAACAGTTTGCTGCAATTATAAATCATCCATGTCTTGAGGTAGTTCATTATGATGTGATTTACCTTCTACTGTATGTGTGATTTCATTGGACACGAATTACAAGACTACTCAGCCCATCCCACTAGACAAGAAAAAATTAAATTAGTTACTGCAGAAGAAAAGTTCTGGAGTAAAAGTACAGGTACAGCACTAAAAATGTACTCAAGGGAAATTAAAAGTAAATGCCTCGCCATGGTGTATTTGCTATTTACATGACAGACTTTGTAAGTGGAAAAACTGAATGCTTCACTAGGGAGAAAACAGTTAAACAGACCATCTGCAGCATGAGGATAAAGAATGAGCCTCCTCCAATCTGCCTTTACTTTCTCTTTCTCTCTTTCGTGGATAAGGAGACAGTGTTGTACACTCCACTGAAGACATCCATCCAAAAGTGATAAAAGTTATATTTTCATGTCAGGATTATCCAGTTGGGCAAAACATGTGTGATGAACTGTGTTTGAACACAGAGCTTATTATTACATTGGCATGTGATGTGACTGCACCTATGGTGACACAAGGCATTAAAAAAACCCACAAATATAACTTTAAATAAATGTTTAAGATAAGCTGGTGGTTCAATGAGAAATAATAATCACTATAAAAGAAGCAGGGCTTAAGATGCTTTACTAAAAAGAAAACATTTTCTTCTTCACAGAAAGAGGAAGTGAGGGAAAGAATAGTTCATGCATGGTCTAAACAAGTCCAGTGTGAAGTTTAAGGCAAATGATAAACTTCTGCAGAGTGAAGGCATAGACACAAATGTTTAAAATGAGGAATTTTAAATTTATTAAGTGTAGTCACTTTTGCAGATGTGTATGCCCTAGAGGTAAATGCAAATAAAAATTAGGTCCTGTAATGCTAGTAGGCTACTGTATATAGGACGGATGCAAAAACAAATCAAACACAATGCAAACTTTTGAAAAGTAATCAATGATTTATCTACATGCTGTATGGATTATTGTTGCATTATCTTTGCTTCTTTCTCTAAAAATATTTTTGTGCATTTATGTAGGATTTCATGAGGGTGTAAATGATGAAGTTAAAGGCGAATTTTACTTTTTAGATAGGTACAATTGATTTCAAGTTTAAGTTTTTTTCTGTATATAAAGTTTATATAGTAGTACCATTTCTCAGCATCTTATGGCTCGTTTCCACTGACTGGTACAGTACGGTTAGGTACGGGTCACCTTTATCAGGCTTGCGTTCCCACTACCAAGGGTACCCTTTTGGTGGGTGTGGTGAATGACAGAAAGTTTAAGTCGACGTCAATCTTGCTCGAGAAAATGTATACAGTAAAGCTGTACAGGTCATTCACATATCATATGAGAAGCACTTCTCACAAAACAGATGCTTTATACACATAAATACTTGTGTATAAATGTTTATTACTAACTTTTCTATGAACAGGATTTGATTATGACTGCAGATCAATGACAGTGCAAAATAGCCTACTGTAACGTCTGTAATTATAAAAAATAAATGAATAAACGCAACATATATGAACACATACAGACCCTTACAGTCTATATATACAGAAAAAAATCTACACAAAACATACATTTAGTAATTATTTGAGTTATTAAACACATGCAACATTGCCCACAGTCAGCACAAACCTCTCATCAGTGTCTGTAATATTCACCAGCACATGTAAGCTCTGTTAGAGAGTAATTTTGTCATTCCCAGTTCATAATAGTCCAAAAGGCAAAGATAAACATGGCAATTTGTTCATGATTCAGGTTGCTAAAACAATTTTGCTCCTGTGTTTTGTCAGGCTTCTCCTTTTTTTCGCGCTTCACTCTGGCTCTTGTCCTTTTCTTTCAGAATGGATCAGATGACGAAGACACTTCTATAATCACGCACATGTTATTATTATCTCTCGGAAGAAAGCAAAACCGCTCGCACTTTTAGATGGGCTCATAATGCAACAACAGCACATGGCAGATTTTTCTTTTTGGCTCTCTGGCTGTTCATCAAGACGACGACAAGGTTTGTGTGAGCTCGGATCATCCATGGCTCCTTATTAAATGCATATTGAATTTCCATGTAATGTCTCGGCTGTGAAAAACATGGCGGTTCCTTTGTTTTCATTCTGTCCAGCTCTACGAGCTCGTGACGTATCTCTTAAACCAATCAGCGTTCAGCTGCAGATGTAGCTCCACCTTTTGGTACCCTTTCTCGTGTTTGATACCCTTTCGGAAGGGTGCCGAAAAAGTGGTACGGTACAGTTCAGTTCGGTACGCCCTTTGACAATGGAAACGGCCATAAAAGCGTACCAAACCGTATCGTACCACTCAGTGGAAATGGGCCAGAAGCATACCAAACCGTACCGTACCATACCGTACCACTCAGTGGAAACGGGCCAAAAGCATACCAAACCGTACCGTAACACACAGTGGAAATGGGCTATATAGAGATCTATAGTTTTGCAGTACTTTTTAAACCACCCCTAGTCTGACATCTTGCTGTTATAAACGTCTGAAGAAAGACTGAGAGAGGTGCGATAAACATTCTTAAACACTCAAGTGTAAAACCGCTGGTGCTTAAAATACTTTCAGAATAGAAATTGTGCTTTCAGTTCCCGTTATGAATGTTCCTTTATACACTACGGTCAAAGCGTGTTTAAATACATGAAATGTATTAACGTCTTGATAAAATAAGTTTTCATTTTTCAAGTGTCCCGCTTCTCTGTTTAGTTGTAAATATAGTAATGGCTTCCTTTAACAAAAGATGGCGCAGTTACACCTAAATAATTGTTTTCTTTTTTTCTCAAATATTCTACATCAGGGGTCACCAATCTCGTTCTTGGAGGTCCAGTGCCCTGCAGTGTTTAGCTACAAATATGCCTCAACACACCTGCCTGGGTGTTTCAAGTATACCTAGTAAGACCTTGATTAGCTTGTTCAGGTGGGTTTAATAAGGGTTGGAGCTAAAATCTGCTGGACACTGGACCTCCAGTAACAAGTGTGGTGATCCCTGCTCTACAGTATAGTTAACATACAGAAACTAGATTGATGATGTAGGCTACATTAAGCCAGCATGTTTACATGGGTAAAAAAAATATCAAAAGTCTTTATATGAGATTCAAAACCAGATGTTATAAAAGAAACATCGGCAGCTGTTTTTAACATGGTATATGCTATTTACACGAAGTTCAAATAGCATCAGTTGCTATTTACACAATATAGCAACAAAAAGTATGGCAGATGCTTTCCACACGGTACTTATAGAAAGTATTTGCTAGTTACACTTTCAGGGCTCTTTTTTAATGATCTATGTGCATAGTCTAAAGCGCATGGCTCAAAAGCATTGGACGTGTCTGAATTCACTTTTACTATTTTAGGATGAAAAAATACGCTCTGTGCCCCGGTGCATGGTCTCACAGGGTTGTGCTTATTCTCTTAATGAGTTATGGGTGTGTTTTGAGCATAACATGCATTAAACCAGTGAGAGTCCCATCTCCCATTCCCTTTAAGAGTCAGTTGCGTCGCACCATGGTGTATTTACAGGGTGGACTTTTTAAGTGGAAAAACTGAACGATTCACAAGCGAGAAAACAGTTAAACAGAACATCTGCAGCGTGAAGATAAAGAATGAGTCTTCTCCAATTAGCCTTTCTCTCTTTTGTGGATAAGGAAACAGTGTTGACCACTCCACTGAAGTAATCCATTAGTCTACATACTACAACCTACTATTTATTTAGCTTGTTAAGCACAAAACTTCGTTTCAAAACTATTTCTAAAATCAGGTCTTATTTCCAGCAAATGAATAAAAAAGAAAAAAACAGTTATATCCAAACACACGTGCTATTACCATATAGTCTAAAACCTGACAGGTTCACAAATCTAAGCTTGTTTTTAATAAAACTAATTAAAAATATGCAGATAATAAATAATACTGCTAATAATAATAACATACAAAAGCAAGTTGTCGTGAATAAAAAAAAAAAAAAAAAAAAAAACCTGAGATGAAAAAGGCAGAAGGCAGTGTTTTTTATATTTATGTAGTAAATAATTGTTTTTGCCATATTTTATTCCTTTAATTATTTTAATTTGTAAAGATAATTGTGTATTGCTCTACATCCTGCGTGTTTTAAGCAATGTGTACGCGAGGCACACAGCTAACGCGCTCTGCGCTGGACTTTAGACCTGCTTTCAGCTTATTGTCTATTTTGGTTCCTCAAAAAAGCAACGCTCCAACAATGTGCCTTAACACACCTCTTTTCTAGACCGGAACACCCATGAGTCTACAAAGTAACACAAATAAATTTGCTATTTAAACAATGTGCTGGAAAATTAGGATTGCGCTGGTCTGAAAATAGCAATACATCGGGACAAACATGTCTTTCACCAAACATGTCTCTTTCACCATCTTGCACAGGGTGTATGATAGGGCCCTGTACGTCACCAAGCTGAACTGGTTTGGAACATAGCCCGCTTGTGTTGGGCATTTGGATTTGTCTTATTTTAGTATCTTCATAAATAGTATTTTATAGTTTGTAGTATTTTTCTAATTTGGAATTCATACTGTGTAGATATTGTCTTCACTTGTAGAGACGGCCATAACAGACTAATTTGTTGATCTTTTATTTTAATTAAATATAATGAAGATACTGCTTACCAGTGCAGCCTGTCTCTTTCCTGCTCACAGTAATGTAAATGTGTGAATATGAATAAATGAGTACAAATAGATAAATATTGTCATTTTAATGTGATCAGTTAATTTTTTTGTCAAATTTTTATCTTCATCTGAACCCTTAACTATGTCATAACTGCAATATTTATATTCCTCTTTACAATTTATAGCACACGTGACTGTATGGGCTGATTTTCACTATATTTCGTGCACAAAAGAATATTAAACGTTGTTCTCTGTCCATGACAGAATTTGCAGACATTTGTTAAACCTGTCACTTACACCTCACTAAGGTAAGTGGGCTGTATGCATGCGAGCAATACACTTGTGTAGGCACATTTATAAAAAATAAAGTATTTGTTTTAAAACTTTTACAACAAGTAACCAAAACAAATGTATTTCCGACATAAAAAATATCCAAAAGACATGTATTTGTGTATTTATTTGTTTATAATATATAGCGTGGATTAAATTATAATAAACAGAGAAAGTAAATCTTTGTCATGGACCTCGTTGCTAAAAATAAGCTTGAAAAGTTGTCTGAAGCAGGGTGGTGCAGACATCACAGGTAAGCGCCCCGAAGGCACTGTTGTCCGTTTATAGCCTAATGTTTGCTTTTCAGTTCTTGCGTTTGCATTTACAACTCAAAAGTGATAAAAGTTATATTTTCGTGTCAGGATTATCCAGTTGGGCAAAACATGTAAGTGTGATGAACTGTGTTTGAACACAGAGCTTATTATTTGCAATTTTCAAAAAGCTTATGGGAAAATTCTATGAGGATTTTAGCGAGGGAACCAGTTTTTTTGCTAGCAGCTGATTGGCCTACAAGGTGAAGTCATAATTCCTCTGCTTTATAGCCACTCTGTTATTTTAATCCATGCCTCAGAAAATTCAAGTTATTCTTAAAATCCAGAGGTGGTTCAACAAAGTACTAGTGGTGTTTTTATTTTGTGATTCCATATCATTTTTTCCTTAAATTTGTTAGATTCCATTTTTTTTTTCCTTCTGTTTGATCTGTGAAAACAGTTGTAATTGACTACAGTCTGTGTTTCATACAGCCAGAAGGTTGGATTGTTAAATGGAAATAGTTTTGTGGCATGTGTGAGTTCGTTTGTTTTTTTTCTACACAATTAAACATTTGAATAACCATGACTGGCGATACCATACTTTTTGCCAGGGGTTGTCAAAACTAAACCTTGCCATAATGGGAATGCGAAGACATTGGCATGTACAGTAATGTGACTGCACCTATGGTGACACAAGGCATTAAAAAAACACAAATATTAATTTAAATAAATGTTTAATATAAGCTGGTGGTTCAATTAGAAATAATAATCACTATAAAAGAGGCAGGGCTTAAGATGCTTTACTAAAAAAAAAATTTCTTCTTCACAGAAAGAGGAAGTGAGCGAAAGAATAGTTCATGCATGGTCTAAACAAGTCCAGTGTGAAGTTTAAGGCAAATGATAAACTTCTGCAGAGTGAAGGCATAGACAGCTTCATCTAGACTTACTTTAAAATGTTTGCGTTTACAACAAACTCTAATTTCCTGCGCTTCTTTTGGAGATTTGCATTAGGTTTAAGTATCTGCAATGTGGTTTTAACTCGAATAACAAAGCGCTGCATTACTATAGAGGAGCATCTTCTCAAACAAATGCCGTGGACTCCACACTGCCTCCATTATCCAGGAAAGGGTCCATACGCAAACTGCAATATCACAGACCTGAGCACTGATCTGTCACAGGTAGGCTTTGAGGTTAGAACCCTTTGTGTCTTTGGAGATATTACGAGCATTCCTGCTAAAGCCTTTTCACACTTACCTTCTCTGGAGGTACTTCACATAGATGGAATACGTCTGGAGAGAGTTCAGGCTGGTGCCTTTGAAGGACTCCCCAATCTTAAGTATCTGTCAATGCTTTTCAGTGATGAACTCTACAGATTGGTCAGAATAGATAATCGGTCATTTGCTGGTCTGAATAATTTGGAGGAGTTGTCACTGACAGGTCTGATGCTGCTCAATGGATCCAGTGGTATATTTGACCCATTGGTTAGTTTAATCAGATTAGACATTGTCAGAACTTGCGCACAAGACCTTGGTGAAATTTTCTGTTGTATTTCGAATGGAATGACCCGGCTAAGACACCTAAATGTAGAAGACAGTGAGATTTCAACAATTGAGAACAAAGGATGTCCAGGGGGCTCAATGACCTGGCCGCTTACTGCCCTTTCTGGGGTTCAAAATCTGTATTTAATTGGGAACAATATTAAATATATTCAAGCAAACTCCTTAATTATATTCCAGAACCTCTCAAGCCTTTTTCTGGAGTTCGAGGGCAAGTCCCTGGGCAGTATTTGGGAGTCTGGAGTTGGAAAAGTCAATGATTTGACTTTGAAAGGGAAAGTATTAAAAAAATACTCAACAAACTTCAAAGATTTGTGTCATCTTGTATCGAGTCTTTATTCGCAATCACTCAGCCTTGTTTATACATCAATAGACAGACTAACTGCTGAGGACTTGAAGGACTGTGGGACTAAGTTGACAAAGTTATTAATCCAGAATTCCAAAATAGACAACCTAGACTTTAGGTTTTGGACCAGTAAACTGGAAATGCAGGCCCTTCAAATGGCCTACATGAAGTTGACAGATGCTCCCTTTTGTTTTGTTGCGAACAGCACAATGTGGTCTTTAACCTCACTGGACCTCACTGGAAACTCTATCACCAATATTGAAGGAGATCAGTTTGCATGTATGCCTTTTCTTGAGCAGCTCTATCTGAGCCAGAATGCCATTAAAACCCTACAGCTGCATGCATTTCGAGGTTTGCCTCGACTTAAAATCCTGCAACTTGACTCAAACAAGATCTGGCAGCTTTCAGCCAATGATTTCAAAAACCTTCGGGCTTTAGAGGTTCTGCTGATTAACGATAACATCATTGAGACCATAGAGACAGGAACATTTTGGGACCAGCGGGAGCTTTGTGAACTGTCATTTGGTAGACTGGAATATGTTTATGAGTTGCATCTAGAGAACATTTTTTTTGAATTTCCACCAAAGTTACAGCGACTCAGCATCGATGCACATTATGGAACTAATATTTACATTGGAAACGCATCACCACCCAATGGAACATTTGCTTTGGAACTAAATGGAGAGAGACTGGGTTTTGTGGGCTGTGATAGTGATGTTTTAATGGCAGTCCGTGAGTTGAAAGTCAATTGCACCTACTTCCTTTGCAAGGACAGTTTTATGGCTCCCTATTTCCTAAACCTGGAATCTCTCGAGATCTCAGGCGGAGCTGAAAGGGCACCTCTCAATTACGCTACAATCAATAATCTTCACCATCTCAAGCATCTCAAACTCGCAAGGTTGAACTTCCCCAATTACACAGAATCTAGGAGTGCCTTCTGGAACCTGACTCAACTCCAGACCCTCGTGGTGGTAAACTGTCATCTTAGTTTCCTCACCAAGAGCATGTTCAGAGATCTGACCTCTCTGCAGCTGTTGCGTCTCTACAGTGACAGTCCTCTGATCTTGACTGATGGTGTGTTTGGGGTTTTACCAGTGCTAAAAGCGTTCATTCTGGACAGAGTAGATTTCCAGTGCAGTTGTGAGAATGGCTGGCTACTTGATTGGGCAGACAGCACTGAAAAAGTGCAGGTTATCTACTTGCAAAAGCAGCAGTGTGTCTGGCACTATCAGAAACTCAACTTCTTGGCCACAATGGAGAAGCTCTGCCAGACTGATGCGCAGTACATCTGCTATGTAGCCACAGCCAGCAGCATTAGTCTTCTGTTGTCGGCAGCCGTTGGATATCAATTTGCTCGCTGGCCTTCACTTGTCCTCTTCTTACGCCTGAAAGGTTGGATGGAGAGGAGGTTTGGTCGACGGTGGAATAGGAGAAGAAGAAGAATGGAGGATGACTATGGGGAGATCGAGGAGATGCAGTATGATGCATTTGTGTCTTTCTGCAGCCAGGATGAGGCTTGGGTTTTGGGGGAAATGGCTTCTCGGCTGGAGGAACAAGGTAACCCAAGACTGAGACTGTGTCTGCACAACAGAGACTTTGAGGTGAGTTTTCCTAATTAATAATAATGATGATGTTCTTTTTAAATAGAGTGGAGATCAAATTTAGAGAATCAGACTTGATTTCAGAAATAATATAATCTTCATTGTTCACAATTTGAAGGAATTTTGAAGGAAACGCAATAAAACAACAACAACAACAACAAAGATCAAGTAGAAGATCATTCTTAGAGAACAGCAGTGATTGTAGCACAATCAAATATTTCTTCAGTTATTTCTTCACTTATTTACTATAAATTACTATAGTATTATTTTAGGTGGGTTAGATAGGAGTCTGGTCTGACTATTTTAAGTATTTGCTTTACTTGTTGTGTTGCAGGGTACATTGTCCAACATGAAGGAGATTCTTATAAATATTTGCATCACTCTGTCATGAGTCTGTATAAGAGATTAAACTCTTACTGCAGAAAACACCCTCAAGACATGACACTTCCTTCTTGACATTTCTCTGATTTCTTAACATCTTGTGTTTCCTGGGTTTAACAATGAATATACTGTTTTCTATTGGACCCTACAAAAAATTACACCTGCTTTTTTCACGAAAGTCATTTTTGGACCAGTTCTTTCTTCACATGTTCCTCAGCAAAAGCTGTTAAGAAACATGCCAAGTGAACAGTCTTGTTTAATTAAAAAAACAATGCTGAAGTCAGATATTCTGCTTGAAAATGTGTGTTCCGTGCCAGAACGGCTGTATTTGTTTTGGTTCCATAAACCTGCCCAATTCCAGTTTAGCCAATTAAATTTCAGCACCTGGGGTTGCCTTATGTCATTTATCCAGTTGGGAAGACTCTCAAAGTATGTGTCTGGCATCAAAATGCGAACTACGGTGGAAAGTAGCAGCCTCCAAATGAGGTACTCCTAATTAGCAAATAATAAAAAATATTACTAGCCTAAACATTAGGTTTACAGGTTACATTGTAACCCTGTGTCCTAACAACACGCTACGTGACGAGATTTGCAGTGATAAACAATTTGACTGCTTGCACCAGACAAAACATGTCCGAATTTTAATAGAGCCATTCAGAAGCAAAGAACATGCACTTGATATGTAATGTGTTGGTTTTGAGTCACAGTTCCTGTTTTATTTTCAAGATTTGAGGTGAACTCTCTGCTGCTGCTTTCAGTAGTATGGTAATGTAAAATGGCATTCAAACTCAGATTGTTAGCATTTGACACCGAATAAAGCACATGAGGTTTACCTGAGGTGATCATTGTCAGTTTTCTGTTGTTTAGCTGCAAGAAATAGAAGCCGTTTCTAATATATAAATTTGAGGTGTTGTTTAGAATAAAAACTACTTTTAAAAATGGCCTATATTCCTTCTATGGTGTGCTGCTTCTTTTATTGACCTTATTCTAAAATGCGGAAGTGCGCCTGTTTTCGCGATTGTCTTAGAACTTCCGATTCAGTCGCCTATGGGAGAAATGACTAGGAATAATAAACGGCAGAAAATGGCCAAACTACTTGCTCAACAAACAAATGTTTGCATGACTACAAAGACCAAGTAGCATAATATAATAAGAAAATATTAAATTGCAACATCAAGCAGCGTAACGAGCAGTTGTTAACGTCAAAAAATGAATGGAAGTGAATGTGACCGGAAGTCGCGAGACAAAAAGATTCAAATGGCAGCGCCCACTCGACAGCTGAGAATAGTGTGAATATAATATAATTTAAATAGGTCTTTAGGTTCGATCATCAGACTTGCTGTTGGTCCTCAGTCTGGCAACCTGCGTTTGCATTTGTTTTGATACAGGAATGTAATATCTAGTTCAACCACTGGGTGTCAAACTTACATACTGCACCTTTAAATATGTTTGGTGACCTTGAAGTTTTGGCAGTTGTTGGTTTTCTCTCATTTTGATCTCCATTGTATTAAAACAAAAAATCTGCAACCTCACCTATTATTGTTAACAACAGGTGGGTAAAGATATCATGGACAACATCACAGACAGCATCCACAACAGTCAGTGCACTGTTTGTCTGATCAGCCGGCGGTATCTGCGCAGTGACTGGTGTGGTCTGGAGATGCGAGTGGCCACACACCGGCAGCTGGAAGAGCAGAAACACCGTCTCATCCTCATCTTCCTCCAACACATCTCTCCCTTTGAGCTCTCAGCCTTTCATCGGTAAGTGGCGGTGCATTTACATAAAACGGCAACATTTAGTGTAACAAAGGTCACCAAAAGGGGTCGGGTTGGTTAAAGAGGGGGGAGGGGGGACATTAACTTTATTATCATGATGGACTCATTCAGAAGAAGCCAACTTGCTTTTATGTGACAAACTTTTCGTTGAAAAAAAGCTCCTTATGTCCACCTTTCTTTCTCATCCTCACTTGCGTGTCACACACCTCACATACCTTCACACAAATTCACCTGCGCAGTTTTGGCGCTCGCTGAATGTATTTGAACGCAGCTACAGCTTCTCACATGACAGCAGGGGAAGGCGCAAACAAGCAATGTTCATATGTGTTTAGGGGGCGGTGCGACTCGAAGAGAGAACGAGATTAAACCCTTTCTGCATATATCCAGGTTAATATTGACAGCAGGACTTTTTAAAGTGTATTAAATTATTGGTGGGGACATTTCAATAGTTGATGGATATTGGTGTGGACGCGTCCCCTCAGTCCATACTAAATCTACGCCCCTGATTCATAAATACCTATACATATTTGTACCATACAGATGGACTAGTACCTTTAAGTTTACTTTTTGTTACTTTAAGGCAGGGCGACACATTGGCTCAGTGGTTAGCATTGTTGCCTCCCAGCAAGAAGATCGCTAGTTCAATGCCAGTTGGCATTTCTGTGTGAGGTTTGCATGTTCTCCCCATGTCCGTGTAAGTTTCCTCCAGGTGCTCCGGTTTCCCCCACAAGTCCAAAAACATGTGCTGTCGAAGGATTCAATAAGCTGAGCTGGCCATAGTGAATGAGTGTGAATGAGTGCGTGTGGATGTTTTCCAGTACTGGGTTGCAGCTGGAAGGGCATCCGCTGATGTATGCTAGATAAGTTGGCGGTTCATTTCGCTGTGATAACCCCTGATGAATAAATAGACTAAGTCGAAGGAAAATGAAATTCAAATTAACTTTTTTTAAATGAATTTTTTTCTTTTTTCTTCTTTGGGTCTATGTTACAAAATGAAAAGGTAGAAATAGAATCAAACATACTATTTGTCAAATATGCCAAAAGGATAAAATATGTTAATGTAAAAAGATAGAAGTAAAAGAATAAATAAGTTTAAGTAATAAACGAATGATGTACTGTATGTGGTAATTGGGTGGGAGAATATTAAGCTTATGCCTTATCCCACTCCATTTTCGACCATGTTAAAATGTTTTTTTTTTGTTTTTTTTTTTTAAAGTTTATGTGTGATATTTTTGTTCGAAAATAAATAAATAAAATAAAATAAAATGAACTTTAAGGTAGTGTGAGGTACACATTTGGTGTATGTGTATGAGTACTTTTTTTGGCTATTAATAAGTACCTTTAATGACCTGTATGGAACAAAAATGTACCTTTTGAAAAGGCACTGCCCCAGTGACAGATACCTTTATTTCTGAGAGTGTGGAGTAATTTTTTTTTATTGCAACTGCTGATGTTTAAGGTATAGTTCACCCAAAACGGAAAATTCTGTGGTCACTTACTCATGCTTTGCTTGTTACTTTATTCTGTTGAACACAAAAGAAAACATTTTGAAGTTAACTATTGATGGCGATGCAGTGGCGCAGTAGGTAGTGCTGTTGCCTCACAGCAAGAAGGTCGCTGGGTCTTAGGTTTGAACCTCGGCTCAGTTGGCATTTCTGTGTGGAGTTTGCATGTTCGCCCTGCCTTCGTGTGGGTTTCCTCTGGGTGCTCCAGTTTCCCCCACAGTCCAAAGACATGCGGTACAGGTGAATTTTTAGGCTAAATTGTCCGTAGTGTATGACTGTGTGTGTGAATGTAAGTGTGGATGTTTCCCAGAGATGGGTTGTGGCTGGAAGGTCATCCGTTGCGTAAAAACTTGCTGGATAAGTTAGCAGTTCATTACATTGTGGCGACCCTGGATTAATAAAGGGACTAAGCCGACAAGGAAATGAATGAACTATTGACTGCTGTGAAAGTCAATGTTTTCAGCTTTCGTCACAATAAAATGTTGTGTTCAACAGAAGAAAGAAACTCATTAAGATTTGGAACAACTATAGTGTTAATGATGAGAATATTTTAGGGTAAACTAAAACTTTAAGATAAAAACAAATTGATTTATGAGAACATGTTAATTCGATTAACATGTTAAATCGATGTTTCGAGGAGAAAATTAATTATATCTTTTGTAAAGAGGACAATTGCTGTATGCAAGTTTTAATGGACCACTTTAAGACATTCCTTTTCTCATTTTACACAGCGTAATACAGTATATTTATTGTTTTTCTATAGTTTGGCAAAACTGGTGAGATCCCGTACATATCTGGACTGGCCAGAGGAAGAAGGAGACCGAGAGCACTTCTGGGATCGACTAAGGAGGAACATTGCAGAAGATTCTGTAAGTACAAAAACATCTGAACTGAAGCTTCAAGAAAGAGTCGTGTTTATTGAAATAAAATCTCACTTGTGTTACAGGAAGCTTCTTAAACTACTAGCAGGTTCCTGCTCCATGAATGAATACAAGGAACGTTTATATATATATATATATATATATATTTTTTTTTTTTTTTTTTTTTTAAAGAAAAGTTATTCATTCAATTATCTTCCTTTGGCTTAGTCTCTTATATATCAGGGGTCATCATAGTGGAATGAGCCGGCAATGATTCCGGCAAATGTTTTACACAACAAACGCCCTGCCTGCCACAAACCAGCACTGGAATTTTATTTTATTTTATTTTTTTATGTTTGTTTTATATACTGTAATGCTTATCAGTGTTAACCACTTATATTTATGCATTAAAAATGTCTCTATGAATTTAATCCTAACCAATATTAAACTGAAACTATAATTAAACTGCTCTTGTAATCCTTTCTATTCTTGTTTGCACATAAATTTACTAAATTAAAAGTGTTCACTTTTGCAGATGTGAAAAAAAAAACAATGTACAATTCTAAAAAGTAAATTTGTCTACATGCTGTATGGATTATTGTTGCATTATCTTTGCTTCTTTCTCTAAAAATATTTTTGTGCATATATGTAGGATTTCATGAGGGTGTAAACAATGAAGTTAAAGTCTACTTTTACTTTTTAAATAGATACAATTAAGTACAAGTTTAAGTTTTTATTTATTTATTTATTTATTTATTTATTTATTTATTTATTTATTGCTAGATTGAACATAAAACAATTAAGTTGTTCCACAAAAATCTCAAGAATTTTATTGTTTTAGCTAAATAAGTACTTTGAAGAAGTACTTTTGTGTAAAAAAAAAAATTCTCAGCACTAAGAGAAAAGGGCGATAAACATTCTTAAACACTCAAGTGTAAAACCACTGGTGCTTGAAATACTTTCAGAATAGAAAACCTGTTATCCTGTTATCTTTTATAGGTTCATTTCAACACTACGGTCAAAGCGTGTTTAAATAATTGAAACGTAGTAATGTCTTGATAAAATTTTAGGTTTTAATTTATCCAATAGTTTTAATTTCCCAATAGTCCCGCTTCTCCGGTTCGATATAAATTTGACAATGGCTTCCTTTAAACACAAGAGGGCGCAGTTACACCAAAATAATTGGTTTCTTTTTTTTTTATTCATATAGTCTACAGCAGAGATGCCCAAAGTAGGACCCGGGGGCCAAAGTTGGCCCATGGTAACCTTTGATCTGGCTCTTCTGAAAAGAGGGAGAATGATGGGAAAGTGGTTGGGGTGATAGACAGAGATCATAATTTTGAATTTAACTTAATCTTTTGTTTCCTTGTTTTATTGTTGTGCTACTAAATAAATGAATGAATAAATAAATAAATAAATAAATAAATAAATAAATAAATAAATAAATAAATAAATAAATAAATAAATAAATAAATGATTCAATTAAATTAATCCCACTTCTAAAATGTAAATGCTGCCACTTGACAGATAAATAACAGGACAATGCACAAGACATCTGCCAGCATGTTTTTACTGTAATACTGTAAGTTATTAACATTATAAAATGTTAAAAATGATTGACATTAGTTAATATGATTAGGTTAATATGATTTAAAGCAATGTTATTTTTAAATTTTACCGAATAAATTGGGAAACTACCCATGGCAAAATTAATATATCCAGTTTGGTATAATATTCAGCCTACAGTCCTTAATCAAGTTTGTTTTTTGGCCTTTTATATAGGAAAAAGTTTTGGCACCTCTGCTTTACAGTATAGTTAACATACGTAAACTAGGTTGATGATGTACATTAAACCAGCATGTTTACATGGGTCAAATGATATCAGAAGTCTTTACAACTTTTGACATTTTTATATGAGTCATGAAACCAGTTGTGAAAGAAGAAACATCAACAGCTGTTTTTAATATGCACTTAAAATGACGTAACTGCCATCACGTTGAGCTCTATGGAGCACATCATAGAGACAACTGTTTTAAGCTGTTCAGAATGCTTTAGAAAACATTGTTACAAAATCTACCATAAATAATTTTTGTGGTATTTTGCTTTATTTGTATTGATGATCGATCAATTGATAGATTTCACAACATAAAACAATCTATCAGTCAGTTGTCCTCATCATGTCATCATTGAAGTAAATCAGCATTGTCTTGAGATTTGCTACAGGCTATGATTGCGCAATGCATTTGTTAGCACTGAAACTTCACTTTAGAAGTTACACCTATGAAGTTGAGCAACTCTCTACTACCTTGACAACTGGGAGAAATGATTTACTCAACTACTGCCTAATAAAAGGAAAATAAACAATAGCCTAAATAATAGCTATTCAAATGTACAGTTCATGTTCTATTCTTATTTTTGCTGTTGAGTTTTTGCAATTCCAATATCTTCAGGCAGATAGGATTAGGGGTTGGGTGTGTCCTGTTTCACAGCATGCAATACTTGTGGTTTAAATAGTGTTTTCCATCTGATATATTGGGTTATATTTTACAACTAGATAATTATTTTATGGTTTGACAAAACTTATCTTAGTACCAAAATAATACCCATAATATTACATATTTTTGAAAAAAAAAATTGGGAAAAATTCTAAGCAGTTTGATCAGATTTTTACTGACTTAAATTTTTTATTTTTTTTAATGAGGAGAGTACAGAAGCCATTTCTGCCATTGGTTGACAGAAAAAAGTATACAAATTCACATTCTAACTTTTTAATCTCATCTCACAGTTCAGATTTTTGTATCTTTAGATTGATTGATTGTATTATTTATATATTTTTTATTTATAATTGTATATTTATTTCTTGCACTGCAAAAAAAAATGCTTTTCTTACTTATATTTTTGTCTTGTTTCTAGTCCAAATATCTAAAAATTCTTGTATCAAGAAACATTTTCATGGCAAGCAAAACATAATGTCTTGTTGTCAGAAATAATAGGCCAATATTAATTCAGTTTTTTCTTAAAAAAAGCAAAATAATCTGCTTATGAGTTAAGTAAAATAATCGTGTTTTTCCTTTTGACATAAGATTATTTTACTAACACCATTGGCAGATTATTTTGCTTGTTTTAATGAAAAACTCACTTTAATTTGGCATATTATTTCTTAAAACTAAACAATGTTTTACTTGATTTAAGAATTTTTAGGTATTTGGACTAGAAACAAGACAAAAAAAATCTAATTAAGAAATTATTATACTATAATTATAATTTCTTAACTTAAAAAGAAATAATATAATTTTTTTATTTTTTATTTTATTCATAATTTTTTAATGCAACTTCTTGCCAATACATCTACTGTACCAGTGAGCTCAAATGTGCTGCAAGTTAGGAAAACACATGCAATTATAAAAACACTAACAAACAAATATCTTCATCAGTTTGACAACACATGCATCACAATAAAAATGTGTCGGGGCGGCCAAAAAAGAGTCAGCGGTTTTGTTAGAGACCGTAGATGTGAGTGTTTTTTGTTTTTTAATGTGCTGATTGTACAGTACTTATTGTTTGTATATGTTTAGCACTAATAACCTGAATATTTGCACAATTAATGGTAATTGCACAATTAATGGTGACTGCTAACTCTAAAGAGGTAACTGTTAGGTTCTTATATTTTAAGCGGGGCCTTGACACATTTCTATTTTGGTCTGAACTATTTGCTGCACTTTTCTGTATTTGCATGTGTTGTAAGAGTTTGCAAGCATATTGTGAAACTAATTAAGATGCTTACTCAATTTGTTCTTGTTTTTTTGTATTTGCCTGTGTATAATTCTGAATTTTTGCAATTCATATATTTTTATTGCAACTTCTTGCCAGTACATCTACTTTGGCTGAGAGAGCTCAACTGCACTACAAGTTAAGAAAACACATGCAAATATAAAAACACAAACAAACTGAGAAAATATCAGTTTGACAACATATGTCTCACAATGTTAGGGGGGTCTAAAAAGAGACAGCGGAAGTGTTAGGCCGTACTCACACTAGATACAGTTGCCTCGAACCGGGCCAAAGCACGCTTCACCCCCCTCCCGTCTCCCCAGACGGTCCGCACTCACACCACAATCGGGCCTCGGCATGCTTACGTCATCGCTGCTGTGCTGTTCAGTGAGAAGCGCTGTCACTCAGCAGCACAGTGGAGATTTTTCTAGTTATATCGTTTCAGTCGTTTGATATGCAGTGACATGCAGTCAAATATTTCGCCAAACAGTCCTTAGGGATGCGGTGACACACAGTCAGATATTTTGCCGAACAGATCCGCCACTTTTGGCGCTCATAATCATAAAGTCCTCGTGCTGCAGGAATGAGGAGGTTTGCTGAAGGTGCGCAGCTGTCGTGCAGTGAGGGGTTTGCGTATTTAATAAACTACGGCAGTTTGAATTCATTGAACAGTAAGAATGATTAATAAATCCAAATGAAACAGTCCCACGTCTCGCTTTCAGTTTCAGGCGTTTTGCACTCACACTAGAAACGTACCGCGCCAAAGCCCAAGTGAACCGCGCTCAGACCCACCTCCTCCAACCGGGCCAGGGCCGGCCAAGTGAACTGTGCTTGAGCCCTATTCAGCGCACTCAAACATCTCAAACGATCTGGGAAACGGGCCTAGGCACAGTACGGATGGCACAGTGTGAGGAGGCCCTTAGAGACCTTAGAACTGAGTCTTTCTTTGTTTTTTTTTTATTGTCCTGATTGTACAATTCCTTATAGTTTGTATATTTTTGGCACTAATAACCACAGCACCCGCAAGACCTATATGAGACAGGCCGAGAGAAAAGGAGATGGAAAAAAAAGAGGAAAGACAGTGTAGACTGAAAGAGAGGAGAGAGGGGAAAAAAAATGGGGTTCTGTTCTCCAGACACGCTGCCACTTGTCCCTCCACCAGCTGAGAGATGCGACGACGTGTTCGAAGCCCTGTGGAGGAATCCATCCACCAGTCTGTGTCCGGCGGCGGTTCTTCTGGCTGGCTGGCGGCATCTCTGGTCTCCTGCTCCACTCCTGCTTTGGTAGACGGATACAGGCTAAGGCATCATGGCGGATCGGGGCGTCTCGCCCAGGTTCTGTGGGGATGGCTCCCTTCAGCGCTTTCCCTTCCGGTGGTGAGCCCCACGTCCCTTGCTATTCCTCATGCTGGGAGACAGCAGCAGGCAGATCCTTTACTTGCCAGCCTCAGGCCGCCCTGGCAATTTGGGCAGATGAACGGGTTTCTCCTCCACTCGGGTTAACTCCCGAATACTCGCCCCCCCTCTCAGCGGCGAGGGCAACTGGACAACTTGTCCCTCCTTCTCCCGGGTTTCGACACCACTGTAATGAAGTTTACGGGCCCTTTGGCCACCGGGAAGAAGGAGGTGGAGAACCGATAAAGTTTTTAAATATTTATTAATAACAGGGATGGTAGCTCCTCACGGAGACTGCCATCTAAACCATAACAAATGGACGGTAAACTGTAAACAAACGTAAAACAATACGTCCGGCCCGATCCTCTCTAGGCTTCCTCTGCCATCGTTCCTCCTCTTATAGTCTAGAGCTCCTTCCGTGGGATTCGAGGCCGGTGTGCACCACAGGTGTATTTACTTACGTGGCGGCCTCATTCCGTTCTCATGGCTCTCGGCCCTGCCCCCTCGCCACAACAACAAATATTTTTTACAACCCTATTTGCTGAAATAATAAAAGAAAAACTCCATGATGATGTTATCAAGACTCATAAAAAGGCAAAAAAATTTGAGTGAGACTGATGACTGTAAACAGGAGAGAATAACGTCAAATTGACTGTCCTGTCAATGTCACGGTCACACAAGGAAGACAAAGATGGATAAATCTTTAAGGGTATTTGTGCAATGCATCAAATGCTGTGAGATGAAGCAGGTAAGTGGTGTAGCAGAGGGAGAGCGATCTCATACACAGTTCAAACGGTAAGTATCAGATCTTCAGTAATACACCAACATAACTTTAGTCACTTCCCTTAAGCAGGTGTGTTTGCATCCACAGGAGAAGAAAGGACATCCACAAAAGAGTACAAGAGGGAGAGGGAGAGCCGATGAGGAGAATCATCAGACTTCGATTCCAGCCGGTGAGTGAGTGAGAGAGGTGAGTCTTTATAGTGCATGGAAGATTGCAGGTGCAGGTGCAGGTGATCAGTATTCAGGTGATAGTTCACTTGTGTGGTTTGTAGTGGATGGTGAGGGAGAGAGGTGATTGGAGCTGCAGGAACGAACAGAAAGTGTGACAGTCAATAGACACTACATTAAGCTGCGGTCACACTAGACTTTACTCCCCATAGACTTCCATTCATACGTACGCGAATACGTCAGACTGGAAACGCAAGGTCGTGCGTTAATTTTCGCAAAATGCTGCATTGGAAAGTTCAAGCTTGGGGAACTCCGACCTGCCAAATCGCATCACTTGACTACGAGATGAATCAAGGATCAAAACATGACCTCTCTGTGCAAGAAATTAAAACATGGAGCAATCGCTCGCTTTTTTTAAATGTCTAATCATCTTGTTTAATCCTGCCCCTTTTCACAGCGCCATAAGACAGAATTTCGCAAGCTCAAACTCTTGTGTGACCGCAGCTTTAGAAACACCTCCCATAAGCAGTAATTCATTTTTTGTAATTTGCTGCATATAAACATTAAAACGTTAATTTAAAATGCTTTGAAAAATTTAAATATTAAAAACGTAGAAAATTTAAAACAAGGATTTAAGATCATGAAGACTGTTAAATTCAATTCAATTCAATTAAATTCATCTTTATTTTTTATAGCACTTTTCCAGCGTAGATTGTGTCAAAGCAGCTTAACATAGAAGATTATAGTGAATTGAAACTGTGTCAGTCCTGTTTTCAGAGTTTAGGTTCAGTTTAGTTCAGTTCATTGTGGTTTAATTTTCACTGCTGAATGTCCAAACACTAAACACTTTTGTCAAAAGGGTCCAAAGTGAAACTGGATAAGATGCTTTCTCAATTTGTTAGTGTTTTTGTATTTGCCTGTGTTTTCTTAAAGGGCAATGACACCCCCCACTTTCGGTTCAAGTCTACCTCAGAATTTAAAAAAAAATGCATCATAATGGGCGTGGAGCCCGCAATCAGAGGCAGGGGTGGGCGTGGCCAGCAGAGCAGGGGAGAAGGAGGGGAGCGGAGAACTGCTCACAAAATGAGACACAAACCGTGAGGAGACGCATGATTTTATAGTTTACAAATTTAAAATACAAAGAAATAAACAGTAATTTAAGGCCTTGCTACATTTGTTATTTGTCATTTCATACACACAACCACAATTTGTACAATTGTAAAGATAACGGTGTTTATATAAACACTAATTGAGGAATTATCCCTCAATCCCCGGGTCTGAATGCAGAGGTCTCTTGCCCTGTCTATGTTAATTATTAGCCCTGTTGGTAATCTAGAGGATTTAAGCAAACACAGCAGCACAGCAATGTGTGTAAATGTGAATGAACTCCTGACAAAAGACAACGTCCACCATTCTCCAATTCTCATACTGCTCTCCCGACAAAAATGCTTGCTGCACACAAACAGCCCTGACAGCATCGCAGGGAAAAACATGCAACATGCCCTGTGGATCATCGAAACAAACACATACAACCCTTCATGAATGGCTATATACTGTGTGTCGTGGGTCCATGGACGCGGTTTCACCCAGTCATCAAGGTTGGATCTCACAGCTTGGCACTGGCATGTCTGCCTTGCCTTCGGAAAGCTTGCACAGTTATGAGTAATTAAGAAGCAGACTCTTCTCATAGAATAAGAACACTCAGTTATGAATAATAATAAGAAACCGACGCGTCAACTTCGCACTTGCAGTTTTGCGCCATGCCGCTGATTTTGATCCTGCCCCAAAAATAATTTTAAACCCAGAAGCTGAAATTAGCTGACAAAAGCTCAAAATCATCCAGTTTTCCCCATAATTAAAGCTAGCAGGTGCTAACATTGTCTTAACTGATGTTCAACACACACAAATCTGTTAAAATCTTAAAAAAAGTACTCAAGGGTTTCGTGAACCTTTAAATTAGAGTTTATTTGGGGTCTTTCTTTCTGTGTATATCACACTTTTTTTACTAGTTTGCATATCGCAATATTAGACCGATTTTATTTATTTATTTATTTTTTTGTTTATGTTTCAATATTTTGAGTTTAAACAATCAGAATCCTGATTAAGTGACTATTTATAATGGTGTAAATAAGGTTCCAGAGTTTAAAATGATGTGCAAAATATTACAATTTTATCATTTAATCTGATCTCTTCACCATTTGTTTAGTTTTTTTTATTTTTATTTAGACTTCATGAACTTATGAACTAGTTACATGATTAAAACTTTAATGACACTAACAGCCAGAAACACTGCTGCCCTGTAGTGCCATAATTTTGACACCAAACACTGCTTCATAAAGTCATACAAAACCTACATTAATGTTGCATAGTACCAACCAAAACACAGAGGTGGCAGGCCAAGCGAACAGGGTGGAGGAGAATCACTGGACTGTGAGGGTTTTGTCTAGGTAATTGGAAAGCACATGTTCTTGATAATTGTGTTCTGGTATGCCGTGCGCACTGCAGCTTTCTCTCCCTCACACACACACAAAACTGCCTGCATGCATTCTTTCTCTTCCCCTCCCTGACATATGCACATATCTGCAGAAAGAAAGATACAGAGTAAAAAAATGACTTCTATCATGTTACAAAGCGAGTTGGCTGAAAACATGGAAAGAATTATCCAACAAAGGTTGTGGCTGGTTTATGATCTCACTGTATTGGTGTCTCACTAAGCCTTTGTGCAACAACTGAATACATGCACCTACTTGTGACAGACACACACACACACTCACTCATGGGTAATTTAGACAAGGGCCAATGAATTGGCATCAAACCCACTGTAATAAATCAGAAAGCCAAAACTGCTGAAAGGATTTGAAGTTAAAATGGTTGAGATGTTATTACTCACTTTGTAAAACAATTCCTCACCTCTCACCTCATTTTCCAGTGTGGTTATGACAGCACACTAAGCTTTCAGGGCAGTTATGTCCACACAACACCTCTCTTGAGTAATATATCCTGTTTTCCCCACCCATAAAGTTCTGAGTGTACGCCCAGTGATTTGATGGGAAAAAAAGCAACTCGGGAAGATTGGACTTCGCAGAAGAGGCATTTTTGGCTTAACCTGGGAGAGGCAAGAATCAGCAGAAGAGAAGATTCATTACAAAACTAGGTAAGCATTCTTTTCTGATCCTAAGAGGTATGCAGGATGCAGGACAACATTTGTATCTGACAAGATTAAGCTGGTTTGAAATAAAATAAGATGGCTTTGTTGCAATTTCAACCATATGTCTATTGGAAATACAGCACTTGCTTCTACAAACACAATCTAAAGTGGTACTTTTATATCTAGTCCATATAGACGTATTATTAGCTGGCTCCATGGGCACGTTTACGTTGGTCAGGCATAGCTGGTTTTACAACGGTTTTAGGCAAACACCCAAACTTGGCATCAAGTTAACGGTGTTCCATAAATAAAGTTCCGTGTCGAATGCAAATGTGTCACTTTCCGTTTAATCTATCGACTTTCCGTGAATATTTCAGACCGTAACCGTTGGCTCACTTGTCCGGTGAGTACAAGTAGACGATCCAATTCCCTACAGATGTAACGCAAGCCCTTCTCCCTTTACACCGGAGAAATCAGAAACCTGCTTATCAATTTAGAGGGGTTTCTCAGAGTGCACACGCGCAGACAAACCGCCCGTCGGAGGTGAATATCTTCGACCTTTATTAAGATCTTACTGGGGTGTAGGGGGAGAAATGCATTCGATCCTCAACCGGATGAGGCTCAACCTCAATGTGTCAGCGGCGACATGGCCACCAGATCTGCGTTAATTATCAATACAGAGATAAGACAGTGGTGGTGGGAACTGTCTGATAACCCAGAGACACCGAGTCAAACTTGTTCAAGTGCTGACAGACCAGTACGTGCTGAGGAAATGATTCACACCTCACCGAAAGACATAGGCCTATTAAAACACACACACTGGAAAAACACCAGTAGCCTACACGATAAAATAGCTATAAAAAAGAATAATATTCTGAAAACCTTTGGTTCATAGGCAAAAACATTAAACACACTTGCCCTTGTGTTGGTTTTTGTGTATGTTAAATGCTTGTTAAATTTTATTATTCTGATGGTGAAAACTTTCCAAAATAACACTTCAGAAGTGCCCTCTTATGATGTAAACTGACTTAAAAAGTCATATATATATATAATTCCATGCGTTTTCATATTTTGTTTGTTGAGGGTATACATTTTTTTTATTTGAATGTATTTATTACATCTGTGCAAACGTGTCCTCCACCCTCAATTATGGAGCAGTCTAGCTGTCAAATCAGTAAAGATTTAGTTTAAAATAAAAAAACTAAATAGTTCATTTATTATTTTTAATTATGAACTCTTTTTTTTACTATTTAAAAAGTTTTACAAGATGTTTTACGTGTCATTTTTATTTAGCCTTAAGATAAAATGTAAAAAAGAAGCTTTAGTGATAAAAGAAAAAGAAAACACAGCAAAAAGTTGCATTCTAGGACTTCTGGGCCCCCATTGCTTAGGGCCCCCAAAATCACTAAATCTGCCCCTGCTGGCTATAGTTTTTTTATTTTAAAACAAGTTTTAACAAATTCCTAATAGTTTTTTTTTTGATTGATGATAAATGGATTATAATACATTTTCATATTTCTTTATACATTTTTTAATGCTAATCTCATAATATTATTTATAAAACAAAAATGCACATTTGTAAAAAAAAAACTTTGTAGTCAAATAGTAATGTGTAAGCACTTCAACAAAATCATAGGAAATATTTTTAGTACATCAAAAAGTGTGGTCACTATCCAACAAGCTAATCCAGCAATGCTTAGTTCTTTAAATATCATTACATTTAAGTATTTTAGCCTCACATTTAAATAAACAATGGGGCGAATAACTGCAAAAAAGTCCACTTTTTGACAGAAAAGGACCACCCTTTCAAAAGGTTGGCTATGGGCCTGAAAATACTGTAGTCAGCACACAGCATCATCTTACTTTCATTGTTTTTGAAAATCTAGCGTAAAATTTCACCTTGTTTATAAATATATTCTCATTAAAAGAACTAAACAAAGAACCAAGTTCTTTCTGATGCAGTCTGGAACATCATAAATGTAAAGTTAATCTTCTTAGTTTACACATTATTTCATCATAAAGTGTATCTTTTCCAACCTGTCTTTAGCAGATTGGCTTCAATGGCTGTTGAGTTCTGAAACTTACAGTTTTAGTACAACCATCTTTAATGTCAAAATATTGAGTACATTGTCATTTCTCAGTTCATGGCACCTTAAAATATGCACATTATATTAATAGAAAAGCATACAAACATGATGTGTAACAAATCTGTGTCTGCTCAGTTATTTTAGGAATCAGATCAGTCCAGTCATGTTAGGGCAGTGGGTTTAACTGTATCTGAGGTCATTCTTTCAGTAAACAATGCCTTGAAGAAACAGCCTAATAACAAAAACTGCAGTATTATGTTTTCATAAGCACAATAGGTTTTCTGTTTGTTGGATGAAATATGGTGTAAGTCTCATTCAGTCAGTCATTTTCTCATCCACATGCTTTGCATTTCCTTCCAGTGACAATGTTCAAGTCTGACATTTTTTAGTCTGAGTTAACAAATGTAAATCACAAGTATGGCCTGCAGGGACATCTAGAGGAGCAAGAATGGAATGCAGATCAGTAAAGAAAATATTTTTATTTGTCCTGTGAGCCATAAACTTTCCATTGACATTATTTAATGTAGATGCTGTAAGCTATTTTGTTGTTTGAAAATCGAAAACAGGGCTGAGAAAGTAGTTGTGGTTGTTAAGTTATGTACATAACCTATTTAAATAGCAATTTACTAAACAAACTGAACAGATGTGTCCAGTCTTTCTCTCTCTCTCGCTCTCTCTCTCTCTCTCTCTCTCTCTCTCTCTCTCTCTCTCTCTCTTTCTCTCTCTCTCACACACACACACACACACACACACACACCCACCCACACACACACACACACACACACACACACACACACACACACACACACACACACACACACACACACACACACACACACACACACACACACACACACACACACACACACACACACACATTTGTATCTTAAAAGCTAAGCATAAATATTTAGTTAGCTAAACAAATAAAAAAATGTTTTTGTATTGATACACACATTTTATGCAGTGATACACAAACATTTAAATAATCTAAAGATCCTTTTGTGAATATTTTGAATCAGTTTTTCTTTATGGTTTAGAGGGCCATTTTGTTTGTTGCCTCAGCTGAGCGTTTAGTCATGTTACACCACTATATGGTTCAAGTAACACATTAGTTGTGGCCTAAAGGTTAGGGATTTGGAATTGATGGTCTTGGGAGTGAAAGAACAGCTCTCTCTCCGATACCCACTACTGAAGTGCCACTGAACAAGAACCTCTAATTGCTCCCAGAGAACTGGAAGCAAATGTCTGGCCAGTGCTCTGGGTGTGTACTCACTGGGCAGGTTTGAGTGCTTCCACTTCTAACAGTTTGTCCTAAATCCAGTATAATTCCTGGCCTTAAGTTAGTATTTTGACTTATTTAAAGTTGTTATTTCTCAACAATGGAGTTATTATAGTGGTTGATCTTTCATGTTCTGTAAAGCAGGCTGTATTCTGGTTTAGTGTTTATATATATATATATATATATATATATATATATATATATATATATAGAGAGAGAGAGAGAGAGAGAGAGAGAGAGAGAGAGAGAGAGAGAGAGAGCAATTTTACTCAAAATTACTTATTTTTTTATCTTATTTTTAAATATTTTTTAAAATTTAAAAGAAACAAAACAATTAAGCTGATTAGCATAAAGCTACCAAAGTGCATTAATTCAGTTATATTTAGTTCAGTTATAAATAGTCTTTTTTATATCTACATAGTTGAAATGTCGCTCCACTGTCACAAGTGCTATAATTCTCCAGAATTTGTTTTACACAATCATTATAATCACAGGAATTACCTCTACAATGAAACGTTCAGGTTTCACCATTTGGAAATGTCATGATTATTAATGTGCTCTCACACACACACACCACATACACACACACACACACACACACACACACACACACACACACACACACACACACACACACACACACACACACACACACACACACACACACACACACACACACACACAGTTTGATGTATTCTGAATATACACAAGCAAAACAATTATACTTCATTTGTCAATAAAATTTGAGCAAATTGAATAGATTTCTTTTTAAATGACTATCATATAAACTGTAGTGGTATAGAAATGTTTTTAGGAGTGAGCGAATGAAATTAAATTAAATGAAGGTTTGCTTCTTGGACTTGGATGTTAATAATGCATTAGTAAATGTTCAATTATGATTAATAAATGCTGTACATCTGTTGTTCATGATTAGTTCATGTTAGTAAATGCATTAACTAATGAACCTTATTGTAAAGTGTTACCCGAGTATCCATACAGCAGTAGATATTAACGTGCATCCTGATACATTTGTCGTGCAACAACACTGTTTGTGTGTCCGCTGTGTTTGTGTGTGTGTGTGTGAACTAAGTTATGACATTGTAAATGACTGATCATCGAAAAAACACTAGAATTAACTCCACAACAAATACATCAAATAATCATTGGGAAAGTTCTTACTGTAGTATTTTTCACAAATGTTACGTGAAATTTCTTTATGTCTGTCACTGTGTTGTTTATCTGACACAGTCTGACAGGCATGTGTGAACAGTGGGCAGGGAGAACCAGCATCAAAGGCACAGGCAACAAAAACAGCTACATTGTGTTCAGAGCAGAAAAATTCCAATATGCTTAAAGGTATAATACATAATCTAAGGGGTGTTTTGAGTTGAAACTTTACAGACACATTCTAGAGACACAAAATACTTATCCTAAATCTTGATAAAGGGGCAAAATAGGTGCCCTTTAATATCAGCCTCTGCATAAACAGATGTTTGTAAAATTCATTGGCATCCTTTCACTCAAGAAAAATGATGGTAAGAGCTGAGTGATGCATAAATGTGCATTAAGCAGTTATTTTCAGAATTCTACAAGTGTTTGTTCATTACAAACGTGGCAAATTTTGCAATAAACACGTTAAA